ATGACAAATAAACCTGCACGTCTTAATGATTTACACTGTATATAATTCCCGGCACGTTTAGTGACGCTACAAATTATAGTGGAATTTAAAGTGAGAAGCTATACAATGAATTAAAAATATGTTTTTTTTTCGTTTTAATTTCCAGATCTAATGAAACACAGTATATTTTTATATATAACTAGTGACTTACCCTCGCTTCGCTCGGGTACGTCCCAGGTATGTTTTAAGTAGCCATGAACAGTTATTTCAAATGTACCTTAGGAGAAAGACTTATGCTATTGCAGATCTTTCTGTAGGCCTTGTTAAGACGTCCAAATTCCTAGTACATTGTATTGATGTATCTGTTAAGGTTCAGCCAGTGGTGTAAATTTCTAAGAACGACTCGATAGAATCAGTTATTGTGTTTTCCCATGGGAATAAATTTTTTGTCTTTAGTAAAAGGTACCCTAAATGTTGACCCCAATAATAAGTTATCACTTCACAAAATTTTATTAAAATCGGTTCAGTACTTTTCATGTGAAACGCGCACATCAATTTCAATAAGTTACTGTTTAATTACATATAACTATAGATAACTCGAAAAGTGGTGCTCTCTTTCAATATTACTAGCCTTAAGCAAAATATTTGTAAAAATAATTTTAAACCAATTAACTAATTTCTTTTATTGTAACAATGTAGTATGACTTCACCAAAGGTAAATAAATATACAACAGATGCAGGTGCTGTGCTTCTTAGGCGCATTTACAATGCATGAGAAAAATCGCAGAATGCTATTAGTGTATCTTGCAATTTGTCTAAAGCTTTTAATTGTATAGACCAAAAAACACTTTTGCTTAAACAGAATCGTAATGGCATTGAGGGCGCTGCGCTAGAACTTGTTGCTTCGTACCTCAATCAGAGAATCCAGAGGGTTGATAAAAATGATGTAAAATATTCTGGATTTCCTTTAAAATGGGTATTCCACAAGGATCTATTCTTGGCCCCTTTTTATTCTTAATATATATTAATGATTTACCTTCCATGCAGAAATTATTATTTTGATTATATACATAAAGAAATTATATGATATTGTACCTATAAACCAGATAAACCAAATAATACTTCGCTGGTTTAAATAAAATACCCTAGTATTAAATGAAGAAAAAAAACAAAATGTGTCGAATTTACATTGCTTAACGTAAAAAAGCAGAATTTTAGACTGATTATGAATAATGAAACACTGGAAATAACTGAATCAGCTGTATTTTTCGGCATAACACTAGCTCCAAACTCCAGTGGAATCCCCATTTCTCAACCCTTGCAGGTAAACTCAGCTTCGCCGTCTTTGCAGTTAGATAAGTTAATAACCTAACGAATATTACACTTTTTTTTTAACGTTGGGAAATGCATTTACGCACGACGTGTGGGACTCACCGGCGTAATACAGCCAGTACTACCCACTAAAACCCAACAAAACCTTCCCCCGTCTTAATGGGGCGTCGCAGGATCGCTTACGCATTCAACTACGACGCCCCGACGGCAGGTCTGCCAAAGCAGACCACCACAACCATGGGGTTGCTCCAAGGTCCACTCTGCTATCAGAGAAGTACCAGGAGCAACCCGCTAGGTACACCGCCCTCCGAAGAGGGCCACCTCCCACCGCCCACCGAAGTGGGCAACCTCCCTGTGCGTTTCTTAGCTTCGTTACTACTACTGAGCCCCCCCACCACGACAAGGTGAACGCACGTTGGGGGGGAACGAATATTACACTGCCCAACTTGTATATTTTAAATATTTTAACAAAAAAATCCAATATTTCACCGTTTGTGGCAGATAATAGACTTCTCTTTTTTGAATTGAGTTTCTTTGCTACGTAATTTTTTTATATATACTTATTTATTATTTATTAATACTTATTTTATCTTCACAAGAAGTGTCATGAATAAAATAGTTGGATTCTTCAGAATCAGACTCAACAAATACTTTTCTTTTTGCTTTCGAACACTTATACCATCTGTTACCGACATATTCTGAGATTAGAGTGAAAATAATAGTTTTTTAAATAGTTATGTACATCATTGATCATACTTAATAAATACACTATATACGTATCTATGTAAAGGCCAAAAACAAACTTTTTGAGCAAGAAATAATAAATTACCTTTTTTAACATAAGTGACACCGGCAAATCACAACTAACTTTACCTTGTAGTTCATAAAGGATGCTTGGACTACAATAAACAATAATTATTATTATTTAAAGCGTGAGAGTCTCGATAAAAAACTTTTTAACAAAAAAATAAAAACCGACTTCAAACAAAAGCACTAAAAAGTAACAAATAACTGATTGGTAGTTTTCATTTACTATACATACCTAATCAAATATTTTCGAAGTCGGTGTGCTTTGCTTTGTATGGGCTGGCACCGATTTCGAAAATATTTGATTAGGTATGTATTTAATAGGTAGACTTTAATTACTTAACCAAAGCACACCGACTTCGAAAATATTTGATTAGGTATGTATAGTAAATGAAAACTACCAATCAGTTATTTGTTACTTTTTAGTGCTTTTGTTTGAAGTCGGTTTTTATTTTTTTGTTAAAAAGTTTTTATTTTTCCCTTTTTAGTGTAGACAGTAGTAGCAAAGTAAGAATTCTAACGTGTTAGGCTTGTCAAATCAAACAAAATAAGCCCAAACTCAAAGTACCTACTATTAGCCGTTGAAGAGTTCCACCTATCCACCTTCTGGCCTTGCCATCAGATCAGGTCAACAACACCAAACCACTGTACTATCAACGGAAATAGAAATACTTGCAAAGTTTCAAGTCAATATGACAATTAGAAGTAGGTTAAATTCATCATTAGTTGTTTTTCCACCCTTAGGGGTGGTATTTTTTTTTGAAATTTAAATGGGACCAATCTGGAAAGACCTTTCAAACAAAACAAAAATTGTCCAAATCGGTTAATAAATGACGGAGTTCTGAGGTAACAAACATAAAAAAAAAACATACAGTCGAATTGAGAACCTCCTCCTTTTTGAAGTCGGTTGAAAAATACGATGAACCTACGTACAGCAGGTAGGTCCCCCCTATGCTGTGAGTACAATGCAATATAGCTCATATAAACTTTTGTTACCAGAAATAGAAATTACGTGGGATATATTTGCTTATATGTAGTTACAAGTGGATATGTGCTCTAGTGAAAACAAAAATTTTTATTTGATTTATCTATATTTAGCTTATTTGAGATTGGAGTTTGTCTTTAATTAGCGAAACATCTTCTCTTTACTCGGAACTTTTAGTGAACTTTTCAATATATTATTGCTACCATTTATAAAGTACTAGCGACTTACGAGCAAGCTCATACGTTTACCTAGGTATGTTTTAAACAGATAAAAATAGGAATTAAGAGTGCACCTAAGGAGATAGACATAATATTCTATTGCGGACATTTCTGTGGGAGGTTTTTTCCAAGACCTTTAATTTTCTAGTAGGTACATCGTTTTCATGAACTATGTCTAAAGTTAGTCCTACTTTAGCCATGTAAATCTCTCAGGATGACTCAATAGAACCAGTTATTGTGTTTTCCGTTTGTAGTAGGTAAGGTAAAATCTGAACAGGTATGCAGACAAACAGACACAAATTTAATAACTATTGTTTTGCGGCCTATATTCTGTACACAATAGATTACATTCATTGTTTTTAAAAAATATTTCATATACAAATTTCAAATTTAATCTTGTATAATCTATATATCTTTAATGTAATATGTATGTAAAATGTATAACTTAACTCTAAAGACTGTTAACATAGTCAGTGTTCAACTTTTTTAACAATATTATAATAGTGTTAGACATTTAAGTTTTAATTCACAGCTGCGAAATATAAAAAATACGCATTTAATAATATTACTTTAACTAATTTATGTAGGTATTTAAAATCGTCATAAAACCTCGTAAATGACAAGACTATATTAAATCCATAAGTAGGTCTTGAAGCTGTTCCACGTGAAACACTCCACGGGACGCACTATAATCTTTGACATTTACCCTGGATCAACAGCTGGTTACCATGCCAACGCCAAAACAGTTCATGACCTTTCCGAAAGTCACTTAACCGTCTGCTTTGAAGGCAGGAAATTTATTTTATTAACTTTGTAACAAAACATAAAGGTATCAGTTATTATTTGAATAATTTCTTCTTTATAGGTATGTACATGAACCGTTTTTTGAAATTATAAAATTATTGTTTAATCAATCCTTTATTTAACCATAACAGACGCTTATAATATAATTAAATATGAAGTGATTTGTTATAAGCGTATGGAAATAATTTTTACTATTTAGTACTTTTTTTGAGTAGGTACTTACTTACCTACTACTTTTATTAGTATTTTTTTGAGTTAAAAGTTTAAATTATACCTATGTGGTATTATGGTAATGTAATTTGTACTCAATGGTAAATTAATATAAACTTATAAAAAATCTACACACAGATTTTTATTTACCACAAAAAATAAGATAGGTACGTGTACAATCCATATGAATACAATATATCCTCTATTAATATTTTATTTCATTAATCCCTCCACGACCGCGGACACGCCGGCGTGTCAGTTAACAATAAATTAGATAGATTTCTTAGAATTTTAATAAATTTCTTAGAAATTTACTTGGAGGTGTTATTAAATTAACGTATCACGAAATATAACATCGTAAATGTTACGTAGCAGGGTGTAAGACCAGAGTAATATTTATAGCGAAACCAAATGATTTATCCGACCTACGTAACTTCCCGACTATCGACTCATCCGGGCTGGCGACGTCATGGGAGCGCGTGGCACGCGGCTAATTGTAGCATAACCAAAACGGTCTTCGGGTGCCGGCCAGCGCGCGTAGCGTACGAAAGTGAAGCGTGAGTCAGAGCGGAGAAAGTGGCGGCAGGCAGGAGTCGCAGTGACGCGCGTGCTCACGGCGAGCCTCCGTGCCCACGCGCCGTGCTCCTGGCCAGCGCTAGCCGCTACACTTGCACGCCAGTTTTCGCGCGCCTCCCTTTGCCGTCGCGACGCCGCGCCATTTTCTCGCGCACGTGGGCGACGACGGCTGAACGAAGGCGCCCGGCTCGAGCGCCATTAACGCGGCCGTCGTGAATGAATGCCGACCTCGACCGGGTACCTAGCGTCCATTGATAGGGCGCGCGTCGGTCCACGACCGCAGCTCCGCGCCTCATCGCACGGGGGCGGCGTGCTGCACGCCCTCGCCGCGCTCGTACGCCTCAGTCGAGGATGTGGCGCTCTCCGCGAGACGACACTCACCGCGTGCAAAATCTGTGTTCATTTATCAGTAGACGCTCAGTGACCCTTCAGTGTGATTACCGTGCCACATATTCGTAGTTTTCTATATACAGCTATACTTATACGTAATGTGCTGTGATCGCGTCAATTTCTTTAGGACATTAAGTATATAAGTAGTTTAGCGCGCTTTTCTAAGCGCCGGTGTGGCGTGTCGTAGTGTGGAGACGTGCCAGTGCCAGTGTGTGTGCGTGCGGTGGTACGGTGGTGTAGTGGCGTGGCGTGCGCGGTGCGGGGATGCGCTCGTGCGATGCTCTCGGTGATCGCGATGCGTCGGCCGGAGGACGAGGAGCTGGGCGGTCGCGGCGATGGCGACGAGTTCGTGGATATCTCGCACATGCAACTGCTGGTGGAGGCGGGCCCGAGCGGACTGCACTACGGCGGACCGCCGCCGCCCCTTGCGCAGCCACAGCCCTATGCGCAGTCGCCCACGCATACGTCGTCAGTCACGGCTACCTCCACCACCGCCTCCGTCGATGATCTATTTGCCCTTTATTTTACACCAACCACTCCTGGTGAGCACTTATACAACAAAATGAAATATTTAAAATATCTTACAATAAGCACATTAAGGGCATAAAAATATATTAAAATAAATTTAATCTTTAGGGATAGTACAGTTAGAATAGAATATGGTCGTGTTTTGTTTTACTTCTATCAATCCTCAAGAATAAGTATATACAAGAGATTCCCCAAGTAGGTACTATTATAAAAGATTATAACCATAATTACATAATTTATACTTATGCAAGTCGAGCAATATAAATTAATATATGTTTCTGTCACCGTTTTAGATATGATTTTGCACAGAAATACACATCAAGATTGTATTTTTTAAGGATGTTGCAGAATCAAAGAATTTATCCTTTTCACAAGGCTTTATAATAAGGGTTCTCATGTAAAAGAAATCATTAAAAAAATCTTATCACTTGAAGCCTAATTAAAAGAGTTATGTAAAAATTGAGGAGAACGTTATTTGCATACTTAGAACCTACCGCTTAGTAAATACGTTTTATATCTATCACTTCGTAAACTCCTCAGGAACTCAATGTTATATATACTCATTCTTTATATTATTTTAAAACGTATGATACATTTTATATAGTTATGCCTAGTAAATTGCGCAAGTCTTAAACTTTTTACGTATGTAATAATATACACGCATACATATATTTGTTTTGTGTATAAAGTTTTGCCAGCTTTTCTGTTCGGATTAATCAGTGCGTACTCTTTATCGCCTTGGGTTTCGCTGGCCAATATCAAGCTTTGTCTTAATGAGACCAGGGCAAGTAGACGATATAGGCCTTCGCCCCTTCAAATCGAAAATATGACCATCGGTATAAAATAAGCAAATAGGTGGTGTCAGACGTGACTCGCTGTAATAACAACTAGCGGGTCACCCTCACTTCGCTGGGGTTCGTCCCTAGGAAAACAAACCTATCCCACGGGCAGTGTACATTTTTCCGGGATAAAAAGTAGCCTATGTGTTATTCCAGACTATATAATCAATCTTTGTGCCAAATTTCATCCAGATCCATTAACCCGTTCTGGCGTGGAAGAGTAACGAACATCTATACATCCACACAAACTTTAACATTTATGATATTAGGATGGCTTACTATGGATTGTCTTATCTACATTTTTATCATTACACATGAAAGCTTACATTAAGCTATTATATATTTCATTTTTATAAGATATTTTATATTGATGATTGAATGAACAAAGAATTTTATGTCAGCATTAGGCATGAACAAGCTTATAAAAAAATTCATCAGCATTCCGTACATCGTTATCTGGACCGGACGGAGCTAATCGGCTTTGCCTGCGACAAAACACTATCAAGTTGACCTGATATTAGTAAACATTACGATTCTGATTTTAAATTAATAAATCACTTAAGATATTTAATCTGAACGTATTCGAAAACTATCACCTGACATAATTTTATGATCCGAACTTAATTATTTTAAACATTTCATATTTAATCCATCAGTGAAGAAAGGATATTTGAAAAATTCTACATATAAAAGTGAAATATACGTAAATATATATATATATATATATCGTTTCACTTTTATATGTAGAATTTTTCTAACATAGTCAAGAGGTTAGTTTACTTACCACATTGTTATTTTCGGGTAAAAACATTGCCATGTTTGCCATCTGGCAGACAGATAATAATTGATCCTTATAGTGATATGGATAACATCTAAGATTTGTTTAAAAATTCAAACTGTAAGTAACATATAACAATATGTTATATGATGATATGTTGTTGAGAGATGTCTTGACGGAAATGCCGAAAAATATGAGCGAACATATACTACATATACATATAATATAGACATGTTTGTAATGTTTCTCTGTCTTTCCCTTAAGTGTTCGCCAACCGTTATCCACGCTTTGCTTTCTAATGTAAACTGTTGCCTATTTATATACATATAAATGAATAGAATTTACTAATCAATATAAATATTTTAACCGTTTCCAAAAAAATATATATTGATTATATAATATTTATAGCTATTGGCGAACTTAATTCATTAAAACTACTAAAAAAAACAGTCGACAAACGGAAGAGAACAAGGCAATGAACTGTTTTGTCTGTTCATATTTATATTCATAGACAGGGTGTTTACAATTACCCGTGTAATGTCGGAACATAAAAAGTATCATCGTAGTGTAGCTAATTAGAGTTATTAGATTGCATTATACTACCATAGAGCCCTATTAATGTTCCACTGCTGGGTTTACGACTTTCCTCAATTTGAGGAGAGATCAACCACACTTGCCAAGTGAAGGTTTGTAAAATCCACGCGTCTTACGAGCGCCTTTTTCTTGCTTGGTCTTTCTTAAACATGTAGGTTCTTTTAAGATATTTTTCATCGTATCGTTTCCTATTAGCAAAAGGTTTATATAATACTTTCTTAGATTTATGCGAATATTTGACATTTTAAATAAAACTATATTTGCAGATTTTTTCGCGGGTTAATTCGAATCTTGAGTCCCGAGTTTAGAAAAATAATAATAATATTATTATTATTAACACACAGCACCATCTAGTTCCATGGTGAGCTACGAGGCTTGTGTTATCGATACCAGATAGTTGATACACTACACATATATACTCGTAACTTTAAATACATACATATTTTAAATATAATACAAATATAATATAAATGCTTTATAGCAATTATAATCACGGGAAAGGCGAAGGTAGAGAACGAAATGGAAATATGGTTAACATTTTAAAAAATATTAAGTTTTTAAACTAATACATTTTAATATTATAAAGAGGAATAAGTTGTTTTTTGTTTGTTTGTTTGTTTGTATCATATAATTAGATGAAATTTTGAAAGAACATAGTTTGAGAACTTTATAGTATATATACTTTATACAGTATACACACGCCTAAGTTGTTATGATTATACTTTGTCTATACTAATAGGTATTATAAAGAAGTAAAGTTTGTGAGATTGTGTCATTGTAGGAGGTAATCTCGAGATCTACTGAACCGATTTAGGTAAAATTTGGTAAGAAGATAGTTTGAGACCCTGGGAAGGACATAGGATTTTTATCCTGAAAATCATCCCTTAAAGGGTTGAAAATGGGGATGAAAGTTTGTATTGGGAAGCAAGCTAGGGACGAACCCGAGCGAAGCGAGGGTCATTCGCTAGTATACCTATATATGTAGTATATACACTTTATACAGTATACCTCCACACGCCAAAGTTGTTATAATTATACTTAGTACAAACCGTAAAGTAAAACAAGGCTAATAAAATCTTGCTAAGTGTGAGAATAAGTCAAATGAAGTGATTTTGACTGCTAATTTGAACGTATTATTTTATTGGAAAATGTAACACAACTATAGTATGTGGTGGTCGGTACGGAACTCGCGAAGCAAGTGACACTCAGACGAATTCGTCGGTTTTGCTAATAATATTATAATTGTAAAATTGTTTATTTATTACATTTCAAGAGCCAAACTGCTCTGCCGATCCTAAATTCAAAATTTGGCACTCACATCTTTTATTATTCCTAAAGATAGACTACATGTATCCTGAGAAAATAAAACATTTCTATACAATAAGTTTCTGTTAGAATTACTTAATATTTGAGTATTGAGAATATTTGTACAAGTATAGAATACTCGTAAAAAAATATCTAAAAATTCTTTTCCAGTATTCTAAATAGGCCGATTTCTATTTTATTTCTATACAACTTCTATTTCATTTTTAAATATTGGTATTCTATAGTGATATTTCTAGATATTGACTTTATATGAAGAGAGGCGGAGTCTATAAAATCTTCGCCTATGATTGGGCGTTGAAAGCAGGCGAAATAACGGTGAAATTACTTTTTCAAATAACGATTGCGCAATTAAAAAATATAGCTTAAATACCTAGTTTTTTATAATTTCTTCCTTGTTTATTGTAATCAAAATAGTAATAATTAAAACTAACATTAGCAAATTTAATTGCAAATCATGTAGATACGTTTTCATATATTTTTATTACCTACATATATATTTATTCTTATATTTTTCTTATGTATTGGTATTGCCCATGCTTATGAAAATATTTTCATGCATTCCCAAAGGGAGCACCCAAACGTGTTACAATAAACTGTTCCGGTAAAAATATCACGTAAACAAATGAGCTTCTTGCATGTCATGTGTGTCAAAAATCGAGCAACCCACGCCGTCACACCGGGACCAGCGGCTCATCAGAGGTGCCCACGATAGGCCATTACACCTTGGATGCTTAGATGCCAGATAGCTGGAGAAGCTTTGAACAGCCCGCTGTGCTCTCGGGGGCACGGACGTGCCTTTGAGCCTGCCCGCGCCGTCTCACGTCACTCTACATAAATTGACAATCTAGTCCTTACCAGATAAATGCTAACTTTATTTAGCTACAATTATATATTTATTAAGATTAAGTCCTATTTCGTTTTTTTGCTCAACTAGATTGACCAATTTAATAATGTTTTTAAGAAGAATTTTAAGAGAATCTAGTATTCAAACAAAGTGTCTTACTTCGGCGCACCTGTGCACCTTGGCCAGTGATCGAGAACAATTGCTATCATTAGGGCCTATCGAACCCACACGCTAAATATTCAAATAGTCGCAATGACAATGCGAGTTGATTTAAAAGTCAATAAATTATCGCTAATGCCCAATTTGCGTCGACCGGTTAACAATGGCGGTTCCCGCAATTACTTAAACGTATGTAACTGCGAACGATACGATCTACGTTTGCCGGCCAACGTCATTGTCTCACCCGATACGAGTACATGCTCCGCAATTACACTGTATCGATTACAGCTGACTCAGGCGACTCCGATCCAAACGATTGACTGCGCTATAAAACATTGTTTTTACTAACCATAATTAGTGTTCCGTTTAAACAAGATTACCCTTCTGTGGAAACAATGGAAACTTTTATTTCTACTTATTACTCGCATGTCTTGCATTGACTCACAAATATGTAAAATTCAAGAAACGTAAACTAAACGGCTTCTGGAAACCACAAACAGCATAAAATATTCACATCAGTTCGCAATCTCTTTTATCTTTAAGACCGGAAGATGTTAGTTCAATGTGACCGCTTTAGGTCACTTAAGTTACATACATATAAAACGTATATTAATTTAGAAGTAGTATATCAGTTCTATAATAGTAAAAGTTTGTTTTTTTTTTAAATTAAATAGTTTTTTTTTTATTTTCAGGAATTTTTGAACAATACTAATTTAGAGTCACTGGCTTAAATCTCATAAATTAGGCAATTAATAGAAACCTTTTTTCATTAAAATAATCTAAAACTGCTCTTTTACTATTATATATATATATATATATATATATATATATATATATATATATATATATATATATATATATATATAAATATGTATATAAATATGTATATATATATATACATATATATACAGTTGACCAAAAACCAAATTCTTAGGTTTTACATATTAGTATACTCTTACATTGCAGTTTTTGTATTTTTTCTCAGAAATGAGACACTTTCCCGCGGTAAAAGTATCCTATATGTTGTATAAAGTGTCCTATGTGTGTGTATGTACAGATTCGGCTTAGTTACTTAGTAAACCTAAATGTCAGGTAATGTGGATAAAGGCCGCAAACAATATAATGGCATTTTCAACAAGTCTTTTACTTTCCATTGATACTAAGTTATCACAGGAGAAGCGTTTTCTTTTGCTTTAAAAAACTATTTTTTTTTAATAAAAATATTGTTTAAAAAATCGGCTGAAGAAAGAGTGAAGGGTCGGTCCACCACATAGATCGGGATCTTAGACTAAGAATTCTTCACTTCATTTCTCATCGTTAATACGAAAGCACCCTTTTTATATTGTATGTTTAATTAAATGAGTCTTCAAAAACTTACACAAATCTCAAAAATTAGACTTATTTGATGCCAATCTCCGACAGCATTCCGTCGAGTGCGAGAATCCTGCGTCCCGCTTACGTGACAACATTGAACAAATGACTTGTAACAACAACATGGACTATATTGTATTAACTGTTGTGTCAAATGATTTTAAACATAAAAATGTAATATAAATATACCTATAACCTAGCATTTATATTAATTATTGAACTTAATTTTATGAGATTTCTAAAGCAAACTCTTTATTAAGAAGAATGAGTACCTAATCTATTAAAAAAAATGCATTACATTATTATTAATATACTCGTATATTGTCATATTCGCAATACAGATTTTACAATAAAAAGAAGACCTCCAAATGGCTTAAGAGTAGGTATATCTCGCATAGTAATTATATCCCTCCGCTCATAGCGATATTAAAATTCACATTATTTCTGACGAGTGATATTTTTAGTTAGAAGTACAATACCAAAAAAAAACTGTTTTATATTTTAACGTTGTATATTTAATTTTTAACGTTGGAACGTTACAAAGGGCTCCAGTTGCTCATGCCCAGCAGTGGACTACTGGGCACGAGCCTCCCTTCAGTACAACACGTATTATCGAGTTTTCATGTGGTTTTCTTTCGCAATTTTTGCACAAAATATGATCGCTAATTTCGAACGCTCGATCATAAACATCGTGGTCAAGCGAGCAAGGCGCAAGATTGGCGACCACAGGTGTCCGGGTCGAATCCCGAATGCGAAGTATTTTCTTTTGTTTTTTTTTTATTTATTCAAGTATTTAGGTTTTTTTTGTTTTTAAGCCAAATTAAAAGGAAAATTGTATGAATGGCCAAAAACTCCGAGCGAAGCTCGGTGGCCCAGGTACTATGTATTTAAAAGCTGTTAATTTGGCGTTACAAACAGTCACTTCAATTTTATTTATCTGTATAGTAACTATCAAAAAAATAATAAACATTACAACACAATACACATACAACAGTATTGCAGTTTTATTTTCAGTAAACTATTATGAGAAAGATTATGAACAGTAGACTTTAAGGAATTTGCGGTAAACCTGGATGAGAGCCAAAGTTTGACTCATTTAAAATTTTATGCAATCGCCCTATTTTTCTAAACTAAAACGGTTGCACGCGACACCAGCCATGTCACGGTTGCCACATCTAATTTGTCATAATAACAGAGAAATTCAACAGTGTTCTACCAAAACACGCGACTTTGACACGTTCAGTTCACAAAAGAAAAAAGTGAAAATAGCAATCAGACTATATGTATGATATACATAGCACGTGATATTATATATGTGTATTAAATATTCATAGATAGCATTAGTGTCTCTCTACGTACCAAAAATTCTAAAACAATTTTTTAACAAACAAAGAACATAATATTATTATAAAAAAAAAATTACACTAGAATTACATTAAATTACATTCAAGTCAACTAGATATAAGTACAATATCAAAATACAAATTTCGTATTAATACTCCTATCACATATCCCATGCGAGTACTTTCTTCTTTTTTCTTTTAATATTATATGCTTTAGAAGATATTTGGATGTTTGTGTGTGCCCTTGAACAGATTTAGACCAAACTTGGCACTCAGGTGATGTCCTGAATTACCACTTAGAATACTGCCGCATAGTGGAGAGTGTGTAACGACTTTTCACCAAAAATAATAATTTAAAATGACACTTATGAAACATATTTACGCTCTAAGATAGTTGTCAACATATTTTGACAAATAACGACACAAATACAGTTAACCGTAAATTGCCAATAAGAGAGGAATAAAACATTTTCTAGAAGAGAATTGAAAGTACCAGAATATATTCTAGTCTTCGAATACTAAAATGTTCTTTGTTTATGCATATAAAAAGCACGGCTGTGCAGAAAATATCGTTGGTACCGGCACGTGCGGCGGTAGAGGTGTAACACCAGGAGAAACTGGCGCTATCTACCTCATCTGGGAGTGGGTCCACTATTCAAGAGACTACTTCGACGGACATAAACGTCCTATTGCAACAAATGACGTTCATGATGCGGAAGCAACCCCGCTATGAGGAAGAACAGTTCCACGTACTGCAGGAAGAGCAGACTAGCGTTGAAGAGGAACTTGTCCGTCGTGACGAGAACAGTTCTGCGCACTCCAAGAAGAGCAAACATGCCATGAAAAAGAAAATACGAGCCGCCATGGTATATATTATAATCGTTATTCAACAGACAAAAAAAAGAGTTAATTGTCCACACCGACACCAGCAACATTGGTATTGGAGGTGTCTTATGCTAGCGGCAGAGTGACCAGGAAGTTGTTATCGCATATTTTAATAAGTTGTTATCTAAACCGGAGAAAAACTACTGCGTAACTGGAAAAGAGCCTCTTGCTGTGGTAAAAACTTTATAGCATTTTAAAAAGATTTTGCTGGGCTACAAATTTTTGGTAAGAACCGATCGCTGCTCTGAAATGTTGAATGGTTGAAATTTATGGACCCCGAAAGGCAGGTAGCGCGATGGATTAAACAACTCCAAGAATTTCAGTTTGAAGTAGAACATTGTGGGAGCCACGATGGCCTAAAACCACAGCAATGCCGAGACTCTATACGAATATATAAGACCATGCGAGGAAAGTTGCAAGATGGAGTATTACTCGTATATCACAAATGGGAAATTACACCTGAAAATGATAGCCATCTTCAACTAGTTGTACCTAAAATTAACCTAGGTACAAAGAGGTAAAAAAGCGCTAACCGAGATCTAGGACCGATTTTACTAGTTACACTGCCGTGATGATGTTACTGACTTGTGTGGAAAACGCGTGCAGTGTGCATCCGTCAAACCAGTAGAAGAAGGGCAATAAAACTATACAATGTTGGAGCACCGTGGAAAAGAATCGCCATAGACGTGGCGGAACCATTTAAGATTACTAATTCTGGCAATCCATACATCCTGGTTGTAATAGACGTTTTCTCAAAATGGCTTTAAGCATTCGACATCCTAAATGAAAAAGCAGTAACTATCGCAAATGCATGGGTTTTAAGAAGCTTGTAAAATCATAGGGGTTCATGAAACTCGAACTAAGCCATGTCACCCAGTCAGTCAGAATGAAGGATAGGACTTTAGGATGCAAGCAGAAGCATCTAGCTAAGGTTACTTATTAACACTTGTTAAGGCGGAATACTTTTTATAGAAAAGGTCTACAGAAAAGTCCTCAGTAGCACCTGTCTACATATTTCATTTGGTACACTCGCAACTACTATTATTTTTATCCATTTTAAACGTATCTAGGGATGCATCAGAGCGAAGCGGGGGCAAGTCGCTAGTCACTAACTATAATGATCGCCTCGAGTCACTAAAAATAATAATGAAATACATACATAGTTGATATTACTCCATCAGCTGATATAAAATTTAGTTTATTTCTTTCCATTAAAAGCACAACAAATAAACTCGAATTAAAATCCAAGTGAAATATTTTAATTTTATTTCATTCATAATTCTACTTACATGATATTTTAATTAAGTCTGATATATGAATTGTATATCAGTTTTTGTAATACAATAAACGTTAATTTCTTGCCACATGCACACAAGTAAGTGTTCATTATGCGTTTAATTAATTAACGTCATCTTGGTCGCGAGCTCTCACTTGACTCATCAGTGACCGAGGAAGACTAATGTAATAAGCAGCAATAGAAAAAAAAGCGGATATTCTAATTGATGGACATGAACAAGGCCTCGGCCGTGAATGATCGCTGGTTAAATTAGTAGACACAAGAAATTATAAAGACTTGTTTTGGTTTCGTAACATTTCGATCAAAAAAAATTTAAAATATAACTAAATTCGTAAAAATACCAAAAAGAGTATCCATTTTGATTAAATATTATATTTGAAGAACTATTTTTTTTTTGCCTTAGGTATCATAAAAAGATAATATTTTAAGAGTGAAGTCATTTTTGAATCCATATACTTACATTTAGTTCTCTTTAAAAGTATTGATTTTTTTTAATAAAATCTATGTCATATAATAATATTCAGAGTGAGTCAGAAGAAACGTCCCATATCGCTGATTATTTATGGGAGTAGTGCAGTTAGTAATTGCGGTCGGGACCTCGCCACACGCTCGTTTATCTAATTATTGGTCGGCACGGGCGCGACCGTCTGCACGTACGTTTGAAATCCTCTTAAATACGAGTATCTACATATCCCTACATACATACATAATTTTGTCTTCTAAATTTTTTTTTTTCGTGATGTTGTATACAACATTACATGTACGTATTATAATTTAGAATAAAATAATTATTGTGTAACTACAATTTAGTTAAACAAAATGGTATAGATACATAAATGGCAGCATAAAATATACGACATGACGCCAAACAGTTCTGTTTGTTGGATAATGTATGATAAACACAAATATGAAACGATTTCATTAAAGGTTTTTAATTCATAAAAATTAGCAAAAGTTAGGTAGAACTCATGGGGCGCTCTTACTTTATAAAAAACAGAAATATTTCGGACACTTTTAGAACTTTTTTGGTACTTACATATTAACACAACCGCAGCTACAGGGGTGGCGTTAATACGTAAGTACCACGAATCCTAGCGAAGCAAGGATGAACTGTTAGTGGGCAATAAAATCTAAATATATTGATCATATATATGATTATATCTTTTTCTTAAGTCAGAAAGCTGTGCTTTTGACAGCTCCACCGCTGTAGCTGCGGTGGCGTCAATAGTAATACGTACGTCGTACGTACCACTTTTTTTAGTTTTTTAATTTGCCCCTTATTTTTTTGTTAAATATTCATTTGTACTTGGGTCACTCACTCCATTTAGCTACCTACTAAATATCATTTTTATAAAAGTCAGTGCTCTTAAATAAATATTTAAATGAGTAAAACCTTAGAGAATACATTTAAGGATATATGAAAAGTACATTTATTAATAATTAATATACGGAACACATTATTAAGTAGGTTCAATATAGGCAGGTAGATATTAGAAATATCTAAGATTCACATTATACCTACTTCTAGAATAGTATGTATAAGGCAATTTTCTGATCGCCATAATTATAAAGTGCTTGGTGTTGTAAAACGTTTCTTTGTTTTGAATCTATCTATTTTACTAAAATCATGATATGAAGAGGCAACATTTTCTTCCCTTTGTCCAAATTCGCTAAATAGTACCTACTTATGTACGCGAATAGTGGTAGCCCAGTGTTAAAGCGCTCGCTTACAAAACCAATTGTGATGCGAGTTCAAATTCCTTGCACCTCTAATATTTTCTTGGTGTATCATTTATAGTATGATTAATAATTATCACTCGCATATACCTAACGCTAAAGAAGCATCGTGAAGAAAGCTACATGTCTGAAAGAACCGGACCAATTTCTAAAACACATGTGAAGTCCATCCACCCACACTTGGAATCTGGTGGACCATTTCCTGACCCCTCTCATATTTAGGGGAGACCTGTGCCTAGAAGCGGGACGTTAAAAAGATTTGAATGATAACGATGACCTAGATTGTTTCTTAATGAGCGTAAACAATATAAAGAGCTAAAATATTCCATTATAAATAGTTAAAAAAAAGGTAAATTCCTTACCTTTTTTTTCAAAAATATCGATCAAACCTTTATACAAATTGTATTTTCTACTCATTACATTGGATTAACAGATATGAGACCACAATCTATTTCTTATTCCTTAAATTCTTTAAACTCTAAATATTGATGTATTACATAAACAACTACAAATGTTATATTTTATAATACACATATAAAATAATAGTCACCGCAGAGACACGAATAATTTGAGTTTAATTCAAGCTGTATATCACTTGCGATAGTCGAGACAAGCAATCCGAGCATATCGCATACAACACCGTTATAAATCAGGAATGATTGACACAGAATGGCAAATATCATTTACCTACATTGAAAATTGAAATTATATTTGAATTGAGATTTTATATTTACACAATATCAAAATTAGAAAATTTCAAAATTTAAAATTACTCGATGTTGTTGCAAATATCGTTTACCGTAACGCAAATAAACAATAATATATCAAGATGAGTCAAGAGCTGAGTTATTTTGCGGCAGATGGCAACGGCAATTGCTTAGTGTGTTGGCGGAGACAATGCCTCTAATCCGTGTCGTTCGAAACCTGCAGGCCTTACCTTGACTCCTACGCCTCACTGCTCCGTTTACTGAGCAACTAAACCCTGTCAAAGCGGATTGCTTACTTTGTGCAACTACATATTAACAACGCTGACTTTTCACTTTCAAACACACGTTACATCGCGCAGTAAACGATGTGGAATAATACATATGTTTTTAAATGTTGGGCTTTTATTTAGCAATCTGAACAAAAATAGTATTCATCCTTTAAAACCTTTAAATGTACTCGTAATATGTACCTATATTTAAAATTATATTTTAGGTAACTAAAAATCGTTGCTTCGAACAGCCGTATTATAATTAGCGTAACAGAATTCGTTATAATATTCATGAGAAATGGCCTCCGAACTAATGAATGAACGGGCCACGCTGCTCGCCCACGGTAATTTCATTCATACAGGGCCCTGCGTGGTCGCGAACTGCCTCAATGTCGACCTACTACATACCATAATATATTTAAATCATACAAAAACATAAATAAAGTTTCAGTAAACATTACGAATATAAAACAGTAAATAAGATTCTAGGAGATACTTTAAAAAAAAATCTTTTACCAGCTCAATATGTGTATTAATATTTATTACGAGTAATAAGCAGAGCTTGCAACAAGTCAAAAACATATAACCTAAATAAATACTGATTAGACAAACATATTTGCCACTCAACAGGTAGCTGTGTAAAGGTCAGAATCGATATGAAATGGCAGAGTTGAGAACACCAGCAGAGCCGCGTCGCAGTATGAATGAGAGTAGGCAAGGGTGGTAAAGGGATGGGGTATGGGGGTTTTGTACGATTTTCGTGGCATGGGCACGGTATGACGTCCGCGTCGCCAGGACGCTTGCGCAGTCGACGCTAAAGTTCAAGGACACGGCATCGATCGCCGGTGGCGTGCTGCTCTCTGCCACGGCCACACACTGATCAATGCTGCCTCCAATGCCACTGCCACGGACGGACGTAGAACGGCTATGATTCTATTGCACTCATATTTGAACTCTAGTGCTTGCTCTCCTAAATGTTCAATGCCATATGCGTTTTAATTACATGTTTTAGTTTTATTGTAAATAATTTATGTAATTTTTTTTTACCAACATCATCAGAGAAAGGGGTACTTAATTTAGGTGTGTACTTTTCTAGTTTCTAGCCAATTATAAAGCAATTTTAAAACACTTTAAATACTTAGGGTAACATTAAAAAAAATCTTCATGTCTGATGGCGGAACAAACATATGTAGAATCATTTCAAATTGTAAATTTGATACAAAATGTAATGTATATTCAAGATATCAGAATCTTTAGAGTTTTGGTGAAAGTGGACTTTAAAGTCCGTGTTATTTTTAGGCCCATGTGCCTTTTCAATTAAAAAGTAATGACTGTTACATTTAAATTTAAGACCTACCAAATGTCAATTAAAAAAGTTAATGGATAAGGCTATTAACAATTGAATAAATGATCCAAGTTAAACATATTGGGATTGTAATGTAAATTTATTTATTTATATTTTATTTTTTGCTTAAAATGGAACTTGATTGTGCGCGTAATCCGCCGTAAATAAGAGACGCGTGCGCAGCGCTGATTACATTACTATGATCCTCGCACAACGATACATATAGAGTGGCTTATTATTTATAAATAGGTATATATTTTTTCAATATATCTGTTAAAAGTTTTATATGAAATAATTATCATTAAAACAAGCAATGTTTTTATTACTTTAATTAAAAGTATCTATCAATCAGGTAGAAAAACATATAAGCAAATTCTTACATCCATACTTCCATACTTAATATTATAAATGTGGAAGTGTGTTTGTTTGTTTGTTTGTCCTTCTTTCACATCGAAACGTAGTGACGGATTGGCATGATGATTTTTTAGTGTGGAGATAGTTGGAGGACTGAAGAGACTGAAAAAGACTGATATAGACTACTTTTTATACGGAGATCATCTATTTCCCACGTAAAAACACGTTATAATACAATCTAAAAAAATATTTATGATCAGAATTACTTGAAAGTTCTTATTAATGCTCTTCAATAAAATTAAATAAATACGTGTTTTAGCATTTTTTGAAATTCATCCTATAAGAGGTTACCCCCTTATATAATAGTCGATGTATGAAACTACCTTTTTAGGGTTTTTTGTAGTTTTCGCGCGAGCGTAGCCGCGGGTTCTGCTAGTATATTATAATTTATTCATTCCTTTAAGTTTTATGCCTGTTTTAATTGTTGTATTTAATATAAAATATAGCAAATAAGTGATACACTTGCTTAGCAAATATATAAAGACATGATAAAGAGTCAATTCCAAGCATACTGATTGCGAATGCAAGTATTGCAAGCGCGTGTCAAATTGCGTCGCGCCCACACTCCAGTCCTTGCGCATCCGACTCGTGATGGCAACATTATGTCGATAAGGGCTGCTCATTTAATTCTTTCTACCTTTCCAGTTGATTAAGATAGTCTAATTAAACTGGTATAATAATAAAAAAAAGACTTATATAAGGGGTATTAATAACTAAGAAACAAACCTTAAATTACTATTTTTCAATGGTATTTTATAGATGTTAAAAATCACTTGGGAATAATAGGTACACAGCACTTGGTAGTGTGAGCGCCGCGCCATTCATGAATTTCCCACTCATCGACGGAAACTCAGCAAGGGGATGAGGTACTGGAGGGCGAGCGCGGGGGGACGAGCTGCCTCCCCATTTATGAATGAGGCCACACGTCATTGATATCGATCGACGCGGCCCTGTTGAGGTTAACACACAAGGGCAGCGTCGTTCAACAGGTGGCAATTTGACGCACGCCCTATAGTTTTCCGCAAAAGTAATTCTTTGTCACTTTATAAATGTCGTCATAAGCCCTGATAACCGCTGACGCTTTTACTTATCACTAATATCATCGCTATGCTTATCTTTAGCTTTACTAATATTATAAATGCATTTATGCATACGTCAATAAAAACTCTAAATATAATCCATGATATAATCTATCTCAATTCCGAATTTTACTCAAATCCGTTTGGCCGGAGCAATGTGAGGAGGTAACAAACAGACATACTTTCTCACTTCCTCACTTACTGACTAACAAACTCTCGTATTATACTAATAACCAATATACTTTGTATATTTGGTTTTCTTAAGTGTAAAAATAAACATTATCTTCGAATTATCAACTCTTGCATAAGCCATTCGATCTTATTTAAAAATTCTTATAATATGCAGAAATTATGTAATTATAAAGCTATTTAGTCTTAAGAAATTATTTAGTACAATATTTCAGAAAACATAATCATTAAGTACTTAATTAATATATTTACTACCGGTGCCTAATTAAAATTTTACTAAAATATACCTAAACATCATATTATTGGTGATTTAATAATGTATCTGCAATTTTTTTATTTCATAACTACACATATATACCTCCTACTTAATAATACATAAATTACCTATACTCCTTTGCAAAAAACGGGCACCTAAAGAAAACGTTCCAAGGCCGATTTCAATTAATTCAATTGAATTTAATTGTTTCACGTAGCTTGTATCCCTTTACACCCGAGATTGTACAATCGTGAGTTTTGACTTTGAAAAATTCCACACTGTATCCAAAACTATTTTTGCGAACGCAACCGCCATCGATCGATCGCGTATCTATCTAAGAGTGCACGAAAATATCCTTTACTGCCATACAAACAAGTCAGCCGTCAAAAGGACGTGATAAGGAGGGCTGCGTCTTTTGACAACAGGAACCGCTCAAGTAAGTACCTCCTATTTAAATAAATTAATGAGATTTTTAAATACCTTTTCCTGTATATTGCTTGTTTATCAGTTGATGTATAAGCCTAAATGTGATTTTGTACATTACGTTAGTAGTTTGTCGTGTATAGCCTTCGAAATTTAAACTCGCACACTCGTAGTATGTGAATTTAATGTTGACTATTGGTGTGCATTTCTTTGTTGTTTTAGTGTTTTGTAGCTTCGAAATTTATTTATTTTTCATTTTTAGGACGTCTTCTGACAGAAGAACCATATGTGACTTTTTAGGAAACGGCAATATATCCGAAATCGAAGATTTCGAGGTCTATGACGTAGATTTCGATCCAGATGTCCTATTTCTGAATTGAAAAGGAGCAGGATGATGGAATGGTCAGTAAAAAACCGTCTACGGTATCTACCTCAGTTTTCCCATTGATACAGTTGCCTTCACCTCTTCGACACAACAAACACTTCTTCAACACCAAGGGCTACTATCTGAAAATCAAGAAGTTCACGTCAAGGGCTTTCCCGTTCAACTTCTGTCCCGAATGATAGATCGAGTAAAGTACCCTATATGTTGACCCGGATAACCAGCTATCACCATACCAAATTTCTACAAAATCCCTCCAGTGGTTTTTCTGTGATGCGGTAACAGACAGTCAGACAAAAATTCTAAAAACTATAGATTCGGCCTCTGTATCGATAATATTGTTTATTTCAATAAGATTTTCCAAAAAATATTTAATGTACAGATTCGGATTAGTTACAATTTTATTATATGTATGGATTAACTACCTACCTATTACATAAATTATATTTTGTGGTGGGGTATAAAAAGCTCAAATATAAAATATATGATTGTTTAATATAATTTAATCACCTATACACAAAACATATGTTCATAAAAATTCAGTGAAAAGTCAACAAGATTGTGCGTCAAACGAAAATGGTGAGTCGTTCCGCCCCGAGGGGGTCCTGACGTCATTTAACTGCCCCCTCAAACTCCTATCATTGGCTCTCCCTGTAGGTCATAGCAAATTTACGAGTTAAACTCACCTAATTAGACGACATTAATACATAAAACTACAACGAAACAAACAATTTGTACTATAATTTTTATTTATTTTACTTTGGTGCTTACTCTTACAAAGCTTTACGTATATTTCCGATAATTGCCAAAATACAATTTTCAGCTAATTATATAATATAGTAAACGATACATTTGTTTAAATGATATATACTATTGTTTCTCATCTTAAATGTCGTAAAAAAATATTAAAATATTAAAATTGAAAATTGTACATTTGACCAAAAACTACGAGCGAAGCTCGGTGGCCCAGGTACTGTTTAGTTAAATCTTCATATTATGACGTAATATTATTTTATCTCATCTATTTATTGATATAACAGATACGCTATCTATACATAAAGACCTGCGTAAATCTATTACGTTGAATGAAAATATCGATTGCCTATAATTTATAGCTTGAACGAGATAAACATTCTCGCACTATACGTCAACTGTGGTGAGTCTGGGTGAAATTAGAGTTTTCGAGTGCAGCGTAATTATAAAGATGACATGCCAGCGTGACGCGCGGGAACGCGACGTGTGCCAACATTGTTTTTCGATGAGAGTGCCTAAATTCGCATGTCCGCGTCATAGTGCGATATTTTTACGCCGGATGGTCAATACGTACTGTTACACAATATTTTTCTTCTTATTTCTAATTTCAAAACAATATCGAAATTAATACCTAGGTACTTACTATACTACCTGCTAGTTTTTGTTCATTAACTTCACTATGTATGCCCCCATAAATCGACTTTATTATCGAGCTTTATTCTTCAATTTATTCATCTTTCACATTCTTTAGAAATCATGTCATGAGTTCGTAGAGCTGATAGCATATGTACATTGTCACCTAGAATTGCAACACGTATTAATAGATGCATCACAAGCTTGCCAAAATTACAAGACACTGAAGACAGTCTAATAGTAACAAGTGTCATAATATCAGCACAACAGTGGCGAAGCGTCCATACAAGACGTCTTATTTTGTTATAATTTTACGTACATTTAATTTGTTAAATGTATAAATATTTTTTTGGAAATAATATATATATATTAATAATATATATATATATATTATTAATATATATATATATAATAGCTTTATTACTTTCTGAATTAATACGTATATAAAAATTGTATATTTTTTGAACCTCTGCTAAATTTTACCCTTCGCCACTGCAACACAGTGTATAAAACTGATAAATTATAAACAACTACATATTTACTTTTAAAGAAATTGATTTCTACCACTAAAAGTGATGGTTTAGTACTAATTCGGTTATACTATCTTAAAAGAAAATAACAATAAAAACGTATTGGATATAAAACATCCTACACATGCCTATGAGTATGTATGTAATATTAGGTCTTTACCCGTGAAATTGCCGTTTAATATACAGAAAGTTAAAGTCATTTCTTTATAAATATTTTTTTTCTATCAATCAAAATATGTATCCATGCTATTGATGCATCTCTGCCAGCACAGTGGTAATTTTTCAATGCCCTTCTTGAACAAGCCATGTGTACGGGAGCCAACAAACTCATCAAAGGCATTTTGTACTTCCTCTTGGGTGTTGAATTTTTACCCTCCCAAGAAGTTGACCAAATTTTGGAAAAAGTAGAAGTCTGTCGGCGCAAAATCTGGTGAGTACGGTGGATGACGCAAAACTTCCAACAAAAACAAAACACTAATCAATAAACAAATGACTGAATTTGAAAATAGAACCCCACACTTTTAAAATAAAATTCATTGAAATTTAGAATTTATTGCCGGCTATTCATAAATTACGTTTCAAATGGCCAGTAATGTAAAACGGCAACTCTATGGGTAAAGACCAATTTAAATTAACAGAGAAATTTCATGACCAATCATTGTGTTAGTGGATACCGAATGGATATGGATAAATGGAGATCTCTGAAGATGCCTCTACATGTTGAACTTGTGTTCTTATACGAGCCTTCTAAATTATATAGGTACCGGGCTTCTTGATATTTAAATTTACTGTACAAATAATAATTATATTATTACCAATATAATATAATATAATTTAATATAATAATAATAATATTATAATATAATTTCACTGGTATAAAGTCATGTACGTTTATTTATTTTTACAACTACACATAGTTTATTTGTTATCGTTCGAGTGGAATTAAATTTCAAAAAGCAAGTAGGTACCTAGTAGGTACTCATTTTACATTGTTGTAATACAACACAGCTAATATGTATTACAAAGCGTGGCAAGCATGCTTCTTTGACATACACTGCGTATCTACACGAGCTAGACATACTCGTACTCCCACCGACAACACGGGCAGTCGGCACCGACCGTGGGAAGCACTAGCCAATACAAAATTGTTTGCCCACATCCTATGAGGACGCTCGAAGTGACATGTTGTTCAAACTTTACACGCATGACCTACTCAAAGAATGATTACGATATTTCATAACAATGTTTAGCATACTCAAACAAAGTGTTTATTTACCTACTAATAGCGACATCCAGCTCTACTTTCTACTTACGTCAAAATTTTTAATTGATTTTTTTTCTTATGAATCATATCCAAAAAAGAAACTTTATTAAGTAGTAATCATTCACAATTACGCATAACAAAATATCTTTAAAATATGTAAAATAAAATATTTACCTAGTCTCCAAACTCTACAATATCCTTAAAGTGTATGATATCCACCATAAAATCAACAAACCAAAAGTAATAAAATAGTCATGCTATTAAAATAGACAACGGGTGTTAGGATAACGTGCCGAAATAGAACCCCGCCTCCGAAGTCCAAACCAAAAGTAGTCAAGTTAATAATAGCACGATTCCCGCAGAGACGTTTTCATCTCGTGATTCACCTGCTGAAAACTCGATTGTTCGCATTTTACGTCAATCGGTTGCGTGGTGTTTACGAGCGCTCGCCGGCGCGGGAGCGTCAGCTGACGGCCAGGAATAGCCCTGACATCGCGGCCACGCTATGCCGCTTGCGCCCGCGCACCCACAAATAGCGCGCTATAATTAGACGGGCGGCGGTGAAATCGTGGGTTTGTTATTTTTCTTTATCGTCTCCGTTACGCGATAATTGGGTTAGCGGCTGCATGTGGGCCTGATCGGCGTCGGCGCGTCTCGGCCACGGCGGCCACCGCGCCCAGGCCATTGTCCTTAATTCTTGCACTTCATATTGCAATTGCTCTTTGCTACTTCGAATCATATTGAAAACAATTGAATTCTTGTAAACTAAACTTCTTTATACCTACTTTATTCAACACGCTTAATTATAACAAGGGTCATATTATAGTTTTAATTACCTTTTGCACTTTATACCTATTACAAGTAGTCTTCTTGGAATAAAATTGAAAACAATGAAATGCTAATTAAATTCTTATAAACTAACATTTTTACGTAGATACTAGGTAACTACAATATGTTTTATTATAATAAGGGTTATATGACAATTTTAATTTTATGATGACCAAAAACAAAATAAAACTAAATATAATTATAATGAATATGCGTGTTACAATATAGGTACCTAACCATTACGTACACATTCTTATTAACACGACTAAAATAGAAAATTTGATTTTCTTTTTGACTAGCCAGATTGCGGAGTTGAGAAACTCATTTTTGTATAAATTCAAAGAGGTAACTGTCAGAAATATTATTCATAAAATATATATATACCTATATATTATATAATATATAGGTATACCTATATATTTAATCACAAAAATAATTTAAAACATCTTTCTTAGATTAAAATGTCATAAATACATTACATGTCCAGTAGACGCCAATTTAGCAAGTACCGTACACATTCATATTAAATTAAGAATTTTGTGCAAGTCGGACTTGGTACAAAAAATATGTAGGTAAAATAAAAATTCTAAATATACTTTTAAAAGAAGTAGTAATAATAGCTATAATACGTTACTTACACAAAGTACTGAAAATAACCTGCGTCTAAATAAAGAATGGTCATTATCTAGTCAACATCCAATTATAGTAAAAGCAGTAAGAAACAAGGCAGCCCTACTAACTGACACACTACGTCAATGTGTTATTACCTGCCTACCATCCTAAAGTAAATACGTAAAAAATATGTAAAATAAATATGTATGGCTACACTAAATACGATTAACATTTAGAGTACCTACAAACGTAGCTTACATAGATTTTCTTACACATGTATTGTAGGTAAATATAGTCTATAGGTACCTACCTATAATAATGGCAAAAAGAAGTAAGTATATATCTATTATATTATTACCAAATTCAATTATAAGTGATGCTTACTCATGTTAATAAATAATTTGGATGTAAAGTTTAAGTAGATACCTACTCGTCATATTTTAACTTGATTTTAATTAATAGATATGACCTATTACATAAGTAGGTAGATACCTATATTTAAATATCTTGCAGCGTTGTCTTCTTTATTAAACTATACCTACAATTCTGTCATAACTATAGATAAGATATTTAGTTGAAAATTAATCATTTTAAAAGTTTATGTAATTGTCTATAAAAAATAATGAAACCCTTCTCAAATGAAAAATGTAAGTCCTAAACTATGTACTATTAATATTACTTTCATCAAATAAAACGACAAAATCTATTAAAAAATATCTAATGATATAAAAAGTAAAAAGTTTTAATGACGTTTTTTTAATAATTTAATTTACCTACAACTGAATGAAAATTTATCAATCATAATATTTTTTAATATGTAAGTTAATTTTAAACAAGAAAGTAACAAGCTCTATATTTGACAAACATTTACCTACTTACGGTACAATTAACTGCCATTCATATACTTTGAATTACATACATTAGATGCTTAATTTTAAATTAAAAAAATACAAGAAATATATAAATTATAAACTTGATATATTTCAATGGACAGAGTCGACCCGTTTGAAGACTAGTGGTAACGTTAAAAACGTAAACACAACAGAGACTTCATGGAGCAGGCGAGCGCGAGAGCGATAAGCGATGACTCTAGCGAGCTTAGGGGGGGGATGCTGGGGGGGGCGGCGCGGGCGGTGGGCGGCGTCGGGCGGTGACGTCAGACGGGGGGGCGCGCGGCCGCGGGATTGGTGGAGCTGCGCGCGCCGCTACCGAATATGGGACCGTGGCTCCATTGATAAAAGTGCGACGCGGGGTCGCGCGGCGCCAGTCCCTTTCGCACCGGCCGCGTGAGAGGCCGCATTCACGCTGGCGTTGTTCGTGATCCCGCTCGGGCCGTGGGCCGAGGAGCAGGTGGTGCCGGACGGCATGGGCACCGACGCGGAGCCCCCGGCCGGCCCGCATCTTCTCTCGCTGGCGGATGTGGGCGCGCTCGGCTTCGACTGCGCGCTCAAGCCAGTATCGGCGCCTATGACGGGAGGCGCGCCGGCCGACCTTAACACGCCCGTCACCACGTCGGATCTACCCGCTTTCTTTCCAAGTCTGCTCGAGCCTCCGCCTATATCAGGTGCGTCCCCTCACGCACTGTCTCGCACGCCGCACATCGCACGCCGCACGGCACCCGTAGGCGGGAGTGCAGGATTTTCCCCTGCCGGCTTTCGACCGATAACGTTGTAAACAAACAATACACAATACTCTTTGCGAAATAAAAAAAATGTTTGCACTTTTTAGTAATTCATACTTTCCACGATTGATAGATGCGGTTTACACAGTGAATTCGTAAATTTTTATTAATTCCGGTAAACTAGTAAAAAAATTGCGTATAGCGATAATTTGTATATTTTTATAATAGCAAAAATATCCAGTGTTTGATCCATAGTGAAAAGGAAAGTTCGCTTACCCGCGTGACAGGGATGGATCAATACAAACTCTTGAATGAAAAGGCTTCATGTGAAATTCCGACGGCTCACGTTGTATATTCGTGTGGCAGTGTTTAAGTGACCTTGGTTCAATGTTTTATTAATTATAATAGTTCTTGTGCTGTATTTTCCAGTTTATTGGTAACTATATCTATAAATCAAAGTAAAAGTTTTTAAAATATGTACACAAATAATAAGTATATAACATAACTATTATCAAGCAGTAAAACAATCTTAAGTCAAATTAATTATTATCCTTTAAATACTATACCTACCTATATATCAAAACTATTATATTAAATAATAGGATATTTAACGATTTATTTAAGCATAGATATATTAAAAAGATTTAATATTTTAATACTACGCGTAATCACTTTGCGTCCTATGTTTAATCTTATTTAGTTAATACGATAGAGTTGACTCTACCTCTTTCTATTATAATCTGTATGATCAAATTTAGGTTATAAAATGGAAAATAATATATTATATGCCGTGCCTATTTTATATAAATTATATAAACAGATTATACATCATTATTTATACAAAAATTACATGTAACATTATTGGTGAATAATTTATTGATAGTAATTATAAAAATAATTATTATTAACTTAAAAAACAGCAACAATTAAATTGGCTAACACCAAAATCGCGTTAGGTGACAACCAACAGTAGAGCATGTCAGATACGCGCGATAGACCTATCAACATCCGTCTGTTATCACCACATCCGCCTGCTCATTACAAAATACGCAAAATAATAAATGTTAACATACTCAGCATTAGTACTCACTAGTTGAAAATTTACATACTCGTATGTCTACGCAAAAAATATAGATCACTGTCCATCTGTAGGGAATCACTATTACCAAAATTTACATAAAATACGACATTAAAACTAAACACACTTGTTTTATTATAAGTTTATTTAATTTAACACGATTTAAAAATTTGCATAATCAATTACACAAACATAATTTATAGTTCAAATGATGCTAAACTAAGAGAGAATATAACGTTAGTGTATCATTTTTCACTTCGCACCTTTTTATTTGGATTAATCTTATTAGAATGGTAATTTTCATTCATTCTATTAACAATCACACATTAAAGTGAATATTCTCTACATTGATATATGTAGCTCCAATTTCAAAAAAACCATTGATATTGCATTATAACAATGGGTGAAAAAACAGATGTAAAAAATACTCTTCAAAATATTCCTTTGCTTTATAAGTAAGGACCACAGTCCTTACATATAAAGCAATTTTATATTACATTAACAACTATTTAATTGAACTAAATAAATAAATGTCCAATATTTTAATACAAGTAGAAAAATTATCAACATATTTGTAAATAAATATTATTTTGCTGCAGGTACTTTGCCAGGCGATGAATTGCCGCTGACTTGTTCACCGCGACGTCATAAACATGAAGCATCATTGTCCCCTGGCGCTCGTGCAGAGGACGCCAGCAATGCGTCCAGTGCAAGTGCGTCACTGTACGCACCTCAAATGGGCGGCAAACGTGCGCCCTCACCAGCGCTACAGTGGCTTCTCCCTTCGGGGCCAGGCCCAGGTAGTGTCGATAAGTACTTCCAACAAGAATATGAGGAAAGAATTGAATTGCTCCCTCCAGAGTGTCAACCCTCCTATTGCCCCCAACCGCAAGCTTGCCCTCAACCACATTGCGATTATCGTTCCCAGCCACAACCTCAGCCCCAACACACATGGGAAACCCAAGAATACGCAAGTGCGCCGCAACCGGCTCCTGGGCCTTCTGGGGTACCCAAACGTGAGCCATACCCCAGCCCGGCCGGCGACAGACCTATTCAGCTAGCCGAATATAACCCGTCCACGAGCAAAGGTCACGAGATACTTTCCCAAGTGTATCAGCAGAGTGCTCAACCTCTTCGATTGGTCGCGGTTAAGCCCCGGAAATATCCAAACCGCCCTAGCAAAACACCCGTACACGAAAGGCCTTACGCGTGTCCTGTTGAAGGGTGTGATCGGAGATTTTCAAGATCAGACGAGCTGACTAGACACATCAGGATACACACGGGGCAAAAACCGTTCCAGTGTCGAATCTGCATGCGCTCTTTCAGCCGCTCCGATCATTTGACGACGCACGTGAGGACTCACACTGGTGAAAAACCTTTTGCTTGCGATATATGTGGCCGAAAATTTGCTCGGTCAGATGAGAAGAAGCGACACGCCAAGGTGCACTTGAAACAACGATTGAAGCGGGAGCGGGGCGGTGGTGGTCCGACGCATCAGCACGAGCCGCACTCTCACGCGCAGCTCTAGCCCGCGGCCCCCTCCGCGACTGCCACCGCGCCCGCGACCCCCCCGGCGCCCTCGCCCGCACATTCCAGTGGCGAAGCGCCCGCGGATAACTGAACTATTAATTACTTTCACGTTGAAGTTATTAAATAATTTCATCGCCTAGGTGTAAGAGATTGTCTTTAACGAAGCTTTATTAACTCTACATTTGTAAATTCACTGAAATTTATATATCTTTTTATACCTATTTATAATTATTACTATAGTAACGATCAACTTGATGTATTTATTTTTATTAGATAGGATAATCGAATGAACTAGACTGGGAACAAATATAGAAAGTGCGTGAGGATTAAGCCTCCAGCGCGACGGAAGGTTACGCGTCTACGTCCCGACATCGTCGGCGTAGCGCAAACACATATCTTTATGTGACGATAGTCTTCTAACAAAATAATGTTTCTCTGATTTTTATTGACTGTAAGGTCAAACTCATGGGTGTGCATGAAAAGGTGATCGTTAAGAGGTGATACGTACTAGGCCTAGTAGCAAAAAGTATATGTTCAGAAAATATTTGCCACTTGCTCTAGATATATTAATAACGAACGTAGATAGGTATTGTTTACTATTAAAATATTTACCTTACATTGATGTTAAATTAATTCGTGGCAAATGTTCCCTGACTTAACTATCTTTTTTATATATTAAGTAAAAATGTATATTTAATGTTCTTATACTTGACAAACTAACGTGAAACTGTGCCATTCATTTAACTTTATCACGCCACGTGCCACGGCAATTTTATTTAATACTTAGTGTAACATGACTGCTGATTAAGTGATAATTATTATTATAAATGTTTGTTTTTAATATTTCTAGTCGAAGATATGGATGTGAAAGGTCGACTAAAGTTTGCTCTCGTCCATCAACTTAAGGACCCATTCCTTTACATTTCGACAGCTACTGTCATGATCTTCTCTTGCTCAAAAGTTTGTTTAACAAAATTTGCTCAAACCTATCCTCTACTATTTAACTACTTTACATACTTACATCTAATAGCCGTTCCACGCTTCCACTAACTCTCTTCGGCCTTGTTCCTTTTTTGCCACACTTGTTATTCTTGTTATTTAAAGTTACGAGTACGTTCGCCCAGTGGTATATCTACATTTTATATTTTTAGTTTTCGTAATTAGACTAATTTAGTAAAGTTATAGCTATTAGGATTTAAATTATGATCTCTTAATCAATATTAATTATTTGCAATTATAGCGAGGGCCCCTATTTATAATACTCATAAGTTTCTGTATAGATATAAATATTGTATGCAATCATGTAGATAAGATTTATAGCATTAGATTCAAGAATGAATCGTCATAACGAAGGTTTCGTAAACATAATGTTCGTCACAATCAACATTTGTCTAATATTTTTGGTAAAACCATATAGTACAACAGTGTCGCTTATTATAGGTAAATATTTAAGTTTAAGGAACTTTTGTAAAGCACAAAATATAGTCATAAAAGTCACTGTCTATACGAATCTACTTATTACGAAAATGCCTTTGACTTAAAACATGGTTGTTTACTAGTTCAATAGAACATTATTTATTTAATGAATTGTTAACATTGTTATGTAAGCAAAAATAGTGCAATCTAAATATGAATAAAAATATCTATATAAAACATATGTTGTCATGGAAACATAGTAGCCGAATAAAGTGATAAACGTACAACAGGGTGGGCCTTTCTAGTATGTTCGATTGTTATGAATTTAGGATATCTGACAATAATATGACTAACTCTTATATTTCTAACTGCGTATTCAAAGAACGGCGGTTATTTTGTATTTTACGGAAAGAATTCCACCGTTCTCATTTCAGTCGCCTAAAGTCTTAAAACTACAGGTATAATATCCCCGCGCTCAATGTGAACACAAGCGGATGCACGCTCTTTATAACAATATACTTGATATGAAAGTGGTGAACGCGTTTATAATGTTTTACTATTGTAGAAGAGACGTAGTCTCTGTTAGGCAAGGCTAGCGTAGATAGGTTTTAATAAAGTGTATTCATGTTAGTCAAATGAATGACAATTGAAACGAAGAAGACTAAATTCAAGTATGCCATGTTGCATCGCGTTGACGTTATTAATATACGATTTGTATTAAGATACCTGTCGAGGCTCCCGCACCGCGGCACGTTGTTGTTCTTAGCTGCTAGTGCTGACGTGCAGCGGGTGGATCCTTGGGTACGTTGTTGACACCTCTGTTATATTCCAGCTCTGTTGCGGAACTCTCATAATTAATTACATTTCACGTAACTGTCTAGCTCTTAGTGACTTCGAAACTAAAACTAATTCATGGTGTTCACCTATTAGTGAATGAGTACGAATTTTCTGTATGGCTACAATTTAAACTGTCTTTTATATTTCACCAGAGTGAAAGATGTTGTTGATGTTCTAAATTTAGATAGTCTTAAGGTCTACTTAGGTATTGTTAAATCTCACTAATTTTTACTAAACTCTGTTTAATATATTTGTAAATACACTCTGATTAAATTAAAATTTAATGTGTATATAAGAGAAAAAGAATTTTTTTATTTAATATGAAAATTCACCTAAGGTGCGAAAATACAAATTGTTGAAAACTTCAAATATGTTTTTTATTAAATACACCCGCGAAACTCTAACACGTGAAATTCCACATTATTCTTTTAAGTAAAACCATATAGTTGGCAACAAACATTAGGGTGATAAATTTAGTGCGACAAATGGTGGGTATTGGCACACAACAGTCTGTTTATTTGTATTTTTAACACACTTTCGTTAAAAATTGAAACTACCAAGAAATGATGTCGCTCGAGTTCTATTTTAGATTACTAGATAGAGATCTCAACATTTCTCCTATCTATATTATTATACTAAACTTAAATTCATCGCATGACAACTGACACTTAAAGTGACAAACATTGACCTAAATCCAATAAATAGATCGACTTAATTGAGCAATTGCAAGTACCTAATGATTGAGATGAAATTTCGCCTTAAACTTAGTTACATCTACCTATAATTCTAATTTAATAAAGCTTAAAATTTAATAAAACAAAATAAAGTACATACATATATATTTATTATTTACCCAGTTAGCTTTGATTAAATATCAAAACATAAAAGTATCTTAGCTAGGAATGTTCAAGCTAACGAATTGAAATATAATTTCACATGAAAAAAAAACTAGTAATGTATCTAAAAGGTACCTAATTGTAAAGATTGACTAGCGTTTTTTTATAAATTAGATATAAATGTATATACCTAATAAAAAAATGATTACTAAGATAAAAAGAAGAAAAATGGTGAAAATAAACAAATTAGTAATAAGTACATACTTAAAATTAAATTCAAATATGCCTATTATGATAATTTTACATTTACAAGATGGTATGGTTATGGCGTGTTATAGAATAAGGCCGATGGTTCGATCCCGTTTGGTATATTATGTATTTTAAAATATGTTTGAAATATATAATTTAGAAATACTATTACTACTATAATTTATATATTTTAAATCAGATATCAAATAAAACTCAAGTCTCTATTTTTTATAAATTCCTAGCTCCATCTATCGGCAGTACTGCAAGCTAAATAAAGAACAGACAGTCACTCATGAATTGCCTGTAGTATCTATTGCACAGCATTGCCGGGTTATCCATGCGTGTACTTATTAAATAAAAATGTAAATGCAGGAATCAGGACCTCATTCATCATCATTCATCCTAAGCCACTGGGTCTAAGAATATAAAATTTTGCAAAACAATAAAACCAGCACTAAGAAAGAATTTCTTAAAATTCATCGCCCAAAGAAATTAAAAACGAATGAAAGTGTATGGAAATCATCAATTTTGAAGTAATTTATGGCATTTTATTTTTAGGCTTCTGTTTGTGTTGCCGATCCGACGTCACTAAAATAAAATAAAAGGCGGTATACCATGCGGGTTGCTCCTGGTACTTCTCTGATAACAGAGTGGACCTTGGAGCAACCCCGCGGTTGTTGTGGTCTGCTTCGGCAGACCTGCCGTCGAGGCGTCGTAGTTGAATGCGTAAGCGATCCTGCGACGCCCCATTAAGACGGGGGAAGATTTTGTTGGGTTTTAGTGGGTAGTACTGTTTTTGCTGATGAGTCCCACACCTCATGCGTAAATGCATATCCCAACGTTAAAAAAAGGTAAGTAGGTAAGGAGTAGGTATGAAAGAAAAAATATAATTAATCATTTTTCTTCGTTTTAAAACCTAATTATTAAAAAATAAAAAGAAAATATACACAATTTTTTTAAACGGTTGCCTTCATTCTTTATTTAGATGGAAGCGCCACTCTTGTTTAACCATAAACAATATTAAATCATAAAAGATACTATTATCACGAATAGTAAGACCAATTTCTGAAGCATAAACACATTCAATAGGTACATTTATTTATACTGTGTAGATAATACCTACACACCTAAACCTAACGAACGGGTTATATCCTGGTTTGAAACAGGCTGTTTAATATCAAGGTATCCGACAATCCAAGGTAACCAACCGAGTGATATTCGGGCAAAAATTATGTGTAAATAATATCAATAAGCAAATAATCATGGTATAGTGTTTTATACATTTTTAATCAGGCGCTTAACATTAAATATGTCATGCTATAGTTGTGCCTAAAGTTACTCGATAATATTATATGTTTGGTTCATGTGTAATGTGTATAATAACTATGTTTTAAAATAGCTTTACTGCCTCGGTGATCGAGTGGCTAGTACGTACGACTACAGGTCAATACCAGGTCGGGCGAAATTTATTTATAAGTTTTTCTGTCAAGAAATTCTCAGTAATAATCCGGAATTGGAAAGTTGGTAACAATTGTCAACGAGATTATTTTGTCGGTTTCGGTAAGCTCCGTGCATGGCACGCGGCGCAATGATAAGCCTGCGCAGCACTTAAGCCGTTATATACGGGTATGATACGCTGTTGATACGTTTTAGTGGGCATAGTAGTCCGTGCCATGCCCGTTTCCGTACCTGTACATTCATAGCACGGTCATGGTATGAGACAGAGTAGTGGGTAGACACCTTAATATCTCCTGCGCACATGGCTAGTTAAACATGAGACAGTAAGATTGGCCGTCGTATCCGTAATCAAGTCAGGAGGATATTTTTTTCAAATGAGAGGAATATGAGAAAAAATTAAAAAATACTCCGTATATTGTATTTACAATTTAATCAAAACATTCTTTTCTCAATGAAACTGTATCTTTTTTATGTATGTTATAGTGATCAAATTCTCACAAGTAGTTTAATTTAATATTAAGAACTTAGTTGGGATCTAAAAAAACTAGTAAAAGTGACGTTAACATAATGAACACGCCGCATAAGTTTGCCTAAGCTTATCTCAATGACTATGGAATGAGATTAAAAATTTTACCACAATGGCACAATTTAATTTAGTAATAAGTAAAACCACACTTAGGTCATTATAGTTTAATTTAAATACAACGTGGATTAAATCATATAGTCAAACAATATTACAATATTTAAATCTATGCTATTCTTGGATGCTTCTCGAATTACTTGAAGTTAAGTTTAATTTTACATGTACCAAAATATGTAAATTTTCATTGATGCATTAATTTTCTTTACTTAAACTATAATAAGTAAACATAAAAATATAAACTGCATTACTTACTTGCACCTTTTTATCTAAACAACTTAATAAGTAATTCATTATCTATGAATCTGTGACTAAGTTTTACAAGGAAATTTATTTAACGAAAATGACTAAAATATTTTTTTAAATAAAATTCTTAAAAAATATTGTTCTAAAAAATGTTTTAAATAAATACATAAAGCAAAATTATTCTAAATAATTTAATATTTTTTTCATATAGGAACACTTTACATTCATAACATTGTCATTTACTTTAAATCCATTTTGTGCTTATATCAGCATTATATCAATAAGGCGTTCCTCTTTTCCTGTTATTTCCTTAAAACTAAAATATTTCAAAATGTATGGAAAATAAAGGGTTGCAATAATATAACTTGGCACAACTTCTCTAATGGAGTTTTAATTTTTAATTTTTTAAGTTAAATATTAAAATGCATCTGCAGGTATAGAACAAAATAATAAAACACATAGCTTTAATAAAAAGTATTTTCAGGCATAAAAAACCTTTATCTCAAACTAGAGTTATGCAGTTTAGAGTTACGAGTATATAACATATCATTGCTATTGATAAAGTTGCATGCATGAGGTGAAAAAAATATTCGGATTTGATTTCGTTCCTAGATAAGTTTTATTATGCCACCTCAAATAAAATCTTTGTACATTATCGTAACAACATGTCTACAATTTACAGAAATGGAAGGCTGATAAAATAATTCTAAATAGAAAGAGTGGAAATCTTACCAACATACATTTATATCTCAAAGACTTCGACATTCGATGTTCAAAATTAGTGATGTTTTAATTACGTCGTCTCTTGGTCATCGTTCTTGGCGAGGTTGGGTTCTGACTCGGCCCGACGCTTGAGCCCGTCCACGTCGGGAGACGACGGCCGCTCGACTGACTCCTCGGTGGCTGATGCTGCTGCTTTTATATCCGGCGCGCTGCGGCTGACGTCCTGTTTGGGGTTGTATTCAGACCTTTTTAACGTCCCACTGCTGGGCACGGGCCTCCCTTCAGTACGAAGGGAATCAGGCCATAGTCTACCACGCTGGCCAAGTGCGGGTTGGTGGACTTGACATGTCTTTTGAAAACTTGCTAGGTTCTCTCAGACATGCAGGTTTCCTCACGATGTTTTCCTTCACCGTTAAGACAAGTGGTAATCATGTTGGAAATGATTCGCACATGAAAATATCAGAGGTGCGAGATCCGGGATTTGAACTCGCTTCACTCGGTTTCCCAAGCGAGCGCGTTACCACTGGGCTACCACTGCCTAGATAGAGAATACCTAGAAAATACCTACACACCTAAACCTATCTATAAATATATGGGTTATCGCATCCTATTATATTTACATCTATAATAATATTATAAAGAGGTAGTTTGTGAGTTTGTGACGTTGTAGGGGTAATCTCTGGATCTACTAAACCAATTTAGACGAAATTTGGTAAGAATATAGTTTAAGACCCTGGGAAGGACATAGAATACTTTTTATCTCGGAAATAATCCTTTAAGGGAGTGAAAATGGAAATGAAAGTTTGTATTGGGAAGCAAGCTCGGGACGAACCCGAGCGAAGCGAAGGTGAGTCGTGAGTATAAATATATAGCTAGTGGCTCGCTTAACGAACTAAGTGCAGCTGGTTCAAACCCTGGTCTCATATCTCTAAAATTTTCGTCGTCGAATATTTTTTACCACTTACAATGAAGGACTTCTCCTTGATTTGTAAGAAATTTGAATTGTGATAAAACTTACATCTACATCTGAAGGAACATCATAGATACAAGCTAACCTCTACAAACAATTTGACCAACTTCACCATGTTTTTCCACTTATCGAGGCCCAAACCCGGTATTTAAACACCATAGGGAAATGCCCAAATGTGGTCAATGGTCACCAGACTATTACTTAGCAATGAAAAATTAGAAAAACTATATAAAACTGTAGAAAAGAGATGTGTGACTAGCTTCCCACGTGCCTTTAGCGTAACATTGGCGCAGCTAAGGGACAAGAGTGTGACCATTTCGAGAACTTAGCTCTTGCTCTTTTTAAATAAAATATCTTTTCGGATTATTTTGCGGATTTATTTTGATTTTTGGTTTCCGACTTTTCGAATACTTTACAGCAATCATGGTCACGGGAGAAACTAAGGTTAAGACGTCTCAAAGGCGTTATAATACTTGTTACAGACAGTGCCTATCCACTATCTTACCAAAATGATTGCAAAAATTCAAAAACGGTACCAACGTACCTTTTTGTTTTTAAACGTTTTTAAATCTTAAAATTTTTAATAAATGTGATAATTAAACTCGCGTAAATTTAAGAAAGTATTATCTTGCCCTTTTGCTAAAGACGGCCACTGAACGCAAGTCAGAGATGGAGGACAGATGGTGCTATTCACAAGTAGCTCACCACAGGCTATCCTGCAGGCTTACTATTATTTTTACTATATGTACAACATTCAGAAACAACCGGTACTTTGGTCACTAATAATAAAGATGCAGCACAGAAATTTTCTCTTATTACCGAATTTTTGCTTACCTGATTGAACTTTTAAGAAAAATAAACACATTTAAAGAGTGACAAAACTGATAAATAAACTACAAATATTTCTTACTAAATCTGGCTCAATGTAATCTCCGGTATCTTGTTTAACTTGGACGTTCATTTTGTCGTTGAGATAGCAGACACCGTTCAAGTCTATTGCACTGTTTGAAAATATGGCGGCCGCACCCACCGACGCATCTACTAGCGGTTCCACCTGGAATATGAACAATATCGGACTACTATTACAATTGGCCACGGACCTTAAAGTAAACATCTATTTAATATAGGTATAACTGACAGTAGGGATGTGACTTGGAGGGAAAAAACTAGATTACTAAATAATCGATTTTTCTCTCTTTAAAATAAATGTATTTGTAAAAAATCGTTAACTAAAAAATAATCTATTGTATCGAACTATTCGAAAAGTTGCATTTTTTTGTACATAATAATAAAATTACCAAGTCCACGCGTTTTTTCATTTATCACACAGATGGCGCTATTTGCAAAATTCCATTAAAATATGCAGCTTGGTTTAATCCAACAACGCATATTTTATCTTTTTTACTTAAAAAAAAGAGAGTAAGTAATATAATCGATTCATTAAAAATCGATTTTTAATATTTAAAGAATCGATTATTATAAAACGATTATAAGAAAAATGATTATTTTATTAATATAAAAATCGATTATTTTTTCACATCCCTGACTAACAACCCACTTTGCAGGGCCTTCATGAGGGCAGACGAAACGGCTGCACATGTAATCTTGTATTGCCCAGGTGTAGCGGCGTACCGGGCTCAACACCTTGGCACCATTAGTACCACTCTCGGAGGTTTTCAGCAATACGAAGAGATTGCTGAAACTCCTGGAGGAACTGGGCTGGCAAGAGTAACACGAGTGAATAATTCTCCACACACGCAAAATAGGCGCACAGACGTCGAGTTGCAGAAACAAGCCCGAATATACCATACCATACTATTACAATTGTAAATATTATGTGTGTTTCTTACTTCTTCGCGTTAAAAAAAAAGCTGAACGGATTTAGATGAAATTTTATACACAGATAGACCTTGAGTAACAAATAGGTTACTGTTTGAAGTTGCTAGCTAATTATTATTTTAATTTATATTTACATTAAAAAAATGACTATTTGTCTTATTAAATAAAACACTTGCAAAGATTGGAAAATTTAAATGTAACTCACTAAAACGTTGTCTGGTACAACAAATTTTAACTGAACTTGCTTTTTCTCAATTGTTGTTTCGTATTCAGAAACCTTTTGAGCATATGAAGTTTCTTTACAATCTTTTGGTTCTCTGAAAAATATATAAGAAATTAGGTTATGTTTATGCAAAACTTTATAAAAAAAAACAACTATACCCTACTAATAACAATTCATTTTTTAATCAATAAAGACATGTAGGCCTAATCGGTAATTTAAATATCCACTGATGTCAGAACAGACTGAGAGACAAACGGGGGTAGCAGCTGCGAATACAATTTAAGGCAGTGGTAGCTCAGTGCCTGGTCACGCGCTCACTTAGGAAACCTAGTAAAACGGGTTCAAATCGCGTGTGTCGCACCTCTGATATCTTCATGAGCGAATCATTTCCTTAGTGTCTTACGGTGGTAGAAAACATCGTCAGGAAACCTGCATGTCTGAGAACCTAGCAAGTTTCCGAAAGACATGTGAAGTTCACTAACTCGCATTTGGCCAGCCTGGTGGACTATGGCCTGATACCCCTCGTATTGAAGGGAGGCCCGTGCCCAGCAGTGAGACTTCAAAAAGGGCATACATTGATTTTGCGAAAAAGAGGAGGTTAGTTGGTCTCACGGTGATATCTGCATCTAAATGTTGTGTACGTAAATGTTTGAATGAATTCTCTTCTTACCGTTTAGGCGTTGTATGATGGCTGTCACTTTTCTCCCCTTGATGTTGAGATATCAAATCGCAAGCCTTCCCAAGAATTACTATAGATACTAGTACCCTTATCGATATAAGGCATAAATACGCTATAAATATTAAAAGCACCGCTGCCAACCTAGAAATAAAATATATATAGGTACATACATGGAAGAAATAAGAAATATATACAAAACTTTTTAAAGTGAATAAATAATAACTAGCTATATTAGTGGCTGTTAGGGGGACGTATAAATAAAAGTGGACTGTATACAATAGTTTATTGCTGGTTAACAACCGTCGTCTTAAATACGCGTTTTAGAAAAAGGAATGGAACAAAAATTGTTTAAATTACGGTGTTGGTCGTCGAGCCAGCTATGACTTTAAGACGCAAGTGGGCGCTCCGTCACGTACTAGTCGCTAACCATGGCTCTCGAGGGTGGGGCTGCGCCCGCTGTCCCGCCGGTACCTATTGTTACGTATATCGGAGCAACAGTGGCTAAAGCAACAAAATTTGCCGAGTTTCTTTCACCAATTCGACTTCCTCATTCCGAACTGGTAATAGACTCATGACATTCAGTATAAAATTGTAATAATTTCATGCCGATTTTGACTTTTTTGATGTTTTTGATCCGGATCATCTTTGTTAATATTTTACACTTGGCTACTTTTTTTTAATGTTGGTAAATGCATTTACTCATACCATCTGTAGACATACAGGTAGTTATGTGGGACTCACCGGGTAGAAAAGCCAGTACTACCCACTATAACCCAACAAAACCTTCCCCCGTCTTAATGGGGCGTCGCAGGATCGCTTACGCATTCAACTACGACGCCCCGACGGCAGGTCTGCCGAAGCAGACCAGAACAACCATGGGGTTGCTCCACAACCCACTCTGCTGTCAGAGAAGTACCAGAAGCAACCCGCATAGCACACCGCCCACCGAATTGGGCCACTTCCCTGTGCGTTTCCTAGCTTCGCGTCCGGCTGCATTGCCGGGCACTACTGAGCCCCCCCACCACGACAAGGTGAACGCACGTTGGGGGGCCTACACTTTGCTATTGCCAACTATATTAAACTTAATAAACTCACCCATCAACTTTCACAGCATGAACCAAAACCCTAGTTATCACAACACCTAGAGGCAGTGGTATGAAGCCCATCCTCCTGGCAACTAAATCTGAGTGATCACTAAAGGCATACTTCTGTCTCGTCTGTGCCACGTCGTATGCTAGGCTCACTGTGTATTCTCTGTATACCCCAAACGGGATTTCGTTAAACCTGCCAAAAAATAACCCATATATTATACCTATAAATATCTGCACGAGAATAAAATGATATTTAAAAGTATTATTTTTTAAATCTTAAGTTCAAGAAATATTTAAAAAACATTATAATAGGCTCTTGGCAGTCATTATAATATACATATGGTGAACTTGATTCTTTGTTTTATGTCTTTAAGATTAGAGAAGCTGTGGCAGCTGAGAACAGTCTTTTTGTTTCAATGTCACAGAATGATGAGGACTTAGATATCATGTCTGTGTACCATAGGGATCCATACATTTTTCCAGGATAAAAAGTTACCTATATGCTATTCCAAACTGTGATCTATCTCTGTGCCAAATTTCAACCAAATCCGTTCAGCCGTTCTGGTGTGAAACTATAACAAACTATCCATCCATCCATCCATCCTCTCAAATTTTTACATTTATAATATTAGTAGGATAATATGTAAACATATAAATCAAATGAGCATTCTGTACCTAGTAATAAAAGCATGTTTAACCCAGTCAATTATCACTTCAAATGTAAGCACAAGTACACAATCAGGTGCCAATATCCAGAACCTCTCTTCCTTCCACATATATTCCTTCATAGTTTGAAGAACCACTATGAAAAGTAGTACTGATAAATGAAGTCGCTCTCTCACATCACTGCAAGACACTTGAAAAAGATTATTTTTATCAAACTTCTTGAATACACTTCCTTTCAGTTCAACAAACTGAAAAAGAAAAATAAATATTAAAATTAAATATACCTATATAAAAATTATAAAATTTGTTCATAAGCAGCAGTTTCATTTAATAATGATGAAATAAATAATGATATTTAAATATTTATTTTAATTTAAAAGAGTTCCTTTCATTGATTACAAAAATACATTTGCATTCAGATATCTTTATTGCCTGTTAAGTAAGGTTTATTCTCATTATTAGCATAGCATACTTAATTTACAAATCTTTCTAGCCAATTCAAAAAAATGAATCATGATCAAATAAATGGGATGTAGTGTTTTGGTAAACACATCATCATATTATTGCGATTTAAATGAAATTGCGAATAGCCAAAATGATGATACTTACATTATTTGACATCATTATTATAAGGAGACTTTTATTATTAGAATTAAAAGCTACATTGAGTGTTGTGGCTTGAAACAATACCAATAAGCTGTGAAGAACTGACCTGATATTAAGAAAATTAGGACAACAAAACTCATAGAAACTATAAATGAAATAAAATATTTCAATACACTAATATTAAGTCATAAGATTTAAATGTAAATAAGGCACTGTGATATAACCTGGTAAGTTATTTATGTAGCTCTATTAAATGATCAAGAACAATGTTATTGTTTAGACAGTACTATATTATAATTTAAAGGATACAGACATAAGTCACGGCAAATATTAAATGTGGAATAACTCCTAAATGTTCCCTTTTTCTGCCACGGGGTTCAGTAGCTGTCCAGAACAGGGCATCAATTGTGTCTTGTCCAAATGCAGAAAATAATCTATCACCAACTTCTAACATGTTGTAAAATATATATAGTTTCATAACACTTTGACTCTTCACTAAATGATACATCATGTTAGTATCTATATAGCACATCAGAATACTACATATTAATAATATGAAACCTTTAAGTACATCACATGACTCTGCAGGTTTAAGTATAGTTTTTCTAGGATGAGAACAGAACCTAAAATTAAAAATATCTTTTAGGTTTTACAATAAAGAATTTAAGCATACAAATGACACTATGCTTACATACCCAAAGCATTTTCTAAAAAGTCTATTGAAAAATGACCAGAATGCCATTACAAATCTCAATGGCAAAAATGTATAAACAAACAATAGTGAATCTGCACATTGAAAAAATCCATAAGCCATAAATTTTTCTAGCTCTTGAGGAATTTTTATGAAAGAATAAACTTTTTCCCTTCTGGCTGAAAATCTCTCTTCATCATGTTCCAATAAATATCCTCTCGTAAGTTCAACGTGCAAAAATGTGAAAAGGGAAGCATTTTTTTCACTTTCTGTAAAATAATATAATTCAAACAATAAACCAGTCCATAAAATAAAAATTTAAATGAAGGTAACTGAATTAGTTTAAAGACCTTTATACTTTACTTCTTTTTCATTTTTATCAATGATATCACCGGAACAGTGTTGTATATTTGTTATACTCTTGAAACGTAACCTTTTAGTATGCTCTTGTATATCCTCATTTTTCAACGTCATGGTAGGAAATTTTTACTTACGTGAGCAATCATAACATTTCAAAATATATGTATTTTCATTTAAAACTTTAAAGAATACGATTTTAAATGAACGATTGAAAATATTTTGATTTCGAAGTTTTGACTTAACTATCATTAAAATGACGTTAATGACAGCTAAGGGTTAAAATAAATACTATATGAAGCATGAACCAGTGTTGCCAAGCAATATACTCTATGAGTGTTGCCAACAACTTAAGTTTTTCGGAGCTTGAGTAGCCTAAAGTAGTCTAATTTGAGCTAAAGTAGCCTATAAGAGTAGCCTAAATGGAAAAACTAAAATAAAAACACTATTTTTTAACAAAAAAATTATTCACTAAGAATGTACTTAAATCACGAAAATAATTTATAAATTCTCTGACACTTCGTCATCTACTGCCAGCAATAACAAAGCTTCCGCAATACCGCCGTCAACATTGACTGTGGTTGCTGTACTAGTACTGGCTCCTTTTAAATGCTGGAAGTTTTTCCCATTCATCACGATAATGCTTTGTATATTTTCCGTGCTTTCCCGTTTTTTGTCACAATCACAAGTTCACTAAAACAATCAGACGACGAATGAAAATTGGTCATTGAACAACGAACTTTTATTATGGTTGCATCTCATTTTTGGTTACATTATAACTACGACAAATACGGGGTATTCCCCGAAACTAACGAAGGGTGGGGCCAACTTTTTATCTACTAACTAACACCTAGAATTTTGTGTGGGTATAGATAATTTTTATTTCTCAGACTTATGCTCATTTGTTTTGTGATTCTTTCAACTAACTGAAAGAATCTTTTACCTTTTTTCAAGTAGCCTAAAAGGCAACCAATTGCCTTTTAGATTTTTTTGTCGCCGATTTCTTCGCCCACGTTGGCAACACTGGTATGAACTATTCTATGATGAATTATCAGTGACTCGGTGACATAAAAATTTGTTTTTAGTAAAGCTAGGCGCACACTCTTTTTTTATTTGATAAATTTTTAAACCTGAACTTTAAATGCTTTTGGCGCTTTCTTCAAAATGTACCAAAGTAATTTCAACTTTGACTAATAATGACAACTGACATTCATAACCCAAATAGTGCGTGTAAAATGTAAATTGTAAATAACTAACATCTGAGTAATCACAATTAAAAAATAAACATGATCTAATAATATTTTAACAATTCGTCAATGATTTCTTATTGCTGTGTTAATAATATTAACTAATCAAGATTATTTATGACCGTTATCACGCGTAAGTAGATAATTATGTCGCGTCAAATCGACTCAAATATACGCAATCTCTTAGAAGGTTTAGGCCTTGAAGGAGAAGAAAATGATTTTTGTGATTTTACTATAGCAGATCAAAATTCAGTGGCAGAATCTCAAGGTATAACTCCAACAACACCCTCAAACTTCAAACCAGTTCTTGGTGGAAACGTAACATACGTGGTTGCGTGTATTATTTTAAATGAACGTAATGAATTACTTATGATGCAGGAAGCGAAAGAAAGTTGTGCTGGAAAATGGTATCTCCCTGCTGGACGTATGGAGAAAGGTGAAACTATTGTTCAAGCTGCCACTAGAGAAGTACTTGAAGAAACTGGTTTACACTGTAAACCTGATACTCTACTAGTAGTTGAAACAGCTGGTGGCACTTGGTTTCGTTTTGTATTAACTGGAAATGCCATCGGAGGTGAACTGAAAACTCCTGCAAAAGCCGACAAGGAATCTCTTCAAGCCAAATGGATTGGTAATTTACAAGAAATATCATTAAGATCAAATGATATTCTTCATCTTATTGACAAGGCAAAATTATACAAACAAAGCCAACCTGGACAAACATGGCATAAAAACATTCTGCCAGCACCTATTCCACATGTCAAAGATTTAATGAGATTGATAGTATTAATTAAGAAGAGAAGTACAAATAAGTTACATGTCTTGTTAAGCGAGAAAACTACTTTACATTTTCCAACTTGTGAAATCAATCCTGCCAAAAGTGTGCATTCAACTCTTAGAAGATTTATGGTAGAAATGTTTGGTGCTGATGTGGCACAGCATAGGCCTTTAGGTCTTCTTAATGTCGAAGCAGATCCTTCAGCAGATGGTTGTTGTTTAACACTTCTTGTTCTATTTAGGCCACCATTAGAAGAAGTGCCACTAATTGGAAAATGTGCATGGCATGAATTGTCTGCAGATGTTGCAAGAGACCTAATACCTGTTGTTACAACAAAAAATTCAACTGTTGAATTACATGTTGTGCGTTGAGTACTTATCATCATATTTCAAAAGAAATGTATACTCATTTAATAAGCTCTCTCGACATTAACAAAGATATAACCGTCCAAATAAAATCATGTAATCTCCATTTAGTATTGTTTTAGTGTATAAATTAATTAACTTGTAACTATGCTATATTTGATGCATTCCAATTTTATATACTCATTTAGTATATATGGGTGAAGGTGTTATAGATTATAGTATAAAATTTCTGAGAAATCTCATTCATATTTTCATGTATGGGGTGCAACCCTTAAAATATTACTATATGTTTTTACATAAAAGGTGAGGAGTAGATAAAATTAAAAAACATTAATTATTGAGAAAATAATAGAGACATGTTACAGAAGCTTAAAGTTACAATCGTCTCATACATTATTATGACTTTTAATATGTAAGTTATTCCTCTAGGTGTTGCACCTTCTAAAATAAGCTGCAGTCAATATTTGTTACTTAATGGTCTTTTACAATATTATAAAAATGCTAATAAAATTAAAAAATAATCATTCATATGGTGCTATATACATAAAAACAGAAATTTAATAACTTATTAATAATTGTAGAATTATGATGGTCAGCAAATCTCTTGGAAAATGGCCTTGATTAGACAATAATGAAAATGCCCCAAATATCTCTTTAGCACCTAAGAGAACAGAAGGCATTTCATTTCAACTATACAAGTGTATGATAAGAGCCTGTTTTCCCCTTCTTAACTATAGTAGGCATTTTGCCCAGATGTTTGCTGGTCACTGTATCACAGATGTATTTTTTTATATCTTTTTGGTTGTTTTCAATGTTAACAAATATTAATAAATTAGATGAAAAAATATTATTTAGTACCTCTTAGTTTTTTTTAAATTTAAAACATGTGACGTTAAATCAAAACAAAGAATAAAACAAATTCGAACTTATACAATGTCATATGAAAACAATGTCCATTGTCCGTTATGTCATGTTTTTAAATTTGTCTTCCGAAAAACAATCGCCTTCGGGCGGGATAACACACAGCATCATCTATTTCCATGGTAAGCTACGAGACTTGTGTTATGGATACCAGATAGTTGACACATTACATATATTATATAACTTTAAATACATACGTATTATGATATAAACATTAAACGCCCATCATGACTGAAGTTCAAACATTTGTGCTCATCGCCAAATTTCATAAATGAACACCAACAATTTACAAATGAATGCCCCCAGCGCGACTCGAACCCGCGACCGCTGGCACAGCAAGTAGGGTCACTACAAACTGAGCCAAACGTGTCGTCTATGTGTGTGTATAAAATATATACTATCAACTAGGGAGGGGCCGAAATTCGTTTTACATTCGGTTTAACCGAATTTTGGCAGCTTAAACCGGACTTCGGCATTCGGCCAAAATTCGGTTTGAATGCCGAACATTCGGCAATAATAAAAAAAATACCTACTGGCACTATTTTAATTGAAATTAATAGAAAACATGTTTGTCATAGCAATCAAATAAAGTCTTTTATACAGTAAATTACACACTAAAAATAATGGGTAAAAATTGGGGTATTTTAAAAATTGTGGGTAGGAACTGTCTGTAACAAGTACATAACGCCTTTGAGACGTCTAAAACCTTAGTTTCTCCCGTGAGCATGTAAGGCATTCGAAACGTCGGGAACCCAAAATGAAAATAATCCGAAAAGATAGTTTTATTTAAAATGTACCTACTACCTATTTTTATTTTTTTGTAAAATAAAAAAAGAATTTTCGATAACGCGAAGAATTTTTTTCCCCGCCCTCCGAATTTTGCCGCCCTAGGCACTAGCCCCGAGTGCCCCTAGTGTAAATCCAGGGCTGATTGAATTAAAAAAAAAACACGTTTTTAGTTCACAAACTAAACACTCAGAAACATTAAGTATTTTTAATTATTAAAGTATCACGACGTGCAGTGACACGACATGTATTGACTTGAGAAAGCGCGGCGCAATTCAACCGAATTTCGGCCGAATTTTTTAATCTCACCGAATGTTCGGCCGAAGTTCGTAATCGTCCCTAGTTACGTTTTAACGTTTAGTATAAATTTCTCAGATGTTTCCCCGCAGTAAAAAGTACGATTAAGTATTAATTACATATATGTTGACTCGGATAACCAGCTATCATCATACCTAATATCATCAAAATCTTTCTAGCGGTTTTCTCGTGATGCGTCCCCAGAAAGACAGACAAACATTCTAAAAACTATAGATTCGGCCACTGTATCCACAATAATGACTTTAAATTTTTTTTAAAATATTTAATATACAGATTTGTATTAAGCAGACAAAAATCTAAGTCATTGTATTTATTTATTATTATTTATATGTATAGATTATGACCGCAATTTTATACCCTCGTCCATAATATAATATTACCCTTGACCTTGGGCTATATAACATATATTCTATTCATTTAACAAAACAAATATGACAATCAATTCACTACCTCCCTGTGAAATGGGTCAAAGATAAACTATAAAGAATAATTAATTTACCTATACCAGTAGTTATTATAAGTTCGAAGCTATACCAGTAGGTATTAACTGGCTCGGTGGTGTAGTAGCTAGCATGTACGGCTGCACACCCGGAGGTCCTGAGTTCGAGTCCCGGGTCGGGCCAAGTTTAGTTATTGAGTCTTTCTGTATTTTAAGCCTCAGTAACAGGCCAGAGTTGGGAAGTCGGCGGTGTTCCACCCCCGTGCCTCGGAGAGCACGTAAAGCCGTCGGTCCTGCGCCTTAACTCTCACTGGTCGGGTCGAGTGATCGTTCCACCAGAGTCTGAGAGTGACAGGAATAGAGAGTGCACTTGTGTCTGCGCAGTTTTGGAGAAAAATGGATTTGCACAACAAACATCCTCTCGCCCCAGCGCATATACCGTCTCCGTTCCGCTGTGGGTAAAAAATGTGTGATGAAATTTTGTATACGCATACAAAGATGTATATATATATATTATTATACACACTACCTGCTCGGCTAAACGCTAGTAAACGAGTGAAGTGAGAGTGCGAATGTAAACACTGCACTCGCGTCGCTCGCTAGGTGCTTTAACTCGCACCCAAAATACCGCTCGCAATGCGAGCGCTGCGAGTGACGAAGCGAGGCGCAAGGCGAGTTACAAGCGCACCGTTTACAACTTTACACACTCGTCGCATAGATCACCTCGCTACTCGTCTCGCTACTCGCGCGAGTCTAAATGCAGTATTAGAATAGGATTCAGTCCATTTTTTACGTCCCACTGCTGGGCATGGGCCTCCCTTCAGTACGAGGGGGATGAGGCCATAGTCCACTACGCTGACCAAGTGCGGCCAGAGAGAGAGAGAGACCAGAGATGGCAGACTGCACATGTCTTTCCAAAACATGCCAGGTCCCTTCAGATATGTAGGTTTTCTCACGACGTTTTCCTTCACCGTAACACAAGTTACAAGGTGATCATGTTGGAAATGAATTGCACATGAAAATATCAGAGGTGCGAGACCAGGGAATATAACCCGCATCACTCGGTTTCTCAAGCGCGCGCGTTACCACAGGGCTACACTGTCTCAACTGAGTTACCACTGCGAATTTTAGATTAAGAGAACTAAAAATAAAAAAAATAACGAATATTATGACGATTTATTTAAGCAATACAAAAACATGCAGTGACTAGAAAATCATGAATCCTAATTTATTAAAACTCAGTATTTTTATTGCATACACTATAAAATTCTTTTACATCGCTTTACAACGATAAAATTTGCCACAATTATCAAATATCACTTTTTGCTGCATAAGAAAAATGAATAAACTCGTACATGTTTTAAAAAAAACATTTATAGCTGGTATAAACAATATTAATTAGGTAGTAAAAAAAAAGACTTAAAAAAGAGTCATGTCAAAAAGAATTACGTGAAGTACTGACTGATTTTAATACTAAATTTTGTGAACAGCAGAAGCGAACTTTTATGACAAACTTATCTAAATACTAATACTGCTAATCTAAAAATGCATTTGTGTGAAAGACAATTAATTCTTGGTAACACATCTTAATTTAATTTTTATATACAGTTTGTACAAAACAATGTCATGAAAGTTGAATAATTTAGATACCATTAAAACAAACAAAATAAACAAAAAATATATAAATTCATAATCACCAAAAATTAGTAAATATATTTGAAAATATATAATTCACTATACAAAAAATATATCAGTAGTCATATAAAATATTGTTTTTAGAACAGTAGTAAAGTGACTAAGAAAAAATAAGTAGTAATAATATCTACTTAGTCTTATTGGATATTGATTCATTATAAGTAATCTCGGTTTATATTCTAAGCAAGTAGAATCAAAGCCTCTTGAATATGAAGTATACCTTGCCTAAACATAAATACTACACTGTATTCATTAAACTCATGTCTTTTAAAAAGCAAATTATATCTATGTCGATTTAAATACCTATAAAAAAATATATTTTAGCCATCCAACTGTATGCCCTGGATCCAGGTACTGAGATCATTTGATTCGGGACAGTCTAGAGCGTTTTCAGAAACATCAGGAGCAAGAAGACGACGAGCAGCTGCTTGACCAGAAAGATAAGCTCCATGAACAGTGGAATAGAAACTGCTGTGTGTATGTTCTCCAGCGAAGAGTAAAACAGGCTAAAATAAAAGAATAAATAACCAGTAAATAATTATTTCTAACATGAATTAATTTATTGACAAAAAAGTTCAAAGAAATACTTGATCACAGCTATATGTATAAATGGATGTAAACTAAATCCAGAAGAAAGATAAAACAGATTTAAATTTGTTGCATTGTATCATTCAATAGGTACATAAAATTTATAATAACAATAATTTTAAAACAAACTTGATAATGAAAGATCTATATAGATAAAAAAATATAACAATGTATGTTGTGTATAATTTAAAATCAATAAAAATATCAGCTTCTTATCTATGCATACCAGAAGCTATTTAGATATGTAAGTAAGATAGACTTCTTTTGGCACGTTAGGAAAAAAATGATGAGTGATTTTTTATGATGAAAGTTAAATGGGATACTGGGAAGTGGGTCAAATTTAACTTGCAATATTTGATTACAGACAGACATCGGGACAGTTAAAACTAAATATAAGCCTATAATGATTTTTATTTTCATCAATATAAAACACGTGTTGTGTATATACAAAACCGGAATAAATATCTTGAATATAGACATCACACTATATTACAGGGTTTAACAGGTACAACTAACTTCATCTGTAGTCTAAACTTGTCGCATCGTAAAAAATTCACTCCCATCATTTTTTATAACGCACCAAAAGAAATATAATTTCAAGAATGTTTTAATTCACTCTACACACTCAATACATTCTTAGTTTGAGCTTTTCTATTATATCATATAAAGAGAAAAAATAATATTTTACTTTATTATACCTTTTTATCATGAACATTCCTAAATAATGGTTGTGCTAAACTTTCAATGTCATTTTGGCTTGCCCCAACACCAATAGCTGTGTAAGAACCTCTTGTATATGGTTGCTTTTTCCAACTGGTACTGAAATTACAAACTTGATAAGTTTTACAATATATCTTTATACTTTTATTTATAGCTCATCTATACTAATAAATGGAGAGCCGATTTTTTTGTTCAATTATACTGCGATAACTACTAAACCAATAGGAATAATACTCATACCAAATGGCGATTAATGTACTATGCGGGCAGAGCTGCAGGAAAACGCTAGTCTATATCTATACAGATAAATAAAATGTGACCGTTTGTAATGTCAAAATAAAAGCGTTTTACTAAAAGCATATGACATTATATATGGTACTTATAAGAAACACTTTTTTTTTAATTTTTGTTTGTCTGTCTGTTTGTTCGGATAATCTATGAAAGGCTGAACTAATTTTAACGGGACTTTCACTGTAAGATAGCTAAAGTTATATTGTAACATAGGCTACTTTTATTTTAGAAATAAATTAAAATGTACCTAGGGACGAACCGAGCAAAGCGAGGGTAAGTCGCTAGTTATAAATTAAATTAAATTAAGTGTACACCTGATGGAAGCTTTAAAAGTGTGTTTCATACACCAATTTGGAATTAAATATACAATATTAACACATAATTTCAAATTAGTACTACACAGGTTTATTTTTTCAATTTATATATATTAGCAACCTACAAACACTTACCATACACATGTTTGAGGTTCTGGAACAAATGGATCATTTAAAAATTTTCGTAAAATTTTGGTACAGGTAGCACCAACCTCCTCCATTGATAATGTTTCCATATATTCAGCTTCCTTACCAGAAACCCATCCTAATAAAAGAGTTTCTGTTATTTTAACAAATGAATAAATCTTTTTATACCATGTTTGTGATATTTCCTCTGAAGTTTGTGCATTATCCCAAAGTAACATAATTTCAGTTATATCTGGATTTAAGAAAGGTCTGTCATATTCTAAAAATATTTTATCAACAGCACCAAATAATAGTCTTTCTAAGGATTCTAATTTATATTGGGGTAGAGAAGGCTCAAATAATGTAGATGCTTTTTCTTTTAAGACACCCAATGGTATAGTACAAATTACATGGTTAGCATAAAAACTTTGTTCATTTTCACATACAACTTCTATACAGTGAGATAATTTTTTACTAGATTTATCTAGGGTTGAGTTGGTCTCAATGGAATCACCAGCCCTTTCAGAAGTAGATGCTTTAGAAATATCTTCTATTACAGTCTGATCTGAATCTTCAGATTCTTCTCCTACTTCTTCAAATTGCTTCAAGTTATTATGTTGTTCTGAATCCCAAACAATTTTGATCACTGGATGATTTGAAAATATTTTATCAGCTGGTATAATTTTAGTCAAAGGACCCAAGATAGAACTATAGCCAGAAGGTATTACAATGTTACCACCCTGTAATTCTGTATAGCTACCTAATTCAAGGAGATCAATATCATCCATTGTATTACAACCAGATATACAAGTTTCCCGTTTTAAAAGACAGTCAAATATCAATCTCCTAAGCTTTTTTTCTTCTGATGTTGGTAAGCGTTCCAAATAAATAGTTGCTTCAAGATTTATATGTTCTCCAACACTATGTATATCAGGAGGAGGAAGGTATTGACACAAAAAATACTCCTCGCATCGTCGTAAGAAGCAAACATACGCTTCATGTATTTCATGTAAAACTCCAAAAGGCACTTGCTTACCATTTTCAGTTGCTGCAATAACCTTATGAGGTTTAGGTATATTTATTATGTTTACTAGTCCATTGGCTGTTGCTAACTCATATATTGGATTGCCCAAAACTCCATGTATATAATTAGCCCCTAATTCAACATTATGATTTTTCAGTGGTATAGAAATTATTCTACCACCGATACGTTTTCTAGCTTCTATTATTATGAAGTCTTCCATTCCATTCTGAATAAAGTAATTGGCAGCGGCTAGTCCAGCTATGCCACCTCCAATTATCACCACATTATATCTGTTAATATTACATTTTTTACGAGAATTTGAGTTTTCGTCACCCATAATATTAAAAGAATAATTTGCTATGATTTTTGACACTGAGCTTTTGATTTTGACGCTCAGCTCAGTCAGCTGTTACCTTGGCATACCGAATGACATATTAGGTGCTGTGTGTTGTCATTTTTCAATAACAATAATTAAATTTAGAAAATAAGATTGCTAATATAAATAAATGATAAATAATGATAATTCCATTATTCTGCAAGAAGCAGAATAACGGAAAAATATCAAGGCTTTTTCTAATGCGGAAGATTTCTTGAAAGGCGGGCGCCACACGTATGGCCTATTTATATTCCGTCTGAGGTTAAGCAAGTTATTGTCTAGGGTATACATTTGCTATAGAGCGCGCGTATCGCTTATTGTCCACTATGCGAAACGTAAGCAGATGTTTTATACACACCTATTGATACATACTTGTAGATGAAGCGGTTGAATAGTGATGCGCCTAGTAAAACTTTTAGAATTTAATTAAAAAAGAAGTATAATAACATAAACTATTTAACATAACCATTCACGCACATATAGACTTTATTATCTAAGATTACAGTATTTCAAATTAATATCTTTCATTTGTAAATCTATGTAGTAATAGTGTTGCTTAATATTTTGATTTTTTTAAAGAATAGTAAACTAAATTAAAATTATATATTATTCTCTTTAACTTTTCTCGTTCCATAATTATATAATAATTACACTATGGGACTTAAACGTAAATTACGGTAATTAAAGGTGAATTCACGCGTTTTAATCCCGTAATGTAATTATTATATAATTATTATTCTTAATTAAATTAAAATTTTAAAATGTTAAAACTAATTTATACATTTTAATTTTTTTAAATTTCACACAAAACAATAATGTGGCTTGAATACATAATTCTTTTTTTATGTTTATAAATATAATAACGACAAAACTAAATAACATTACTAATTAATAAAGTTTTCTAAAAAATTGAAATAATTATAATAATAACAGCTAAAATGAAATTAATAATATTCCATGTAGTTATAAAACTTATTAAAATTATAAAAATGTTTAAAATTATAATTAATTACAATTGTAAGGTACTTTGGTGCCATTAAAATATAAAGGTTTTATTTTTGACAAATACAGTGGATCTTAATTTATAATACTATGGTTATATAAAATACACGAGTAGTACAACGTGGTAAAACACTAGCTCTTAATGAGGGAAAGTAAGAAGCGGGGAACGCGGAAGCACGTGTTGTGTCGACCCGCCCGCGCGCCTCCCGCAACACCCGCTCACGTCTGTGGAATTTTGTTAAAATCAGCGTTTTCTGATTAAATATTATTTACCGACGAAAAGAAATATCTTTGTTCGTTTTAGTTTGCTTTCGTGAATCATTTTTACAGCCTGGAACTACACATTTCACCATGATTACATAAATTCAAATAAATACCGACAAGAGAAACAGTCAGCGCGATTGACTTTTCGTGACTAATAGCGTCGCTCTTGCTATTTCGAGACTATTCATACCCATGCTTACAGTTCATACTTGCTAGCGCGCGCTCTATAGCTTATGTTTCTCTAAGAATTTATTGTGATATCTCTTTTTACATTGTTTTTGTTTCTATTGTGTTCGCATCTTACCTGTGCAATGTATTGTACCTGGAAGTTAGACCAGCTGACGGAAGAAGTCAGAAGGAGAGGTGCATCCTGCGATGGTCCTGACTGACTGATGGATAAACCAATACACAGCCTAAAACATTGGTCGTAGAAACGTAAAATTTGGAGTTTTATACAATCTTAAATATCTTTTTATTAAACCTACTTAGGGGATGAATTTCGAAAAAACCTTTCTTATCGAATGCCTACATCATATAAGGAATACGTCCTCAAAATTTCACGTTTCTACGATCACCATTTTAGGCTTTGTGTTGGTTGATCCATAACTCATCAGTCAGGAATCAGGACCGCCACAGGATGCACTTCTCCTTTTCAATTTTTCCTTCAGCTGGTCAAACTTTCAGGTACAATACATTGCATAGGTAAGATGCGAACACATTAGAAGCAAAAAACCAGTTATGTATAAAAGAGATATTACAATAAATTGCCTATTTCCTAAGTCTCAGACTGAATTTAAATAGGCGATACGTGTGGCGCCCTCCTTTCGAGAAATCTTGTCCTTTAAAATATCTTGTAATCCTACTAAAAAGATAAGATGATTAAGTAAATTAAAATTTAAATATTTATTATATTTATTAGTATTAGTCAGTAGATGTCCACCTGTGTTCTAATTCATAAATCATGATCAATATTGTATAGACTAGGGTTGTACATTACAAAATAAGTTTTGTAATATAAACGTAAAAAACAATAAAAGTATTTCAATATTTTTTTATAGTATCACCATAAAGGTAATATCACATATATTTTATAAGGGGAACAAGAATAACAATTTAAAATATTAATATGTAGTTTATATCCATTACACAACCCTACAAGTAGAGATCCTGATACCTCGCCCGTCCCCCACCTCATTTTCCTGCTTTTGGCAAACGATTGCTATCTCATTCTTTCAGTCTAAGTTTCCTATTGCTATCACATTTTAATGACCTTTGAATATGCTGAATAATATTATCATAAAATCATTGTTTACTTCTTCACTTGTTACTTGCGTGAGTGTTTTTGTTATTGTGGATAAAAATATTATCAGTACAAGCCTAATTTGTTTTGATCCAATGACTATCTAGTAATATTGAGAAAAACACTGAAGATAATTGCTTAGATTATTTCAATTGTGTTTGAAATAAACAATTTGATCCGTAATCTATATTTAATATATAAGTCATTGTGAATATTCAATTACTTTACGATTTATTTGGTGATATGTGTTTGCATTATGTAATGTAAAAATGAAATATTTCTATTTAATTAACATAGAAAACAAATATTGATATATACATTTAATGATATGTTGTGTAAATCTGTGAAATAAACATTGTAAGCATCGACACGTGGGTCTCAGTGAATTAAAATCGATAAAGACGTAAGCGTGCGCCAGTCTATCAACGAGACGATTCTACGTCAAGGTCACTTCATACAAACACGTGCAATGTCGGATTCTATTTACACTCATGAATTTCTTCTAGATCCTAGTTTAGAGATTAAACAGGAGTCATCCTACGAATTGGGTGCAATGTCAGCATCCGTGCCTATTCCACAGAGGCGCAACGAACTTAGTGATTTTAACACAGACATTGACTTATGTTTACAAGATAATCAAGTTGGATCTTTTCATAGTGTTCCTACTTTACCCTATAGCAAGTTATCTTTTGACGCTGATTCTTCAAAAATGGAACAGTTCAAGATGGAAGACGATGATATATTCCAAGTTGACAAAGCAGATTTAATATTAGGACCAACATTGGCTGAATTAAATGCAAATCCAGATACTTCTCTGGATGATTTAAATTTCGATGATTTATTATTACCTGAAGAGAGTGGATATTGTATACAAATAGGTGGTGCTATGAGTGGGTCAAAACGCTCAATGAATACATTACAAACTTCAAACATGATGTCAACAGAGAGTCCATGTAGTCCTTATAGCCGTGCTCAACTTGCCTTCTCACCGTCAAGTCAACATAGTTCAGCCTCATCGAGTTTTGTTCCACCTATTAGTCAATTACCAGAATTACTACTCCGAATGGATGGTTACAGTGGTGAAATTGCTTTAGGTCAGTCTGTACCTGCATCTTCAGTCTTGCCACCATATCCACACAGTGTAAAAACTTCACAATCACAACTATCATCTTCAGCACCAACACACCTAACAATGGAACAGGTAATTATTTCATGAAATATGTTTTCATTCTAAATACTAGTAACTATATACAAAGTAGGCATAAATTAGGATATGAAGCAATTGATTATGGCAAGCTAGTTTTAACAATAATTAACAATTAAGTTAAAAATTTATGTAAATAATTATATAATAAAGTACCCATATAATTTTATTTTTAATGATTAGGAGTAAACTAATGTGGTCTTTGTGATGATCATACTTATGTGATGAGTAAAATAAATAATTTATGTTTAAAAAGTTATAATCCTAATACCATTTACAGTGATACTGATATACATTATATCAAAATCTATATAGGCATGAGTCATGAAAGTTTATTTTCATATAAGATATGGCAGCGTCGGGAACCCCGCAAGCATCTTTTGTCAACAAGTTCACTAGCTGAAGCTGGCTCAGCATCTTCATTATCTGGTGGACTTCTCAGTCCAGGAACTGGAGATTTTTCACAAGATGAAGATGATAGAGATATTGAGTCTGATGAAGACAGTGACAGATATGAAGATCTTTCTTCTGATGGTAAATCAACTTTACTTAAAACTTTAGATCTAGGTTGCTTTACAAAAAATTCCCACTTCTATTTAACAACACCTTTTTGTTTAGATTCTAATGATGAATGTCCAGAGAGAAAAGAGGCTCGGCATAATGCAAAAAAGGAAAGGTACTTTTGGCAGTACAATGTACAAGCTAAAGGACCGAAAGGACAACGATTGATTTTAAAAAAGAAATCAGAAGACCCACATGTTCTTAACTTAGTAACAGATCCTGTTTTCAGTCCCAATTGCAATGTAAAGGGTATAAAACACAGGTAAATTCTTTATTTATTTACTCAGGGCCGGATTATCCATAAGGCGGATTAGGCGACTGCCTAGGGGCCCCGTGCACGCCCTTAGAAAAAAACATTCCATGGAACGATTTTTGAACGACAAAATCACATGTAAAACAATAATATTGCTTAAATAAATAATTAATATTTTTAATTTTTAAATTTCTTTGTGGTCGAGAACAGATCTATAACTTTTGTATTTACACTTTTTTCACATAACCTCAATATTTATTTGAAAAATTCGAATAATCAAGTTTTTGATTTTTTAATTTTATCGTTTACAAAAAAAAATCTTTTCACATAATTTGGTGAAAACTTACCTTTTTATGTCCCAAACATGTCATTTTTTTGATCTATTTATTACCTACAACTTTTCCATTTAACTTTTTTCAATAGGACTTGTAGTTTTGGCGGAAATCGAGATAAACCGTTTTTACCCTCTCAACTCAACCCCGGCCACTTCCCGACCTCAGATCGCCCGTAAATTATTTTTCCTTTCATTTTTGTTATATTCTCTTCCGTTTCCAATGGGTTTCGTCCTACTTTTATTATTTTTTCACTTTTTCAGCCCTGGTCTGTATGTCGCCGCGGAGACTATTCGCCTGGTTATTCTATAAATCTATACAGATAAATAAAATTGAAATGTCTGTTTGTTATTACAAAATAACAGCTTTTTACTAAATGCATATAAAATTAGGTACTTATAAGATTAGCACAATTTTTAAAATTTTTGTCTGTCTATCTGTTTGTTCTGGCTAATCTCCGAAACGCCTGGATTGATTTTAATGGGACTTTCACTGGCATATAGCTGATGTTATAAGGAGTAACATAGGCTACTTTTATTTTAGAATAAGAATTAGGGTCCTGTTCATAAAAATGAAAACGTACCTAGAGACCCTACTGTAAGATATAGGTAATGCAGTATATAGGGCGGTATTTTTCACGGTGCCCCAGGGCGGCACTTATGGTAAATCCGGCCCTGTAAAACGCCTTTGAAAGTTAGAATGTCTAAAGCCTTAGTCTTTCCATGACCATGATTGCTGTAAAGCATTCGAAACGTTGGTAACCAAAAATCAAAATAAATCCGCGAAATAATCCAAAAAGATAGTTTTATTTAAAACTAGCAGCTCACCGTCGCTTCGCTCGGGTTGGTCGCTAGGTACGTTTTAAATAGATATAAATAGTTATTAGCCAGCGTTAGCCATATAATTTTTTTTTGTTAATAATATTGACAAATGTTGACATTAATATATATACGATTCTAACGTCACTGAGTTGCCATCAATGTTTTGCCTTTCCGGAACCTCTCCACTAACACTTAAACTTAATGTTATGGTATTAAAGTTCAAATTGACTTTTAAGTATTATTACGAATCTTTTGTATGGGAGTATAGAAAAGTGTTGTTTTTAGACTTTTTCAGGCATTTTTTTAAATGTTTGTCTCTCCGTAAGAACCATCCTCGTACTTCAAGGAATATTCTAAAAAAAGAATTAGCGAAATCGGTTCAGCTGCTCTCGAGATTTGAGCTTACCAACACATTCAGCGATTCATTTTTATATTATAGAATGTCAAATATTTGCGTAAATCTAAGAAAGTATGATATAGGTAAGGTAAGCGATAATTCAGAACGGTGCGCGTTCGGCTGATGAGTACTAGACTTTATTCACGTTGGGCGGGGAATCCTCGATTCGTTAGTTAGGAAAAGGTCAACTTCCAAGATGTTTTAAATGATTTTGTATCTAAAAAAACAAGAAGAGTTGCTATTTAAACTTATTGTACTTTATAAAACTATTTTCTTTCCTTTATTGTATTTCATTACATTTAACAAGATTAAATTTAGCGTCTCATTTTTCTATTCTGTTCCGTCATGAGACCTGGATCATCACTTATCTATAACTATAACCTATTCATTAAGATCATTTCAATGAAAGCAATTAGTCAGGCATGTGAGGTGATGCTGTAGCATCAAGCCAAGGTAACCATATTTTGTTGCAATCTATACTAATATTAAAAATGTGAAAGTTTGTGAGTATGTATGTATGGATGTTTGTTACTCGTTCACGTCAGAACGGCTGAACGGATCTGGATGAAAGGCACAGAAATAGATTATAGTCTGGAATAACACATAGGCTACTTTTTATCCCGGAAAAATATACGGTTCCCGAAGGCTAGATTTGTTTTATTTTTCTAGAGGGAAACCCAAGCGAAGCGACGGTGAGCCGCTAGTATCACATAAAAGATTGAAGTAACAGGATACCAAAGGAGTCCATCTGATAGACTCGACTTTTATAATAGAAAAATGTGGTTTAAAAAGTAAGAAAAGGGTAAACGAAAGGGGCCCCGAGAATTGCATTGCCAAGGGGCCCTGATTGGGTTAATCCGGCCCTGTATTTACTGATATATTAAACCAAATTACATGTTACAGAGTTGCAAGTGTTGATGTGCAAAATATATTTTCAATTATGATATATAAGTATTATATAATATATTGAGTTCCTATTTTCTTATTGTCATAAAAATACATAAGTTTTCACATACATATATCACAAACATTTCCATGCTATATAATTTTGTGGGAGCAAAGAGTATAAATTAATCTATCTATATAAATAAAAATGAATCACCGAAATGTATGTACGTGTGCAGTCGCTCGGAAGTTATGCACTTCCGATCGACTGCACCAAATTGGGTAGTTCTTTTTTTTGTGTTAGTTATTGTCAGAACAAGTTTTGTATAGAAGAAAATTAATAGACATTTTTTTTACTAAAATAAGATTTTTTTAAATCTCATGATTGAAAGCGAGTGAGTGAAATAGTTTTTATTCCGGAAATCATCCCTTAAGTGGGTAAGAATGGGGATGGGTGTTTGTATGGGGAAGCAAGTTAGGGACAAACCCGTGCAAAGCGAGAGTGAGTCGCTACTATTCAATAAACTAAAGGATATGTGCAAAAAAACCTAGAAATATCTGGTAACTGAAGTAAATTATAAAGTGAATTGTCTATGCATTAGTATTGTAATTTATTATTTGGAATGTCTTAGATGCACACATTTATTTTATTTTTAGTGGAAAAGCAAGAAAAGGTGATGGGAATGATCTTACACCAAATCCAAGGAAGTTATATTTAATAGGATTGGAGCTAGATAAATTGGGCAAAATCATTAATGATATGATTCCAGTGAGTGAGTTGCCATTTAATGCCAGACCAAAGACAAGGAAAGAAAAAAACAAATTAGCTTCTAGGGCTTGTCGGTTAAAGAAGAAAGCTCAACATGAAGCTAATAAACTGAAACTGTATGGTCTACAGCAAGAACATAGTAAGTTACTACTTTATTGACCTGACCTATTAATATTTATATAATACTATCTGAACTAATATATAAAGCTGAAGAGTTATTTGTTTGTTTGAGCATGCTGAGTCTAATTTGAATAATTCCATTTGCATTTTATAACCTGTTTATTATTGTATTTAGAAGGTTATGGACTATTTAGCATCACACTAAGAACTTTAGGAGCAGAGCTTATTACACATAAATAAACTATGCGGGCAGCTCAGCAGGCAACACTAGCTAATATTATAAATTTGAAAGTTTTAGTGAATTGTTTGGATTTCAATTATTCTTATTAGATAACAATTTAACATTTGAATTAACAAATAAAAAACAATTTGAAATTGGCTTATTGGATCGAGATCCCACTCCAAGATTACTATGTTCATAGCGTATTTAATCAAAATCAATTTTTTACATACAATAATAAAAGGGACAATATGTTTTGACCAGGGTGCCTATTCAAATGTGCCCGCTAGTATGTTTAATTAACTAAATAATAGATGACTTTTTGGAATAAAAACGATGCATTTGTTATTACAATAAATTATACTTTACTTCACAGAACTATACATAGAGATCTTGAAAAATGATAGCTGCTGTTGCGCATTTGGCAGCAACCTCTTCGCAGCCAGGTGTAAGCGGGTCATATTTTGGTATGTTTATGCGTTCATAGTGTACATGCATAATTTATATATCAAATTCAAGCTAATTTTTTCTATACCTGATAAACTACGTCTGCCTATGTAAAAGTGGCCGAAATGGAAAGAAAAGAAGGAAAGAATATAATATTATATGTTATTTGTCAGACAATAACAATGGTTACCATGGTAATATTTTCTTTCCTTTAGGGCCACTTTTACATAGGTAGAGGTATTTTATCATGCACAGAAAAAAATTAGCTTTAATTTGATATATAAATGATGAATATACGCCATGAACGTATAAATGTAACAAAAACACTTTTAATGACTCGCAACCACTTTTGCGGCCACTTTTACATAGGCAGACGTAGTTTATCAGGTACAGAAAAAATTAGCTTTAATTTGATATATAAATGATGCATGTACGCTATAAACGCATAAACATACCAAAATATGACCCGCTTACACCTGGCTGCGAAGAGGTTGCGGCTAAATGCGCAACAGCACCTATCATTTTTCAAGATCTCTACGTATAGTTCTGTGAAGTGGAGTATAATTCATTGTAATAACAAATGCATCGTTTTTATTCCAAAAAGTCAACTATTATTTAGTTAATTAAACATACTAGCGTGCACATTTCAATAGGCACCGCGGTCAAAATATATTGTCCCTTTTATTATTGTATATAAAAAATTGATTTCGATTAAATACGCTATGAACGTAGCAATCTTGCAGTGGGATCTTAGTCCATATAGATTAAGTAATCTATAAGTTAATACTTTTACTTATGGTGTGTCCATTTCGACGGGTGAAAGGCTATTTGGTTTAAGCGACATTTTCTTAGCATTACAGGAGAGCCAATATGTCATGCTGGCTTAAGCCAAAAGAAGAAGGTTTTATCTTTTAATATACAACAAAAAAAAATTAGATATGTTTTACAAATTGCATATTTTACATTTTTCAGGGCGACTAATAAGTGGAATTAACAAAATGAAACAAATTCTTAGTAATAGGGTGACCAATCCAGAAAATAATGTGGACTGGTCTTCTCACATGAATGAAATTGTTACTACAGCAACAGGTATTAATTACAGCTAATTATACATATATACAAGTCTTGTTGATACATAATATATTTATTTCACCAGTTAAAAAAAAGGATGAATGATATTTAAATGTTTTGTTACAGAAATCAAAATAGCTGGAAAAACATCAGAATTTGTTAACAAAATTCTCGACAATGTCAAGTCAGGCCAAAATAATGGAGGCTTAAATGACATTCAAAAGTAATATACAAATTTACGAATATTATAACGAAAGGCTGTTTTATGTACCTCCAAAGTTATTTAGAGAAAAACTTTTATCTCCTTCATATAGAAGCTTAATTGTCAAAGACAATTTTATTTTTATATGAATCAAAAATAGTTGTAGTAAATATAAGTATCACAAGGCAACTAACAAGAATATTGAAATAATTCTCATTAAAAAACTTAGTTATTGTTTGTGACGTTTTATGATTGTTTATTCTCCTATAATATTAATAAAATATAAGTCAAATAAAATATGTAGCCATGTTGTAGATCTAGATCTATCTAGATTAACTTATGAGGTTCATGAAAATATGAGCGAAAGCTTCGCTCTATTTGAAACTTACTTTTATTATACATATACTTTAAAAAAAATATAAATCGATTCAATTATTAAGTATTGTTTACTTTGGTTCATATTATTAACATCAGATGTAAAAAATATATGTTACAAATATTTTTGATATATAAATAAATGTTATGTTTGTCTAAAAGTTTACAAGATATAAATTATACTATGACTTATAAAATTATATTTTTACAAATAATTCATAAATTTTTGTTCATAAAATGAGATTTAAACTTAACTGAATCAATTATATTTTGTAATATTATGAATTTGAACTACTTAAGAACAGTTATGGATGGCCATATATGTTTGTGTTTAATTTTTAGGGTTCCGTAGTCAAGAAGGAACCATTATAGTTTCGCCATGTCTGTCCGTTTGTCCGCAGCTTAGCTCAAAGACTTAGTACTAGAGAGCTGTAATTTGAAAAAAAATATTAGTCACGCCGACAAACTGGTAAAATAAAATCTTGAAAAAAATTTTTTTTTTTTAGAGTATCTTTACACGTAAAGTGGGGATGTTTTTTTTTTCCTCGTCTTCCCCATGGTGTAGGAAGTCGTTGTATATGTGAAATGTTAAGCTTTAAAGTGCTAATTTTTTTTGAGCCAAGTGTTAGCCCACATGCAAGCTAAATGATTTCTTTTTTGATTTATGTAAAAATTCACGGCATTAGTATATAATACAAAGTTAAAAGAAAAACTATCATAGCTAAGTAGTCTTTACAAGTTCACGAATAAAAGTCGACCAACATATAAAATGTACTTGTTACTACGAGCCGCCGAAACCGTTAACGTTAAATGTTCAAAGTATGAAATAACAAAGAGCACTCTTCTTAGTCCGCATTATTATGAACGCAACTACGGAACCCTACATTGCTCGAGGCCCGACACGCATTTTCCCTTTTTTTTTATATTACCATTACATAAGATTGTAATAACAATCATGTATCTTTGCTGTAAAATGTAGGCTTATATATGGACCAGTCATGTATGTACAAAAATTATTGTGATAAAATTATATATATATAGCAGGTTTTCATTGTCTGTGTTTTCAATTATATTTTTTATACATATCACTAAATAGATATAACAAATGCAAAATTTTTAAAATCGATTTTATTAAATGCATGTTTAAGCTATTGTGTAATTTAGCTATATTATTAAGTACATTGTTTGAAATTAACGCTTTCTTTCTGGCATGCTGAATACTTGTATCTATCTAGAAGTTAGAAAATATCTTCATGAATATTATTTAATTAATGTTCAACTCTTTAAGCAGGCATAGTGTAGCCTATAGGTTATTATTATTAGTACTAATGACTTCTGTTTCTATGACTTCCCAATTTAAATTGATGTGATATGCAATAGTTTGCTATTAACAATTTAATCTTAAATATAACTTCTATTCTTCAATATTCAATACTAAAATCATAGTTAATTTTGTATTATTTGCTAAGTACCTAAGAAATCATTTGTAATTAAGTTACTTATGTGTATGTTGAAGTTGAATATAATGTAAGATTTAATGGCAAACTGTAAAACTTTACAATAATATCTTATAGTATGACTATAATATATTCCGCCATTCTTGTTGCAGTAAGATCTATTCTGTAGTATTTAATTTATAAGGATTTAATATAATAAATTGTTATCAGCAATTTATGGTTACTAGGTAATGTAGTTATATGTATAAGTTTTTATTTTACATCAATCATCTCCAAATGTGAATGCAGTGTATAATGAACAAGCAATATTCTATATTATTAATAAAACTACATGAACAGCGTTGGATTTATACTAGGGGCACTAGGGGCTGGTGCCCAGGGCGGCAAAATTCGGAGGGTGAGATTTTTTTTATCGTGTTATCGAAAATGCTTTTATTATTTTCCGAAAAATAAATAATTAAAAAATATTAATATTAGTAGGAAAATTCTTTTTACATTAAAAAAATACATATTTATAAGTCATATCAATTTTTCGAAAAAATTAACAAAAAAAATTATACAATATATTTTTTTCGAAACTGCAGTTTATGCAAAATTTCGATAATAGGGCGGTATTTTTTACAGTGCCCAGGGGTGGCGCTGAGGTTAAATCCGGCACTGTACATGAAACATAGCAATAAATAAAGTATAAAGCGGGACATAAGGAATAAGGCCTGTACACACGACGACCTTTCAACGCGCCGTAGATGCGCGTCCGACGCGCAACGAACGCGCGTTTTTTTGACACGAACGCAAGAACCTTTACTCGACTGCGGCGAAGTCCAAAGGAGGGTTATGTATTTGACCTGTATGTACATTGTACGTATACACGTAGCAAGACTCGCAGTTAGTATGAACCTTGTAAGTCTCTAACTGCATAATACTATTTATTTGTCAACTTGTTCTCATCATATTAGTTCGCTTTTTACGGAGTCGGTTTTTTTTTACATTTATGAGCATAGAATAGCGTTAAAGATTCGCGTGTAAAAATTAAAGGTGAAGCTAAAGGAAGTTGCCAGCTTGTGCGAAATCTACTGTAATTAACATTTTTTACAATCAAATGTTATGTTCGCATAAAATATCATCCTAATATACTTAATTCGTGATATTTGCTCTTGAGTCTTTATATCTCTTTTCAATGTATGTAGGGGTATAATTATGTATTAACTTTTTTTTATTTTAAAAATTCGAATTTCCGGTCAAAATGGTACTCTCAAAACCTGATTTAAGATACGTAATCGGGTATCTATCAGAAATAGAATTTGTGCACTCTTTTAGCCGAGGTTTATTAAACAAACATGTTAGACTTTCCTGAGCATAATACATAAAATATTTTTATACTAATTTATATATTTTTATGTTATCAACACCAATTTAAACAAATGAACCTCTACTTTAAAACAAGAAACGTTCATATTAAAAGTTTAAATGTAAATTTAAGATTTAACTAACTCAAAAACCATCGTCAGTTTTTTATATTGACTAATTTTTTATTTTTACAAAGTGAAAATACAATAAGGAAGTAGGTAAATCTTTTACATCTGCATTCTTACTGAAATTTCTCATCTTAGTTTTTGCGAATAAAACTGGATTTCGGATAGATCTTTATATTTATAAACATTTATTTACGAGCATTTTCAAGGTAACTTTTGTAATTATAATATCATCCTTCGGAAAGATACCTAACTTTTAAAAGATACAAGACCGTTTATTTAGTGTAGTCAACTAGAAATATATACGAAATTCTTATTACTCTACTTGTACAAAAATAAAAAAATTAATTAAGTCGTTTTAATAAATGCGGTAACCGATACAATGTACAAACCGAAATTGACGACATACAGTTTCGATACATTACTACAGAAAATGACACCGAAACAAAAAATCATTTCGTGTTAAATTGTATATATTTTTTAATTTATTGACTAATATGGTTAATTTTAGTTCAAAGTATTTAAAAAAAAATGGATTATGTATGTATTTGATTTTTTTTACCAATTAAACTTAAAAGAGGATACTTTGGTGATGTGTCTCTCTTCGATTTGATGTAATAATAATTATCTTGTTTAATCTAGTGCAATGAATAAAATGAGTAACACAAATTCACGATTTTAATTTTTTTTATTTGCTAAGAATATTTTCCAAATCAGTTTGATATTAAATTGCATAGAATTGCAAAGCTTCTATGTGATATTAATAATCATGTCTGGAAAGTAACTTTTTATTTGCTAAAACAAACTATTCTGCGATCCAATAGGCTGTGCTTATGTGTAAATTCCTATAAGATTTGTTTGTGTTATTTTAATTAACTTTGTAAAATATATAAATTATAATTTTGTGTTATATATGTCGTTTAATGTTATTTTTTAATTCCCAGATTGTTTATGAATTCAAAGAATAAAAATGTAATGTAACAAAGTCTTTTATTTATCAAATGTACAAATTAGAAGTCAATATACTATTAAATATTGCATTGCTTTTTTCAATAATTTGAAGCTTCTCCAATAAAATTTGTATTTCATTTGTCTGAAACTGTTCAACATGTTCCATGTAATAAACCAAAGCAATTGCTGGTAAGCTCATGTGCTCTCGTAAGCATATTGCTGTAACAAAAAAATGTTATTCAACCACCTAAAACTGAATTGTGACACTAACATAATATGATAAACTAGCGGCTCGCCCTCGCTTCACTCGGGTTTGCCTATAGAAGGACAAAAACAAATATCTCCCACGGAAACCATACATTTTTCCAGGATAAAAAACCTATGTGCTATTTCATACGTATATCAGAGCCGTTCAGCCGTTCTGGCGTGATTGACTAACAAACATCCATCCAAACATGTAAACTTTCACATTTATAATATTAGATTATGAGAAACTTTTATTTCATATCTCCAAATTTTTAATATTAACACGTTAACTTAACGTTAACTAAAGTTAACTCGCCACGCGAGTTCACTGGCATTATGTAAGGGTAAAATTTATCTTTTGTTATTATTGTGGCTGTCTTAGTCTCCGTAACGTTTGTATCGGAAGTATAAAGTGTTTGACGACTATTCAGTGTGTTTTAACTTAAAAACATGGCAAAAAAACTCAAAGGATAAAATAAAAGGTACGTTTGTTTCGTAATTTAGGCAGTGGTTGTCAACTTTTTATACAGTGGTTATTTTTAATGTTATATTTTGTACTAATAATATTTCTGAACAGCAATTTCGCTCTGAAAATTTAACGCTGTCTCCTAGTTCTACGAATATGTAATCTATCAACTTCTATAAATATATACCATTCGTTTTTAATGCAACGCTAATAATAAAAGGAAATAAATTCAATTATTTTTGTATTTAAAATAATTTAAACTGAAATAAATCAACATTGTACCTATTTATTATTATGTAATATTATTTACAATAATAGATAATATTTTTAAATAATATAATTGAAATTTGACAATAAGTAACAACCTGTTTTTTTAGTGCTATTAGTCCCAGAAACGGAGCCTTATGACGAAGATTCAAAATGGAGCAGGTTTCAAAATGGTGCGTTCGCATGTGATGACGAAAGGGTCGTACAAATCACTGATATGACATTAGAAAAAAGTTTACCGTGGTTTACAAGAGTAGTCAATAGAATCGGCGAAATGTTTTGCGTCCTTGGAGTGGGACTTAGGATTACCCAATGAGAGCTTCGTGAAAAATAATGTTATCAGTGCTTTTGTTTAGAAGGACCGCGCGCCGGCGCAATGTTACTTGTCTTAAAATTGTAAATGCAATATAAATATGACAATAATAAAGTCTACTTTTCTGAGAACGACCCTATATTGTGTTGTAAATTTGTGATGTCTGCGATCATTTATATAAAAGATTCCGAAAAGGGTAAATGGGACACTGTAACTATATATTTATAGTTAATTAACTCTAGTACCTGTTTTGTTTCCTTATTTATCATCTAAAGTATGAACCTAACAAAATTTGCGAAAGGCTGGGACTGTGAGTGTTTCTGAATAAAAATAATATCTCTTTATTAGGTATACTCTTTGTTAATTGTTAGTATCTTACCCATTGGAATCTCAACGAATATTATAAAGAGAAAAAAAATATTTTTATTCATAGCTAGCGACTTACCCTAGCTTCGCTCGGGTGTCGTGCCTAGCTTGCTTCCCCATACAAACTTTCATTCCCATTGTCACCCCCTTAAGGGATAACTTCCGGGATAAAAACTATTTATTTCACTCACTCACTTTCATATCACGAGATGAAAAAAATTTTTTTTTGTAAAAAATCTTTTAATTTTTTTTCTATACGAAACTTGTCCTAACAATAAAAAATACAAAAAAAAAAGAAATATCCAATTTGGTGCAGTTGATCGGAAGTTATGCGTGTAAATATATTTCGATGATTCATTTTTATTTATATAGATTTACATTTTACAGTGAACGCCACATCCACCTACTAAAAATCGAACTTATTGTGTTGACGACGTTAAAATTTGAGAATCTGCGGCATTGAACTCACCTAGCGAGTTCACGGCATTGCAGAATAATTTTTTTTCTTTTAAATGTAAAAAATATCTTTACATCCAGGCCACCATGTAAACATGAACATGAGATCATATTAAGTCTACACCGTAATTATGAACAGAATATACAGAAGCGTTTTGAAAATATTACCGAAACACACTGAACTCGCCGCGCGAGTCCCCGGCACTGGAATAAAATTAACGTAAACTCGCAGGGCGAGTCGGTGGCACTGAACGTGTTAAGGATTATAAATTAAATCCCTATTTAAATGGTTCATGTCTAAACGTAAAATATTTACACTATATTTATTTCATCTTGTGATTTACCTACTACAAAAATAAGTAATAAACTCAAGACGATATGGCAGTGTTTCTTCTCTCACCCCTCCTCTTTCTTGTCCTCGATGGAATAAATAATGCTTGACACGACAGCAAAGAAGCGACGCGGTATGGAGTGGGGATCTAATATTCTAGAAGATCTGGAATATACTGAGGACATGCATACTGAGTCACACACGCGCTGACATGTAAGCCAAACTGAATGACGACGATGTAATGAAGACGGGACAAAACTAAACACCCAGAAGACCCAGGAATAAGGTGCGTGGCAACAAGTTCTCTGCCGGTGCTTATCGATACAGAGGCTGTGGAATGCGTCCACAAATTTAGTGTCATGTCAGGAACCGCAGGAAGCGAAAGGGAAAATCGCTTGCAGGGCTAGAATAACTTTCTTAAAGCCTCGCCCCATACGGCTGTCACGAAGAATAAAGATAGTCAAACCTCAAAACCGTGATTTGTACAGGTGCAAAACATGGAAGGTTACTAAGGACATGTCACACTGTCTTCAAGTTTTCTTTAACTGCTTTCTCCGCAAATTCTCAGTATATACTAGCCCGAAAAATCTCCCATGCAAATCTATACAATCAAGCAACAATGGTAGCTACATTTCCCCACTTTTGATTTAGACCTAGTGGCTAAGGAAAGGAGGGTTAAAAAAAATTTAGAATTTTTGTTACCTCCAGCAGATATTCCAGATAAAATATTAGGTTGTTCGAGTTTACTGTACATATAATTTTGAAATTTATTTGATAAAGTTGAAGTGTTCAGCTGCCTTATAATACATGAGTGTATAGAACCATTTGCTGTCTGATAATCCATAAGTGGTTTAGTTTGAATTGTTATAACATCTGTACTTTTGCAAAGAATGGGTTTTAGCAATTCTGCAATTTCACTGCTTTGAAGTAAGTTATAATCTTTAATAGTAAAAACAAACTGGTCACCAGATTTTACTTCATACATATGTGCATTTACTTCCGGAATAGAATTGACTAATTTTAAATTATCCTTAGGTTGCACTTTTATACAGTCGGATAAAAATTTTCCATCAAGAACAAATAATGTATTTACATTATGTGGTACTTTTAAAGGTAATTTCCATTGCAATCTGAAAAAAAATTAAATTTACAAATTTAAAACGTTTGAGCTGTTTTCTAAATATTATATTATGAACAATGAATACCATACATAGTTATATCTCTTTCGGTATTGATTTCATCCCAATCTTCCCAGGTAGTCCTACTGCACGGTTCGACAATTTCACCAAATGTGGTCATTGTATAAAAGCTTCTAAAGACTCCAAAAAACTGTAGTAAAGACACTGATCAGAATAATTATATCGCAATTTAATTAATAAATTACGCGGTATCTATAACGATAAGAAAGCAATATAAAATTTTAATGTAAAATAAAATTAGTAAAAATGAATTTGAACACTTGGTGACTTGACACTTGTTTTTGTTATGCCAGCAGACCATAGAGTATATTGCTACATATATAAACAGCAGACTCATACAATGACTTTAGAGTTTAGACTTTTCACTTTTCAGTTTTGAATTTTATTTGTCATCCATGGACCTACCCTACCCCAGCCTGCAAATTTATGATATTTGCAATGAAAAAAATACTAATCGATAGATTTTCAATAGCTCAATTTAACTAGGTAGCCCTTTCAAATTGCTCACCTTTAATTATTTAATTAAAAATCAATAAAGTCTTTGAAAAAAAATTAATTTATCTGTATATTCAAACTCCTATATCTTTTGATGTATACAATATTTCAAATTGCTCAAAGTTCTAAAACACTGCTCAAGTTGCATTTGTAATTGCTCAAGTAGAGTTTTTACCAGCTCCACTTTCGCTGATTATTAAATAATTAAAAGTATAGTTGTAATAAATGTAACGTAGGTTAAGTGAGCGTGCGCATGCGCACCGCGCATTGTCGGTCGGCCTCGGCGGGCTTGGACAATCGTTCCAATTCAACGTCTTAATTCTGTTTCTCGGTGGATTTCTTTAAATTTATTGAATTTATGAATTGTTCACATTACGTGATTCCGTTACGTTAAATTTATTCAAACTATTTATATTTATTTAATAATTAAGGAAAGTGGAGCTGGTGAGAACTCTACTTGAGCAATTACAAATGCAACTTGAGCAGTATTTTAGAACTTTGAGCAATTTAAAATATTGTATATATCAAAAGATATAGAAATTTGAATATACGGATAAATGAATTTTTTTTCAAGGACTTTATTGATTTTTAATTTTATAATTAATGGTGAGCAATTTGGAAGGGCTACGTAGTTGAATTGAGCTATTAAAAATCTATCGATTAGTATTTTTTTCATTGCGAATATCATAAATTTGCAGGCTGGGGTAGGGTAGGTCATCCATGGTTTTGAATTGATAAATAACCACCACAGACTAAGTATTATAGCAAAAGATAAAGTGAAAAAATAGTGAAGATTAGCAATAGACTAAAGAGTATTATTACTTCAATAAATTATAGTAAGGAAGAATTTTGCCCTTTTTCTTTTTCCAGATGTCGCGATAATTATAGCCCTCAGTATATTGTAAAGTTCTATAATATGGATGGTTTTTTTTTTCATTTTAATTGAAATGTCAAAATATACAGTGCCAGGATGCAAAGAAAATGGATATCATCTATTCCAAAAAAACAAAACTGAAGAAATTGTGGGCCAAAACATTATGATGACCAAAATTGGCGAAATCACAATCTTCATATTTATGGCTATGTAGACACCATTTTAAAGACAGTGATTTTAATACTCTTGGTTGTTTTTCTGTCTTTTTCTAAAAAAATGTCTACAGATGATTTTTTTGTCCTTTTTTCATATTAATTTATGAGTTTCATACAAATTTTCATCCCCTATTTTACCCCCTTATGAGATTGAATTTGGAAAAAAAACAAATAAATATATTTCTTATTTTTTATGTTATAGCTTAACACCATTTTCTGTGTATTTCACATTAAGAATGACAGAGTTTCATACAATGTTTAATCTCTTATTTTACCCACTTAGGAATGAATTTCAAAAAAATTCTTTTTCAAATTTCACGTTAGACAGTGGTTACTGGTTTATATGCTGTGTGAATACAATATGTGTGATAACCTCAGACTGAATGTAAATAGGCTATTATTGTTAAAATAGAAGTAAATTAAATTAAATTTAGTGAAGTTTTTTTTATTGTGTAGGCTATTTAAAGAGTTTTTATTTTTTTTGGTTTTTTGTTTCTTATAAAATTGTTATATATTAAGTGCATGCTCTATAAACATACTATTAATGTAATATTATTAAGGAAATAAAAAAGGCTAAATTATTATTATATAATATGAATATATATATAGCTACGTATATGGCGCTTTTAAAAATATATCCATCCATGGTTTTGACTTTTATTTGTCATCCATGGTTTTGACGGCGAAGTTGTACGGTACCTCTATTTTTATATATAGCAATATACTCTATGAATTGAGTTCTGACTTCTGAGTTCTGGTTATGGTAACACTTATATTCCACAAATAACAATATGGCAGCATAGTTGCGAGAGCGAAGAGACATTTTTGCAAAATTCAAAATAACAGAAGAAATACAGTATTTTCAATAATATTATGGTAATTGTACTTTACATCGTGTTATTCAGAAAAAGTTACTTTATATAGGCCATACTAAAAATGTTGAAGGTGCGTAATTAAATTTGATGAAAAAGTTGGAATAGGTACTTCTAAAAGTCGATACTATATAATATTACATATGTTCAAAATTTTTTAGGATAAAGGGCAAGCAACTTTTGAAGATAAATGGCCATCCATGCGTCCTATAGTTTTAAAATTACTGAAACAGGAAACTGTAACGCAAACAGAATGGCAAGATCTCTTCGTGGCGGTACATTCAGTGTGCCTGTGGGATGACAGAGGTCCACATAAGTTAAGAGATGCACTCCAGCAGGATATAATGATGTACATAAAACAAGCCCAAGCGCGAGTTCTTGCACAACGTGAAGATCAAGCACTTCTTAAGGCTTATATTGCTGAATGGGGAAAATTTTTCACTCAGTGTAATTATCTGCCTACACCGTTCCGCCAATTAGAAAATTCCATCAATAATATTAGCAAAAGTACAAGTTCTAATGCATCAAATTCTCAGAAAAAGAACAATAATAATAATATAGAAGATAGTTTAGTCCGAAAATTGATGTTAGATTCATGGAACCAAAGCATTTTTATGGACATCAAGCAAAGATTACAAGATTCTGCAATGAAGCTTGTACAAGCTGAACGAAACGGAGAATCTTTTGACTCACAGCTAGTGATAGGTGTAAGAGAGTCATATGGTAAGCTTATTTATTAATATATAAGAAATGATAAAAATCCTTGATAAAATAATTGTATTTAAGCATACTTTTACTAATTATTTATTATTATATATTTTTTGCAGTTAATTTGTGCTCAAATTCTATTGATAAGTTACAAATATATAGAGAAAACTTTGAAGCTGCCTATATGCAAGCTACAGAAGAGTTTTATAAATTGAAAGCAAATGAGCATTTATTGTCAAACGGTGTACAGTCTTACATGAAATATTCTGATCAGAGATTGAAAGAAGAAGAGGCTAGAGCCCATCGATATTTAGAACCAGGAAGTGGAAGCGTGGCTGCACTCACTCAGTGTTGTGAGAAGGTTCTTATTGGTGAACATCTACCAACATTACTAGCTGAAAGTGCACCCCTTATAAAAGCTGGGGAGACAGAAAAGCTTCAGTTGATGTTTCGTCTCTTAGATAGGGTTCCGGAAGGGGTAACTCCAATATTAAGGGATCTAGAAGCTCACATAGTGTCAGCAGGCTTAGCAGATATGGTAGCATCAGCTGATATAATTACAACTGACTCTGAAAAATATGTAGAGAGATTATTAGATCTATTTAAAAGATTTAGTACATTAGTTAAAGATGCTTTCATGGATGATCCTAGATTTCTTACTGCTAGAGATAAAGCTTATAAGTGTGTTGTAAATGATACTACAGTTTTTAAGTTGGAATTGCCATCATCAGCACTATTAAGAGGAAGCAAGGGCACAGCACCAGAAAGTAAATGTCCTGAGCTTCTTGCTAATTACTGTGATATGTTGTTACGTAAGACTCCACTCAGTAAAAGGTTAACTAGTGATCAGATAGAATCAAGATTAAGAGATGTTTTATTAGTATTGAAATATATTGAAAACAAAGATGTCTTTATGAGGTACCACAAAGCTCATTTAACTAGACGATTAATATTAGACTCTAGTGCTGATTCTGAAAAGGAGGAGGATATGGTCGAGTGGCTACGTGAAGTTGGCATGCCGGCTGATTATGTCAATAAACTTGCTCGTATGTTTCAAGATATTAAAGTTAGTGAAGATCTTAATACACAATTCCGAGGTGAAACTACAAGACATGATGCCATAAATATTAAAATACTAAATGCAGGTGCTTGGGCGAGAGGTTCAGAGAGAGTTACTGTAAGTCTTCCTTTAGAATTAGAAGATTATATACCAGAAGTAGAAGAATTCTATAAAAAGAAACATTCTGGAAGAAAGTTGCAATGGTACCATCATATGAGTAATGGAACAATAACATTTGCTAACTCAGTGGGCAGATTTGATTTAGATGTGACTACTTTTCAAATGGCTGTTCTATTTGCTTGGAATCAGAGACCAATGGAAAAAGTTACGTATGAAAACTTAAGGCTAGCCACAGAATTACCTGATCCAGAATTAAGAAGAACATTATGGTCATTAGTTGCATTTCCGAAGCTTAAAAGGCAACTGCTGTGTTATGAACCTCTTGTGCAAAATCCAAAAGACTTTTCAGAAAATACAACATTTTGGGTTAATCAGGAATTTGCCCTTGTTAAAAATGGAAAGCCACAAAGAAGAGGTAAAATTAATTTAATTGGAAGACTTCAATTGAGCACGGAACGCTCACAATTAGAAGATAACCATTCCATTGTTCAACTAAGGATACTTCGAACTCAAGAAGCAATCATCAAGATACTAAAGATGAGAAAGCGTATAACAAATACTGCTTTACAGGTAGATTTTGTCTATATTTATATTATTAACTAGTGACTCACCAACGCTTCACTTGGGTTTATCCCTAGCTTGCTTCCCAATACAAACTTTCATCCCCATTTTCACTTCCTTAAGGGATGATTTCTGGGATAAAAAGTATCCTATGTTCTTCCTAGGGTCTCAAACTTTCTTCTTACCGAATTTCATCTAAATCGGTTCAGTAGATCCAGAGATTACCCCCACAACCTCACAAACTACTATTACAAATAATTATAACTAATACAAATATTAGTATAGATAACAATATGAATAGTATATCAGAGAACATTCTGTCATCATTGTGATGATCTCATATTATATATGGTTAATAAACAAATTTTGTTCATAATTATAAAGAATACTAGAGAGATATAAATGTATTTCTTTGTTTATTGTGATTTTCATACTAATATTATAAATGTGAAAGTGTGTTTGTTTGTCCTTATTTTACGTCGAAACGGAGTGACCGATTGGCGTGATTTTTTGTGGAGATAGTGGGAGGGCTGGAGAGTGACATAGGCTACTTTTTACCGCGGGAAATTATTTAATTCCCACGGGAATACGTTATAATACAATCGAAATAAAAACTTAAAAAAAAACCGACTTCCCGGTACTAAAATATAAAAAATTTAGCGCCTGGAAGTCAGTTTTTTTTTAACTTTTTTGTGTAGACGTAATAAGCACGTAATTTGTAGGAAGAAAGTTTTTACTAACATATTCGATTAAACAATTTGTTTACAAAAAATATTTATTATAGATTTTTTTAAAAACCGCTCGACCGATTTTTTCGATTCGAAAATTTATATGGGACCACCTGGGAAGTATACCCTTTCAAACGAAACAAAAATTTTCCAAATCGGTTCAGGCGTCTTCGAGTAATCGGTGAATTACATTAAAAAAAAAAGATTCCGACGAATTGAGAACCTCCTAGTTTTTGAAAGTCGGTTAAAAATAATTGCAATCAGAATTACTTGAAACTTTGTATTATTGTTCTTCAATAGAATTAAATACATACCTGTTTAAGCATTTTTCCAAATTCATTCTATAAGGGGGTAAAATAGGGGACGAAAGTTTGTATGAAATTACCTTTTTAGATATTTTATTGTAGTTTTAGCGCGAGCGAAGCCGCGGGTTCTGCTAGTAAAATTATAAAATTGGGAAGCATAATAGCTCATATATTTAATAAAAAAATACGGCATGGTATATTTAGTATGTTGCGTTAAGAACATTTAAGTCATATAAATCTTCATCAATTTCTTTTATTTTTTTTAGAGCGAACTCGTCGAAATTCTAAAAAATATGTTCCTACCATCAAAAAAAATGATCAAAGAGCAATTGGAATGGCTCATCGAACACAAGTATATGCGTCGCGATGACGAGGATATCAATACTTTTATATATATGGCCTAACAATAACCTCTCCAGTGTAAATGAACAAAGGAAATAAATTATTTACTCTTAAATTAACTCTGTTATTATTTAAAAAAATAAAACACTACTTAATAATAAGTTTTTATTAATATTAAATATGGTGGATTATAAAAGATACAAGCTATGTATTTAATTCTTTCCAGGCTCAATAGTTTCACCTCCTTGAATCTGTCCCCAACCAATTAACCTGTAAAATAATTTAAATAAATGTACAATTATTTACATAAAAAGTCATGTTGTTTTTAATATAATACAATTATTGACATAAGAATATACATCTAGACATATTGTCATGGACGTGTCCATTCTTGTGGAGTTACACACGAGTAGCGATAATCCACCTCTTGGACAGTGTCTATTTTTAGATATATAAAAATCCATAATTTTTGCTGTCCATAGTGGCTATGAATACCATTCAATTAACATGAATGAGCGCAGTGCAATCTTAACTAACTTCATTTTTTTTTATTAAGTGCTTTGGAAGTTATACTTTATTTGGCACATTTGAAAAAAAGTAATTGGGTTTAAGTTTATAATCAAAAAATGCGTAGCGGTAACTTCTCAATGCGACGAAATCCTCGGACCAGTTAGGTCGCTCCGCGAAGCCTGTGAAGTTCCCAGGAATCTTCTGCACTATTGGTTATAATACAAAATCCCTTTGAAGAGTTTGTTGGCTCACATACACCTGGATTCTTCAAGAATACCACTGCACTGGCAGGGAGGCATCAATAGCATGGGTGCATATTTTGATTGATAGAAATAAAAAATCATTATAAAAACAATGACTAACTTTCTGTATATTAAATGGCAATTCATAGGTAAAGACCTGATATTTTGGTGTTATGTATGTAATGTGATGATACGAAATATTGCACAATGCTAGCAACTTGCCCTTGCTTCGCTAAGATACAGGCGGCACTATATTTTGACAGATTTCATTACTAACCGACGATACATATAATAGTCAAGTTATATCCAAATCTGTCCAGCCGTTTAGCGTAAAGAATAAGAAACTTACACGCATACAAACTCACATAATTTGTAATAGTAACGTTACACAATGATTACCTCCAATGATTTTCCACTCTCCTACTGAGAGCAACCTTCTCCCCGATTTCTGTACAGACGGGGCTTGTGAGAGCGATTTTCGCTAAATCAGCCTTTGTGGCGATCACGCGCCCACCAGTGCTGAGAGACCCGATGTTTACCAACAATGCCTGGAGAAATCATTTGTTATAATCCAAATAAATATACATTGCATGAGCTTTTTTAGCTCTTAGCATACTGCGATAGGAAATCGTACAAAACTTTATGGAATTGCCCTAATGACATTGAAATCAAAATGTCACTCTCGCTTCCTACGTTTTAACGGTTAGTATGGATTGTCTATATATTATACTAGCGGCTCACCCTCGCTTCGCTCGGGTTCGTCGCTAGGTACGTTTTAAATAGATATAAATAAATAGTTATTAGCCAGCGTTAGCCATATAATTTTTTTTGTTGATAATATTGACAAATATTGACATTAATATTTATACGATACTAACGTCACTCAATTGTTTTGCCTTCCCGGAACCTCTCCGCTAACACTTAAACTTTATGGTACGGTATTAAAGTTCAAATTGATTTTTAAGTATTATTACGATCTCTTATCTCTATATCTTTTGTATGGGAGTATAAAAAAGTGTTGTTTTTAGACTTTTTCAGGCAATTTTTTTTATTTTTTTCTCCGTAAGAACCATTCTCGTACTTCAAGGAATATTCTAAAAAAAGAATGAGCGAAATCGGTTCAGATGCTCTCGAGATTTGATCTTAGCAACACATTCAGCGATTTATTTTTATATTAAAGAAGATAACTGCTCCGCTCCCTTGGGTAGAAGCATATATAGCCTATAGCCTTCCTCAATAAGCGGGCTATCTAATGCAAAAAGAATATTTCAAATCCGATTAGTACTTACTGAGATAAGCGCGTTTAAATAAACAAACACTGCCTCTTTATAATATTTAGTATATATAAGTATAGATACATTTCATTCAAGAAATCTTCATGGTCGGCAGCATCCTGGCGCAGGATTTGGTGTAGTGCGCATGCGCGAGTTGAGTAGCTATAGTACGAGTAGATATTCCTAATCCTTATCGTAATAAAAGTAATGCCTCCTAATGTAAGTAAATGTTGTATGAAAACAGTAAGCTAGAATTCTTCGTCTTATCGCGATTATTTCTATGAAGTTAGTATTTTGTATTGCGATTTTAACGCGTGTAGGACTCGCCTATCTCAAGTATAATATTGGGACGGACGAAGGACGTTACATTAGTTTGTAAACATATGACGTATTATTGTTTAATTATTATGATAATTAAATATAATTTGAAAAAGTAAATAAGTTTTGTAATAATTTATACTTGTGAATTGTGTAATATTTCCATTTTAATGGTGGATATTGGATTTCTGAAAGGTAAGACAGTAGAAATCGTCTTATATGGATCTTACGCCATTACTTTATACATACTTCATTCCTAGCAAGCTTTTGAACTTTTGCGGCCTTCTTGTCGCCTTCTGTGCGCACACCGAGTAGACGTTTGAGGAGATAATATGATACTTCAAGCTTAACGAAGATTCCCGGCAATGCTCCAACAGCGCCTAAAACCTGTACGAATATTAATGTAGGTTGTAAGTTGTAGAGGAAGGCAGCGGTAGACCAAAAAAACCAAGTGAAGCGAGTTCGAATTTTGGATCACTTCAACTTTGGGGTGGATTATGGCCTGAGCCCCCTCGTATTGAAGGGAGGGCCGTGCCCAGTAGTAAGATGTTTAAAAAGAGCTGAATATAAAGGTTAATATGCAAGAAAAAGAATCTTAGCTATAGTTTAGCGTATTTTCGTATGTCTATCGAATAAAAAAATATTACTTTAACGTTTTTAATTCTGATCATAATTCTGATCATAGCTGCATCATAACGGCTACATATTAATGGGTCTAACAGTTCCCGAGTAATGAGCAATTAGGCATATACATAATATGTTGGAACATTAATACACTACACCATCTAGATAGTTGATACACTAAACATATATAACTTTTAAATACATACATATTATAAATATAAACACCCATGACTGGAGTACATTCGTGCTCATCACACAAATAAATGCCCCGAGCGGGGCTCGAACCCGCGACCGCCGGCAGGGCAAGTAATATATAAGTACTAGCGACTCACCCTCGCTTCACTCGGGTTCGTTCCTAGGAATGTTTTAAGTTTTTTGAGCGGAACCCTAATTATTTTTCTAAAATAAAAGTAACCTATGTTACTCCCTATAACATCAGCTATCTTCCAATGAAAGTCCCGTCAAAATCCAGCCAGCCGTTTCAGAGATTACCCGGAACAAACAGACAGACAAAAATGAAAAAAATGTGTTTTCTTATAAGTAGGTACTGTATATAATTTCATATGCATTTAGTAAAACTCTGTTATTTTGACATTACAAATAGATATTTATGTATTGTAACAATAATAATCAATATAAGGCATATTGCCATTTATGTTATCTGTTAAATTTTATATGTTGTCTATGATTTTTTACTTGTGCATTATTAAACAATATATGTGATATTCAGTCTGTTGAAATTGCTTAGCGTGTTTTTATCAACAGAAATTTCAATTTTATTTATCTGTATAAATAAGTATAATGTACATGGTCAATGGTGTGTGTGTACCTGTCCGACGAGGCGGTCGGCGCGGCAGAGCGTGGGTTCGATGCGCGTGCCGACACCGATGAGGCCGCCGGGCACCGCGTACTGCAGCTCGTTCTGCTCGGCGAACAGCGACACGATGCGCGAGAAGATGGGCCGGCACGTGAGCTTGCCGTCCGCGTCCTTGCTCACCAGCCCGGGCCGCACCTCGATCTCCATGCCCACCGCCAACACACCCTGCACAGATATTTTACGTGACTTTTGTTAGAAGATGTCAACTTTTATTGTGTACTAACAATCCGCTCCGGTTTCACCCGAGTTCTTTTGTTTATAATGCTCGAACCAACAAACACACAGGTAAAAATCAAAAAAGTTTTCTTTCGTTAATAGCATAAGCCGTTCGATATATATTTATCATATGGTCCGCCTATGAGAAATTCCATTCTAGCGGTCACACTGAGATTCGCCGTCTATACGGGAAATAGAAATTATAGTGCTTAATGCATACGGAAACTCAAGTTACTCCATAGGAATACATAGGTAATGAATAATGATTTGTCAATTGCAGGGGCGGATTGTTAATTTGTTAATTTGGGGGGCCATGGACTAACACTTCTTGGGGGCCTTAACCAACTGACAGTTTTGTCTTTATAAAATCTATAATTATATATAGTACTAGATGAAATTAAGATAATGTTATTATTTGGTGCTTAATTGATCTTAGGGATTTAGTTTATAAATTCACAATATTAATCATTGTTATTAAGAGGGGGCCCGTTATACCTTAGGGGCCCGGGGCTGCAGCCCAAAAAGCCTATGTATAGATAATAGATCCGCCTCTGACAAGACACACTGACCTTCAGTTCGTCACATTAAAGTTCCATACACACTGGTCTGGAGGGCCGGTCATAGTTCTTTGATATATGTCTGATAAAGTATAGTTTGTATTTTTTAGTGGACATTGAGACCACTCCCAAATTTTTTTAAAAGACATTTTAATGATATTTTAATGTATGAGTAAATAATAGGTGTCGTTAGTTCACAAACTGACGAACCATTTTCTTTAATAAATATGTTAAGTACTGCAAAATTAATCCTGCGTTTAATATAACAAATGTTAGTGCTTACAGATTTTAACCGTGGTAAACAAGTCAAAAAAAAAAAAGAATAGCTCAATCTATGGAAATGCACTGCAAATCTATTACTCGATTGCAATTTTTTCAATAAACAGTGAAACTAGGCAAATTTGATTTACGAGCGCATTATTTAGTTTTTCTTCACTTATATTATTAAACAATAATGCCATTTTGTATTATATTTTTGATCTTTTGTCGATTTTAACTAAACCTTAATAACAAATCGAAAGATATCAACGAATACTATCTCTTGGCATTTTTCTGAGCGAATTTTTATTTCCTTTTGATGAGACCTCACGCTCCAAACTTGTTTGCGACTGAATAATGCCATATACTTACACGCTTGCAATTCGCCACGGACTTCAAACCTCTATAAACATTTTAAATATAAGTTATCGGATTTTTTCGCGGATTTATTTTAATGTTGGTTCCCGGTCAAAAACCGTCAAAATCATCCTCATGTAATTAATGAATGGCCCTTTATCTCATTAGGGAGATACCAATTAACAAAGATAGCAAGTACAATAAAAGCTTGTGACCTGCAGTATGGAGCCGCCGGCGACGCCGCCGCGCAGGTCGTCCACCTCGCAGCCGGGCTTGTTCACGTCGAACGACCGGATCACGATCATGCGCGGCGGCGACGTGAAGTCGCGGATCGGCACCGGGATCTTCTTTGTTATGTACTCGCACAGCACCTGCGATAACACTTGTTCACATCCATATTGATATTATAAATGTGAAAGTGTGTTTGTTTTGTTTCTTTCACGTCGAAAGGGAGTGACGGATTGGCGTGATTTTTTGTGTTCAGATAGTTGGAGGGCTGGGCAGTGACATAGGCTACTTTTTGCCGCAGGAAATTATCTAACTGCCACGGGAAAAAACATTGTGGAAAAAACTGCTAGTTGTTATATAAATAACGCAATGGCCAATGTCGACAAAGGTGGAATTATCTCTACAAGATCTACAGATCTCGTAGAGAAGTGAAAAATAGTGTTTATAGCGAACTAGCGCCTAGGACGTCTCTAAATATGTTTTAATGGTTAGTATAGATTTCTCAGAGAAGAGATATTTTCCTGCAGTAAAGAGTATCCTATATGTTGACCCGGATAACTAGCTATCATCATACCAAATTTCATAAAAATCCCTCCAGTGGTTTTCCGTGATGCGGTCACAGACAAACAGACAGACAAAAATTCTAAAAACTATAGATTCGACCTCTGTATCGATAAAAATATCGACTCAATAAGATTTTCCAAAAATATTTGAAGTACAGAATCAACTTAGTTACAATTTTATTATATATACATAGATCAAAAAGTAATATGTAATGCAGTTAATACAAAATATAAATTCACTCAAATACTGAAAGAAAACCTCGTGAGGAAACCTGAATGTCTGAGAAAACTAGCAAGTTTTCGAAGGACATATGAAGTCGGCCAAGTAGCACTCGTCCAGCATGGTGGACTACGAAATGAACCCCTTGGATTGAAGGGAGCCAGTGCCCAGCAGTGGGACAACTATTATCATTGGGGTTAGCCAAGTACAAAAACTAACCTCTACATTTATAGCATCAGATTATGAAGTCCTGGATTATAAAAATGAGTTATTGGTTTTATTTTTGGTAAGAAATGTTTAGTAATAGCTCAAAGGGTGACGTTAGCCTGAGCCTCTTTAGATCTAGTCTTACCTCGATATTATATTTGAGCTGAGCAGATATGGGTATGACGGGAGCTCCTTCAGCAACAGTCCCTTGCACGAACTTAGTGATTTGTTCGTGTTGTTCCTTAGCTTGGCCTTCCTTTACCAGGTCAATCTTGTTCTGTAGTATTATTATGTGTTTCAATTTCATAATCTCTATGGCGGCCAAATGCTCGCTAGTTTGCGGTTGGGGACATGATTCGTTACCTGAAATTTCAATTAGCTAATTTAAATTATTTAAGACATTGAATAATATAGATATAATGTTACAATGTGTTACAGTTATAATGTTACAATATATAAAATTCTTGTGTTTGTAACAAAACTCCTTCGAAACAGCTTGACCGATTCTTATGAAATTTTGTGTGTATATTCAGTATGTATGAGAATAGAACGTAAACTATTTTTCATACCCCTAAGTGATAAGGGTGGTCCACTCCTAATTTTTCTTTATTTTTTTTTTATTTTTTATTTTTTTACGATTTGGCATTAAAAATACATACAAACCTAAATTTTCACCCTTCTACCACCAACCCCTATTTTTAAATAGCGATATTAGTACTTACATTATTATTTACTCTCGGAAATCTATACTCATGGCCTACTACTAATCCGAGCGGAGCGAGGGCGAGTCGGTAGAGTTACAATAAATGTTGAAGTTGTTTAAGGTAATATAGCTTCCTATTAGTTAAAGAATTTTCAGAATCGGATTAACGTACAAACTTTACCTCTTTATAAAATTAGTTATATTTAACTCCATATTGTAATTTGATATTAACGTTAATTTGTTAACCTGCAATAAGCAAAAGCGCGGCGTCCATGACGGCGGCACCGTTAAGCATGGTGGCCATGAGGATGTCGTGGCCGGGGCAGTCCACGAAGCTGACGTGGCGCACGAGCTGGAAGCGGCCAGTGCAGGCGGGCCGCAGGCACGGGAAGTTGTCGTCCTTGGACGACCCGCCCGATGTGAAACTTGTGGGTCGGGGGCATTTCGGGTTGTCACATTTGTAGATTTTCGCGTTTGCATAACCTTTGAAAGACAAAATGGCGGGAAATCTTGAATTAGGAGTGTTTAAATTAAAAATATGTAAAAGAACGAAAGATATATTTTTATAATTATTTTAATACTAGTAGCTCACCCTCGTTTCGCTCGGGTTCGCCTCTAGAAAAACAAAAGCAAATCTATCCCACGGGACCGTACATGTTTCCGGGATAAAAAGTAGCCTATGTGTGTGTATCTGTGCCAAATTTTATCCAGATACGTTCGGCCGTTGTGATGTGATTGAGTATTAAACATCAAAACTTTTACATTTATAATATTAATAAATAGTAAAAAGTGCATTTGGTACATGAAGAAATATGTACAAAGATATGAGGAAATATCTACAAAGACAAAGTATTGTTGATCGAAGAGCTTCGATCAACAATACTATTAGATATCGAGTCGGCGTCTAGGTAAATAAAAGCTATTAATAATATTTATTTTTTCAAATTTTTGCTTTTACGAACTGAAATATCGATCATTAAACAAAAAAAAAATGGTACAAAATTGGATAGATCATGTATTTTGTATTATCAATAGTTAATAGTGACAGACTTATTTGACATATTTTAATGATTTTTCAAGTATATTATAAAATATATTGATAAAGGTCATAAAATATCAGTAATAAATATAATTTATATATAATAAATTATCGTATTTCAGTTCGTAAGAGCAAAAATTTGAAAAAATAAATATTCGTGAGCCTGTAACTTTGTTGTTATTGATATGAAAAACTTGACAAGGACTTTTTTATGTACTACAAATTTGCCATTTAACATTTTTCTGTAACTCTTACAGTTTAGCTAAAAAATGCAAAAAACCATAAATTTCAACTTTAAAGCTATATAACAAATAAAATATTGAAGATAGAAATTCGACTCAATGGAACTTTTTGTAGTAAATTTAATACTAAAAAAGGTCCATTCATTCATTTTATTGAAAAATATTTCCATCACAGTTTGCAGGACAAAAAAGTGTTAAAAAACATATTTTCCATACAATTTGTATGGGAAAACTTAAGTTCGATGGAGAATCTCTTAGATTTGAAATTTTGAGTTCCGCTTTTAACAGAAGCTTTGTTGGGACATTTTCTAAGATATTTTGGGGTGAGAGCGAAGAAAAAAAATATCGTCATGTTTGGCACACCCATATATAAGATTATTTTATAGAATAAAACAAGAATTTTTTCAGACAGAGTGTCTTATTTTCGGTAAATACATGTAGATTAAGTCAATATTTTAAGATTTAACCTACGAAATAATATAAAAATGAATTTTTGAACAATTTTAAAAGCGCTAAGAACGTTGGCCCAGGTTGGCCAATACGTGTGTGTGTATTCAAATGCAAATTCAAAGAAGCAAACAGAAACAAAACAACGATTTAGCTCACAAAGCAACAACGGGAAAAGTGCTTTATGTTTTTATTATAAGGTTGATTTTACAATAAAGATTGCAAAATTTACGAAATGATCTTAAGAGTATGATGACAATTTGAAGATTTGTGACTTTATTACAACGTGCTATGGTGTTGATTAGGTTGAAAATAAGTACTTGTGTATAATACAAATATGCAATTGAGTTTCTTAAATCATTTATTATGTTCAATTTAATAAAAATCTATAAAAGATTATTTAGTTCTCCTTACATGTAAAACTTTATGTATATCTAAAAATACATCATGAACCAATATTCTCCTAGTTTTTAATACTTAGTTAATATAATAATTAACACCAACTTTAACATAATATATTTTATTTGTAAAAAAAATATATTATAAACAACATTACTGAGCAGAAAAAGGCACTTTATACATATTATGTAGTTACATTTATATAGGCATAACATTCCTAATATTGTCTTATATTATTCATTTAAATTTGTTTAATTAATAGTAAATATTACTAAAAAATAAAGTATATCTTTACACTTTAAACTACAATTCTTAGAGTATACATATGCTATAGAGCGCGCGTATCGCTCATTGTCCATTATGTGAAACGTAAGCAGATGTTCTATACACACCTATTGATACATACGTAAATGAAGCGGTTCAATAGTGATGCGCCTAGTAAAACTTTTAGTATTTAATTAAAAAAGAAGTATATTATCATAAACTATTTAACATAACCATTTATTCACGCAGATATAGACTTTATTATCTAAAATTACAGTATTTCAATTTAATATCTTTCATTTGTAAATATATGTAGTAATAGTGTTGTTTAATATTTTGTTTATTTTTTTAATAATAGTAAACTTAATTAAAATTATTCTCTTTAACTTTTCGCGTTCCATAATTATATAATAATTACACTACGGGACTTAAACGCGAATTTCACGCGTTTAAATCCTGTAATGTAATAATTATCATAAAATCATGTGGCTTGAATTTTTTTTTATGTTTATAAATATAATAATGACAACACTAAATAAGATGACTAATTAATAAAGTTTTCAAAAAAATTCTAATTATTATAATAATAACAGCTAAAATGAAATAAATAATATTCCATGCAATTATAAAAATGTTTAAAATTAAAATTAAGAAATATTGTATGGTACTTTAGTGCCATTAAAATTTAAAGGTTTTACTTTTGATAAATACAAAGCATCTTAATTTATAATACTATGGTCATACAAAAGTTCGAGTAGTACAACGTGGTACAACACTAGCTCTTAATGAGGGAAAGTAAGAAGCGGGGGGCGCGGAATCATGTGTTGTGTCGACCCGCCCGCATGTCTCCCGCAACACCCGCTCACGCCTGTATAATTATGTTAAAATCAGCGTTTTCTGATTAAAATATTATTTACCGATGAAAAGAAATATCTATGTTCGTTCTACTTCGCTTTCGTGAATCATTTTTACAGTTAGGAACTTGTACATTTCACCATGATTACATAAATTCAAATAAATATCGACGAGAGAAACAGTCAGCGCGATTGACTTTTCGTGACTAATAGCGTCGCCCTTGCTATTTCGAGACTGTTCACACCCGTGCTTACAGTTCATACTTGCTAACGCGCACTCTAAAGCTTATGTATACTCTAAGCACTATTAGACCAAATGTGATTACAATGTAGCATTATGTTTTCCTTATTCTTCTAACCCAGTAGTAATATTGATGGGCTAACTATACATAGCATACGTAATTATTTAGATAAATTGATAACACATAACACTTATCAGCACATGTAAATCATGAGAATATTTTGTTCATTGCACATATAGTAAGTATACATAGCAAAGCAGGCAGTGGTAGCCCAGTGGTAACGCGCTTAGTTGGGAAATGGAGTGAAGCGGGTTCAAATTCCGGATCTCGCACCTCTGATATTTTTTTTATGTGCAAATCATTTCCAACAAGATTACCACTTGCCTTACAGTGAAGGAAAGAATAGTGAGGAAACCTGCACGTCTAAGAGAACTTAGTAAATTTTCGAGAGACATGTGTAGTCTGCCAAGTGCCAACCTGCACTTGGCCAATGTGGTGAAATATGTCCTGATCCCCCTCGTATTGAAGGGACGCCCGTGCCCAGCAGTGGGACGTTAAAAAAGGCTGAATACAATATAGCACAATGGAAGGTTGAGCTTTATAAAGTACATACATAAAGCAAGTAACAGAGAGTTCTATAGTATAAATAATTTGATAATACCCAAGTATAAATTATAAATAGACTGTAGATTTGCTTCAATTGAAAACAAAGGTATTTTTTAATATTTGAAAATGGATTTATATAAAATCTTAAATGAGATTCCTTAAAAGATTGTGCACTTAGAATATTGTTATTATGAACTCTTGTTGCTTTAACAAACTGGCTTACATTTTCTAAGCCTATTCCTAATAAGGAAATTATTTGAACACTATTCTTATTTTATAAGTTTAAAGAATTAAAATAAATATTTTCTACATTTCAATGTTCCACATTTACATTCAGTACGGTTTCTTAGCAGTGCCATATTTTGCTGTTGAATTTCGAATCGAGACTTAGTAGGTGACACTGGGGAGACAGCAGTTGTTGCTTCTGAAGCACTTGGAATACTGACATCTTCTTCTATTTCTTCTTTATGGGAAACAGAAATAGTATCTTCATCATTATCTGAAGATTTCTGAAGATAATCAAAAGAGATCTCCTCCCCTGCCTCAATATCTCGTGTTGCAAATAACGCCAGCATTGGCAAATTAGGATCCAAGCAATCTGCCCATACGGCCCATACCCCCATATTTGGATCACATGAATGATTTATGAAATGGGATACATTGCCTAAATTGCAAGCGTCCACAACATAAGGGTTTTCTACAGAGTTAAAATCTAAGTCAAACAAGTATGTCAACCCATTTGCATCATACTCTCGTCCTCTTTTCTCTGCTTCTTCAAAAGTTATAACTTCACCGACATATTGGCACAAGAATTGACCTTGCTTAATTTTTTGTTCAGTTTTCACCCCCCAACCGCATCCATTAGATGTTCTGAATATTGTGAGCTTTACATTGCGTCCTTTTTGGACAACACGATTATTGCATTCAGATGAACATTTGCAAGCCTTATTGCACTCATATACTGGGGTACCAGATGCCACTCTAAGCCGCTTGTTTACTGTATATGCAAACAGGCCTGCCTGCATTCCACAACAAGATTTAGATCGACAATTACAAGCTTCACATTCACATCCGATTGGTGGTTCATTAGGAATAACAACACCAGCTCCAGGGATTGATTCATTTATGTAAGTAAAATTTTCTGGTGGACCAGTTAAATCAACATTATTTTCAACATTTAACTTCTTACATTTATCAACTCGATTAAGGTACTCCTCCCAATTCTTTAAAGCCATAAGTTGTTGACATCGTTTTCTGCACATATTATATAGCTGTAAAATGTTTCTAGTGTCTTCAACAAGTTCAGATGCATAAAGTTCTTCAGATTCTTTAAGATGAATCATACAAAGCAATTTTAGTATAAGATCTTCCTTTAGTTTAGGAAGATCTAATTCTTCAAATTCATCAAGCCTACTAACAAGGTTATCTTCCCTAAGTAAATTATCAAAAGATATTTCCTCTTTAAGTTTCTCCATTTGATGGCAATGTTTTACCTCTTCATTTATTAAAAACTCCTTTAAAATTTCAGGGCAATTATCTAGATTTTCTATAGGTTCCCATGTGTTTTCACTATCATCCCAACCTTTCCATTTTATATAAAATTTTTCTTTACCAGATTCAAACTTAAAATCAAGAATTTTTTCTATGATATAGTCTCCCGGTTCTTGTTTTTGTGTCCTTCGTTTTTTGCTTGTTATTTTATGGGGTGTTAAATCTGAATCAGATTGCACTGATCTCTTTCTTGCTTTTCTTAATTTTTCACAAAATAATTTTTCATCTCTTTCGTCAGCTCTGTCACGAAACATGTTTATAACTGAGTCAGCCAGGCGCTCTGCAACATACCATGTGATTTAGGTTAACATTAAATGTAATTATCTGCTTACTATTTAATCATCATTAAGGAAAATCCAATAATTTTATTGTATGGTTTTTTTTCACATGGTACATTGCAAAGAATCTGGGACTTCTCATAATATCATTACAATTTTTTATTTGTTAAAGTATCTCATTAATAAAATGCATTTTAATATTTAGCTAAATTTGTGGAGGTAATATATAACTTATATATAATATGTAACTTATGGAGTTTTTTAATTAAATAACTTCTTTAATTTTAGAATTATATTAGTAAATATTATAACATGTTTCCAACAAGAAAAACAACTTAGTAAAACTCAAATACAATCAGTATTTGAGACAATGCACATTTTACACAATAGTTTCTTATAATATATGGAAAGTGGTCACGAAAGAAAGATCTTTGAAAAGTCATTCTCTAAAGTAGATCAATTGTTATGGAACTTTGTCATCTTTTAAATTAGAAATGATCTTTAATCTTCTGTTTATGTTATTGATGAGACTCATACAAACTACTTATAACAAAATATGTTAAACTAAATAATAATTACATTTTTGATTACAACATAAATAACACAATTTAAAACAATATTTTGTAATAAAAACTTTTATAACTAGCTAAGTGGTTTTCTTTGTTATAATTTACAGAAATGTTAAATGTTTGAAAGTATGTATATATAATTTTTTAAATAAAACTATCTTTTCGGATTTTTTCGAAGATTTATTTCGATTTTTGGTTAGCAACATTTCAAATGCTTTACAGCAATCATGGTCACGGGAAAGTATGTAGTGTCATTTACTTACCTAATTTAATTGTAATATTTCTTTCCAGTTCATTCTTGAATCTAACGGTCTGTACACCAGATATAGCTTTAACCACAGTAGATTTTCCATGGGCTACATGGCCAATTGTACCAATGTTGATGGTAGCTTGTCTAGATATCACTTCAGGTGATAAAGCGGATAATTTTGTGACATCCTAAAATGAATAATTGTAAGGAGTTAAAGCTTATTTATTAAGAACAAACTTAGTACAAAATTATAGGTTATAATATGAAGTTTAAATGTTATGCATAAATTATTAGGAATACTTGAAAATAAACGTTCTAATATCTAGCGTAAGCTAAATGTTAACATTCATAAATTGAATGGTTTTAAATTCAACTCACTAGCTTAGATAAATCTTGCTGATGCAAGTTTGATTGAGCTCTGCCTTCATTGGAAGTCATTTTATTTTAGAATACACTACACTTTCTCGAACACTTTATGATATATACTACAATTAAATTATATTGCTATTTCATTAAGAAAGCTTTTAAATTAATAATTCGATGAAATTGCTGTTAATTGTGTTTTATTGCGTGGCTTCTTGAGTTTTGTCATACCGCGCACGCTAAACGTAAAATGAAATAGGGCTGTTAATAAAATATCGATATATCGAACTATCGATATTATCATTTACAAATATCGATATTTATTACTAATATTTTTGGACGATATATCGATAGTTTGATATTGAAATGTAGATATCGATAGTCGATATATTTTTGAAAATAAATATTTATTTTTAATTTTTTTTCGTAAATTATTTAATCTATAAAATCATCGTAAACTTAATCTACTACACTTCATTTACACTATATAATGGTTTTCCTCTATTCCTAGTTTACTTATTTACTTATTATCTTAAAACGAAATGTAATTTTGTATAGATAATTACCTCAGGGGTATAAAAATTACTATAATCTATGATATGGAGTATTTACTTTACTTACAGTTGTTGTTTGTTGTCACATATTTACCTAATTTCCTATTATTGACCTCTATTTGGTGTGTGGTTAACAATGAGTTAGGAGTGGGTGATATAGCTTTTGCTGAATATTGAATCGAAACTATATATCGATATTCGATATCGGATATCGAAACCATATATTTTAAGAATAAATTATATTGTACTGACAACTCGATACGGATATCATTTTGATCTCATTTTCGATACGGATATCATTTTCTTCTGCTACATCTGTAGCATCTGAACGAGTTGCTTCTATAATCAATCTGTTAGTGCCTAATAATCGTAGTAGTCAAACAGCTGAACATATAAAACAAAGAGTATTTTTTAAAACTCTTACTGAAAAATATTGGTACACATGATTTTCTCACTTAAATTAAACAATAATTACTAAGAACTATATCCTAACACTTTTATACATTTATAATTTAATTTGTTTAATAAATATACTGAACTATAAACTGTGTAATCATTTTTGACCTGCCTTACAATTATTTTTAAGCTATTGCATAGCTTCTATCGCGGGCCTTGAGCGTGGGGATCCAGAAATTCCGTAACGAAAAAAACCTGACACCCCCCACTCCGACCGGCACAGCGGTGATACTTTTTAGTTTTTCCATCTATCGATAAATACCAGAACTTTTAATGACTTTTTGAAATATCACGCTTGTCTCTTTAGTTCAGCAACCCGCCTTTAGGTGGCATTGGTTGAGGTACCCTACCCCAGCCTGCAAATTTATGATATTCGCAATGAAAAAAATACTAATCGATAGATTTTTAATAGCTCAATTCAACTACGTAGCCCTTCCAAATTGCTCACCATTAATTATAAAATTAAAAATCAATAAAGTCCTTGAAAAAAAATTATTTATCCGTATATTCAAATTTCTATATCTTTTGATATATACAATATTTTAAATTGCTCAAAGTTCTAAAATACTGCTCAAGTTGCATTTGTAATTGCTCAAGTAGAGTTCTCACCAGCTCCACTTTCCTTAATTATTAAATAAATATAAATAGTTTGAATAAATTTAACGTATAGATAGGTGAGTGCTGCGCATGCGCGCAAACAGTAACGCGAGTCGCAAGGCAAAAAAATCGTTTCAAAAGTGTTTCATAACCTCATCAACCTCATTGGTTGTATTGGAAAACTACCGTAATCAGCTGTTTGTGAGAAAGTATATAGGTGTATAGGTATTTATCATCTATGTACAACAGTGAATATCTGTACTCGTATAATTTGTGTACAAAGTGTTTTAAATATGAATAAACAAAGTGCATTTATTAATGAAGAAAGTCAAGGAAAAAAATACTGCATTAATAAAATAAATTAATAATTATAATTGTATAAGTTGATAAAAAATGCTATGCAATAGCTTTACCGTGGCAGTCTCCGAGTGCCACATTTAATATTTTTTTAATAAAGCCGATATATCGAAATATCGATGTTTTTTTTCGATATATCAAGCTTCGATATTGATATATTTATAAATATCGATATATCGAAAATCCGATATTTTAAAAAATATCAACAGTCCTAAAATGAAATAGACGTTTCACGTTTCACGTTAAATTATAGAGGGTAGAAGTAAAGAGGACCATCTCAATGTATTAAAAAGAGTCCGTTGAAAAGTAGAAAATTAAGGTGGTGCTATAGCACTATTACTATAGTAGTAAGTGGAAGAATTTTAAAAGGAGCGCCATAAATTAATAAAGTAGGATACTAAATTAAAAAAGGAACGAAAAATTTCCGCTTTGATACAGCGCATTTTTTAAATTATAATAATATACAGATAAACATGAATATGGAATAAAATTATACAGTATTTTTAAGTACCCCAATTATTTGTATATAGCAAATACAAAATAGTATTAAATAATAACCGAAATTAAAAAAAATATAATTAAAATTGGAACAAGCAAATTTTCAACCCAGCACACTTCACTCTGTTTTTAACTGCTAATTCATATCATTTCCATTTTCTACACTAGCGCTATTTCAATGAGTGTTGAAACAATAATTTGCTGTTTACAAGTGGACACTTTTTCAACTAATCCCCCATACAAGACGGTCCTCCTTACGTTAAATAGACTAGGTAGTAAGTACATAATCTGTGAAAACTTAAGAAATAAAAACTGAGAATCTGTATTGAGTATTCTGTGATTCCGATGACACACACAAAGCATGAAATGGAGATTTCTTGAAAGGAGGGCGCTACACGTATGATCTATTTAAATTCAGTCTGAGGTTAAGCATTTATCCCTGTTTTCCAATTACAGACAAACTTTGATGCACAAGCACAAACAACGCAAAAAAACACTTCTTACATAATACATTTTCGGTACATTGAGTTATTGGTATCCTTTGCGCGCATCACGCAGAAACAGGTACTATTGTTTAGGTAGATGCAGACTAAGATTTCCAGTGTTGACTTGACTAAATCTAGTCGTAAATTATGTCACAAATGTCAAAATTTGATTTTTTTTATCTGTACATCGTATGGTGTCAGCGGCTGATCGGAGCATAGGATCTAATATTTTTCAGTGATTGAGACAATCCGTAAATAATTTACCATGTCTCTGATGAAGACGAATATGCTGGTATTTTATATATTTTCATTTAAACCTTAAATTATTTTTTGACATAATTCATAATTTTATCATTACGTAACCTTACAGGTTCGCTCGCTCAGCACCTCAACTGCTGCAACTCAATTAATAAAACCTCCTGTACAAGTTTTTGGTTTGGAGGGAAGATATGCAGCCGCTTTATATTCAGCTGCCTCAAAAAGCAAAGCGTTAGACACTGTGGAGAAAGAGTTAAATCAGTTTCAAAGCTCCATCAAATCAGATGCTAATCTTAAAGAATTTATTATCAACCCAACTATAAAGAGATCGTTAAAGGCAGATGCTTTAAAGCATCTCGCATCTAAAGTGAGTATTTTGTTATTAATGATTTTTTTTCAAAATATGTAGTTTGCAAAATTAAATTACTGTCTTTAATATTAAAGTATAAACTACAATTCTTTCTAAGTTTACTGCTCTTATGTACACAGACCAACATGTCTCCAACTACGGGCAACTTGTTGTGTCTTATGGCTGAAAATGGCCGCTTGGGTAAACTCGAAGCTGTAATGAATGCATTCAAAATTATGATGGCTGCCCATCGTGGTGAGGTGACTTGTGAGGTTGTTACTGCTAAACCTTTGGACCAAGCTCAGAAACAAAATTTGGAAGCTGTACTCAAGGTAAATTATAAATTTAAGTGTTCCAAATTAACTAGACTTGTGTGATGAGGACTTGAAGCTATATGTTAAATTTATTAACCAAATAGCAGTCTTAAAAGCAATTTATTGGCAAACTAATTAAGTACTTTTATATAAACTTAAGATAATTTTGAAGTATTTTATGAAAAAGTATAATACATATATTGATATTATATATTGAACATGAAAATAATTGAAAATTATTTTCCTCTAAGTCTAGATCTTTGTATTTTTATCAATAAAATTATTTTACAGAAATTCCTTAAGAGCAATGAGACCGTACAGCTTACTACTAGAGTTGATCCTTCTTTGCTTGGAGGTATGGTCGTTTCTATTGCTGACAAGTATGTGGACATGAGTGTTGCCAGCAAGGTGAAAAAATACACTGAACTCATCAGTGCTGCTGTTTAAGTTATCTAAAAATAACATGTAGCTGAACATTATTTATATGGTCAATAAGTAGTCATGTTCCATATTGGTTTTAAGTAAATATCTATACATTATGAGATTGATTTTTACTGTCCTTTTGTCATAAGTTTCTTTACTTATTTTAGTATTGTAAAAGATTATTTTTAATTTAAAAATTCATAGTTTCATAATTATTTAAAGCAATCATTCATAGTTAATTAAATCGATGATAATAAGCACGTCAAAAGATGTATCATTTACTATTAGTCCTCAAAATAGTCCTCCAGTATCTATACATATAATAAAATTGTAGAGTCAAACATATGAACATAGATTTTTTTTGTTAAAAACCAAGTCATATGTAAGAAGAAAATTAGAACAAATCCAGTTTTTTTTATTCAAATTTTTAGTTTCTCTGTTTGTAGGAGTTAATCTCCGAAACTGTTGGACCGATTAAATTAAATTTTGCATGGTGGTACTGGTCAACATTTTAGATACTTTTCATCTGGAAAATTAAAGAGTTTCCATGTGATAGTAAAAAACTATAGTAACTTATACAGCTTCTTCTCCTTCAGACACTGCTTTTTCCGCACTTAGGCATCTTTGCCCGTTGTGCGTGAGCTTGTGCTGCTGTGTGTGTTATTCTTTCCACCCCAGAGCGTCCCAGTAGTCTAGCAGGCTGCCAGTGTCCTGGAAGTTTTCTGGGATCGAACTTTTGGGGCCGAGTTTTTCTTCGCGTAATTGTTCCAGTGCACTACATTCAGTCAGAATGTGAGCTGGTGTTTTAATCTTCTTGGAGACACGCTCTGCAGAGGGCGCTGTCCGTGTAACCTATGTTAAAAAGATGTTTATTGAGTTAGCAGTGTCCTGTTAGCAGTTCCACCACCGTTTTTAGTTTGGGTCTATCTAGGCGTGTTAGTTTCATTGTTAATTGTTTATTTAGTTAGGGGAAGGCTTCTTGCGATTGACGGCAATCTGTGTTAGCCTTCCATAATGTGTCAACTGTATTGTTAGTGAATACTCTTATACAGCTTAGTACACAACAATTTATGCACCTAATTTAGTAAAATTTGGCGTGCTGATAACTTATATTGCTGGTCAAATGTGTATAATAAAATTTATAAATCCCATAAAAGTGACGGGAAAGTAAAACATTACAAAAACAGTGTCTAGTATAGTCTTTCATACTAAATCAATTGTGTGTGAGGGACGCCATTTTGACCAAAGGTAAAGAGTGAACGACACGTCATTTGTTATTTTTGGTCTAATATTCCCAGACATAATAAATAGGTACATACATCGATATATACTAAGCTTAATTTTACAAACCTGTGAAAATCTCAACCCTACCTTCTGGCTTTCCCAAGTCGAGTAAAAAACCAGGATATTATTGTAATAACAGCGCTGAATTCAGTATTGTTTAGTTCAAACACGCTAACGAAAGGCTTTAGGGACTCTGCGCAAGTACGTAACATTCTACACCAGAGAATAGCTCCCTAAACAATCGATAGATGGCGTTATTCGTTTTTAAAACGCGCTATCGTAAGGGTTCAGCGAGTCTACCTTGGTAACATTCTACAGTAGAACCAAATAAGATAGAATCTACATTCTACACTATCTATAGGCCTCCAAATTTCCAATAGAGGGCGCTGTTAGCTTTTAAAATCTATAATATATATAATAATGTATATATATATATTCCATTTTAACAATTAAAATATACCTAGGAAAGAACCCGAGCGAAGCAAGGCTGAACGGCTAGTTTATTTATATATCTTACACTTTCAGAACTTTAGATAGTATAATTTTTATACCTTAATATTATGTATTTAATTTATAAGAACAATTTATATATATATATATATATATATATATAAACTACTCATTTTTCAATACTGTTAAGACTTACACTAGATTATTTTTCAATAATATAATTGATATATTATACACTTTTCTATATGGGAATGTAGAAAGGAGAGCTTTTTATAAAAGATCAAATTATTGAAATAAAACATGTAGTTTGATTGATGACAGAGATTAGAGGACAAGTATTACAAACAGTATAATTAAGTATTATTAATTTTACTTACTTTTGCACTGAAGTAGGTATGCTCTTATTCTAATTTTATGATAGGTATGATAATTACTCAATTAATTGGATATAAACAATAGTTTTATTTTTATGTACTACTATATTGAAAAGATGGAAACTACATATGTGTCAAAATCAAAGGCTTTATTTGTGCTCTTTGCACATAAATTTAACATAATATATTCTTATTTTTTATAAAAATAAAAAAAAATGTTTAATTATTTAGAACTCACATATAGGAAAAATACAGAAGAAATTTATATGCTAAGATATTAAAGTAATATAAAAAATGTGCAAGTAGCACATTAACATAAATATCCTTAAATGATAACAAAAATATAACTCTCATAAATATTAACTATAACTATGTTATATTTTTTGTGAATCAACAAGAGTTTAGAGATCATGTCATTGAGATCAAGTAAATTATCAATGCTATATTTTGAGATTTTTATCCTTCCGTTGGGGCTGTTTCTCCTTTGAGGAGAGCATTTTCTGCTTCAAGTTCAGCAATTCGAGCTCGGGCAGCTTCTAACTCATCATCACCACCATCTGTGCCTAGATGTTTTCGGACATATTCTAGAGCATCTTCTGGTTTGTCTGGTTCTTCATAAAGACTGACTAGCACCTTTGTAAGTGCATCCATCACACCGGCTCGTTCTAAATAGCGACGAAATTCTTCTCTTTTTGAATCAATGGGCTATATATGAATATAATAATTTAATTTGAGTTTCATAATATAAGTATCTTATTTTTATAACAAATAAGCTTAGTGAAATATAATTCATATTTAGACTGAGCTTTATATATGTAGCAATATACTGGACAGAGCTTAATGAATTTCTTATATTCATTCACATCTAAAGTAATAGAGATGTGGAAATAAAAAGACTTACTTTGTAGGAAGACATTGTGTTTATAGATTTCTAGATGTTCTCCTTTATTTGCCAATGCAAAACAATAAGCCAAATTGTTATTTTAATGAGCCGATCGTCTTCTATGTAATAATTGTAAATGTAACAATTTTTAAATTAAGATTGACATTTGACAAATGCAATTCTAAATTGCATGATATTAGATCTATAATCTATGCCTAGTTTTTCATTCAAGTTCATCTATGGTACCTACCTAAGGCCTACCACATACATACAATTTTTAATTGATCAAGTTCAACTGTTTAGTTGTATGTCAAAAGTTTGTGGAAATGTAGGTAGGTCCGCATACCATGAACTAGACAGTTGAAGAGTTCCATCTATCCACCTTCTGGCCTTACCATCGGATCAGGTCGGCGATACTGACTGACGTTGACACCGAACTATACTTGATATCGATACCGAATGACTGAGTCTAGAAGATGTTTTATCGAAAAAACTGTTTTCGTAACATTACATGCCTAACGCTGGCTAAGCCTTTAGAGATACACCAAATAATTGTAGGCTTAAAAAAGATCTATCTCTTATGGTGCACGAGCACTATAATTATTATTTTTATCTACTATATAAAATGTACTTAAAGGGATGCACCCGAGCAAAGCGAGGGCAAGTCGCTAGGTATAGCATGTATTTTTTCTCCGAGTGTTCGGTTCTGTCGTGAGTATTGAACAATGGATTGATCCATAAAAAACCCCATTCTACCCCATCTAATATTTTTTGTTACATTTCTTTACTAAGCTAAGTGACCATAATTAAATAAAAAGAAAAATATATTTTTGCGATGTGCTAATTTTCTCCTACTAGACGTCGTCTTTTGCTAAAGGTTAAGCTAAGGTTTAGGCCAATTATTAATCAATATACATATTATTTGTACATTTATTTTTAATAATTGGTCTGAACTACAAAGATATGTATGATTCACTTATGCTTCTATTTAAACAGCATTATTTCATCACAGTAAAAATTAATCTATTCAAATCAAATTCTGAGTCGAATCTGTAGACCTACATTAATTATTTTATAGAATATCTTACTGAAATACTCATTATTATTATACAGACTAAATCTATAGTTTTTAGAATTTTTGTGTCTGGGAACGCATCACGAGAAAACCACTGGACAGATTATGATGAAATTTAGTATGATGATAGCTGGTTATCCAGGTCAACATATGGGATAATTTTTACTGCCGGAAAATATCTTATCTCTGAGAAATCTATATTAACTGTTAAAACGTTCTTAAGGATGAACCCGACCAAGGGTAAATCGCTATTATATTATAAATTTACTTTTGTTGACCATGTGGTACCAACACACCCACATAATAGGCACACGCCACATGGTCGTCAAGTTGTGGACACCAGCCCGAACATACTCACCGTACACCCAGTGGTGTACATAAAATAATAGGTAATCTACCAATTTTATATTATTTTAGGAAGGTATTTTGGAAATAAAAAACAATTTTAATAATATTTAGTTTATTATTTTGTCATCATGACAAAATCATTGAATACTAAAATAAGTATTTCCATTTAAAGCATTACACAACTTGCAAAATTAGAAGTAATCAGTAAAATAGTGTTAAGTTGAAATATAAAGTAAATAATATCTATTCTAGCGAGCTCTAGTTTGTGATGAAAGCGTTTTAGCATTAAGACTCATCATCACTTCCGGCCTTTGCTTTAGGTTTCGGTCCTCCAGCTCTCTTGGCCATGATAATTTGGTCAACCTTTAAAATGGTAGTTGCTGCACCAACTGCATACTTAAGGCCCCAGTTTTTCAAAACATATAAATCTAAAACCCCTTTATCTTTAGCATCACAGATACCATTGTTCTCAGAGTCAATATCAAATCCGGCATATTTGTTGTTCTCCTAAAAAAGGCAATATTTAGTCTTAGGATCAATAAAATATATATAATATGTATTTATACATTCCATAACTTTATCAAAAAATATCTTATACAATAAATTTGAGGGATAATAATTATGTGAACCAATTGCACTTTTTTCTCCAAATCATTGTATATTTTTTAGCATTTATTGATTGAAATTGAAAGAAAAATTTAAATTAGTTTACCTAACACTCAAGATAAAGGAAGCCATTTAAAAATCATTGTGGTAGAATGTTAATATAATATTGAAGGTAGGTTTAGCTTAACAGAATGGTGCTAGTTCCCAAAAAATAATTACTAGTATTAAATACAATACCCTGTGAGCTTTATAGATGTTATTAATAACTTCTGTTGCATTAGCTCCTGAATTGTCAGCCAAAGCACGGGGAATGCTCTCTAAGGCAACAGCAAATTTCCTGACAGCATATTGCTCTAGTCCTGGCAGGGTATCAGCATATTGTAAAAGTTGATGAGCCAGTTCAATTTCAGTAGCTCCTGCACCAGGAACAAATCTGAAATGAGGTTAATAATATTATAAATACTGAATAAGAAGTTATTAACTGAAATACTATATTTTAGCTAACATAGATACATACAGTATTTAATGATATGACCATAGAAAAAACATTTATTTTATTTTGTAAATGTATATTATTTTTCATAATTGTGTACATTATAAAGGGTAAATTAATAAATATTTGTGATAATTACCTGCCATCCCTAGCAATACCCTTAAAAGTGTTAACACCATCATCAATAGCCCTTTCAATGTCATCCATATAATTTTCAGTTGAACCTCTAATAACAACAGTAGAAATGCGAGACTCTTTACTTTCCATACGGAATACAACCACTCTAGTGTCACCAACTTCATCAACTCTCACTGTATCACAGTAACCAAGCTCTTCTGCAGTAGGTGTTGTCAATCTTGGCAGCACCTATAAAAAATTATAAAATTTGAATAAAAGGCATAATTTATTATGGAAAACCTAGCATCACTAAGTAACACTGTTGAAAAATAAAAATCAATTTAAATTATTAATATATAATTTCTTCATATATGAAGTATAGTTTGTCATTCCAATATACTCTTTTTTATGATTATTTTACTTACGGTTCCATTAACAGTTCTAGCTAGGCGACGTAGATCAAACTTAGAATTAAGACGCACTGCCATTACACCATATTTGTTCAGGAAATGAAGAGCCATATCACCAAATTTAGCACCAGCAACTATTACTTTGACACCAGTATCTGCAATATCCTTAACTTGTTTTTCTAAGAGGGATTCTTCTCCTTTGCTAAAGTCAAGAAGCTCATCAGCAGATTTAATAAGAACGGTTCCCTTTGTTTCAGTTTGAGTAATATCGACTGGACAAGAATATATCGCTATTTTAGCATTACTTGCACTTATGATGTCTCCTTCAACTTCCCTTTTAAATACCATTCCTGATAAGACCTCTGATTGTAAAAGTCCAGCTCCAAGTATCTAAAAAAAAATATTTATAATTAGTGATAATTATATTTAGATTAAAAAAATAGATTTCATAATTTTAGTGTTTATAGTATTTTCTTACTTTACATATCCTAACATTATCCACGTTAAATGTCGTTTTTTCAGGTAGGATTGCTACACAAGCTTTAGCTACAAGACTTGCAATGAATTCTTCATTTCCATATTGTTTTGACATTATTGCTGGTTTAATACCATCAACAACAGCGTCAATATTCTTGCAGTCCTTAATTTCATGACAAATAAGTTCTGGAAGTATTTCTAGGCACTTATCAAGAGCTTTTTCATATCCTTCAGCAATTTCACTTGTAGTCACACCCAAGCGTAATAACTCTTCTGCAGCTTCAAGTAGAGCACCAGACATGACTATAACGAAGTTAGTGCCATCTCCTACTTCTGAATCTTGCATTTGACTGGCCAATACCATAAGTCTAGCAGCTGGATGTTCAACATCTAATTCTCGAATAATGGTGCCGGCGTCACTAGTAACAAATTGTTTCTCAATATGATTAATGATCATTTTGTTCATGCCATTGGGACCATAGGCTGAACGCACACTTTGCGCAAATTGTTTGCACGCATTTATATTCCGATATACTGCCTCTTCTAAACCAGAGAACATCTGAAATTTAAAAACTAGAAATTTAGAAAACAATGATAATTTGTGTTCAGCGTGTTTGAGAAATAAAATGATATTTCATAATTATTTTGTATTACAAATCAAATATTTTAACGTAAATGCAAGTTAAGCGATGAAAAATAAAGATTTTATTGTATAATTAAGAAGTTAAAGGAAAATTAAAATTCATATGGGCACCGAATCCACATGACTACCGCTGTAAAACATTTTGGTTATACGAAATATAACTTACCCGTGCTCCATCTTTTAACATTTGGGGTACTCCCGGTGCTTTTGGTATATGTAAAGCCATTTTAAAATTTAAATACTGTTTTAAAATAAATTTATATTAAAAATCACGAGTAACTTTGTAAGTCTACCGCACACTTGAACAACCACAGATAATAAATGAAAAATGAATACAGGATTACTCATTGATCACTATGTGTAACTCAGCTCAGAGCCGGTTCAAATATTCAGTTCACAGTAGCTAGAGCCGTTGAGCTGCGGCTCAGTTGCTAGATAATCGGTTCACAGCTCAATATTACTTAATATGGCTCCGTGCATCACTTTAGCGCCACCTAACGTCAGCTATTTTGATGGACCCGAGCCGACGGACCTGTACTATAGTCTATAATCTATATTATTATACTCTTTGCGACTGACGGTATGACATTTCATCGCGACGTAAAGATATAATTGCATGAAATTAGCATTACCATATAATCGTGTAAGAACGAAAAAATATGACTATAATAACTTTTTTCGAAATGCTGCTTTATTACATACAAATATAATTTAGGTACATCATACATGTCATTTGTTTGAACAGAGTCATAAATTAGCTGTACATCTATAGTTATAAGTACCCATATAACATCAATTGAGCTGAACTGTGAGCCGGTTCACAGCTCCGGTTCAAGCATATGACTCATGAGCTGACCTGCAGCTCATAAAAATTCATTGAGTTACCCATGTCTACTCATTGACCATTGTAATTTCAAATGGAAATAGATTAAAAAATGGTCACAGAAGCATTATTTAATTTATATGAGGAAGATTTTTGCCATTTTATCCCACCTGGTGTCGCGATCATTATTGTCCTAAGTATATTGTAAAGCTCTATAGCCTATAAGGATTTTTTTATTTTATAAAAACTTAATTAAAATGACAAATTATGTAGTGCCAGGATGCAATGAAAATGGATATCATTTTAATTTCAAGAAAAAACTAAAAATATTGTGGGCTAAAACAATAAGACGACCAAAATTGATGAAATCATAATTTTTATTGTATTTTTAAGGCTATGTGGATATCAATTTGCAGAAAGTTATTTTAAAACTTTTAAATTGTCTTCAGGTGAATATTTCTTTTTATTTTTTGTACTTTTTTACATACTAATTACAGAGTTTCATGCAAACTTTCATTCCCCATTTTACCTCCTTATAGGATTGAATTTCAGAAAATGTTTAAACACTTACTTCATTGTATTGAAGAGCGTTATTACCAAGTTTCAAGTAATTCTGATCATAAATAATTCTTTGCCCATTTAAATTTTATTACCCCTATATGGGATGAGTTTTGAAAAAAAAACAACAAATAAATATAAAAAATCAAGTATAAAAGACATATCACAATAAATTACTTAACCTCAGACTGAATGTAAATACTCTAAAGCTATTTTGAGAACATATGTGGGGTCCTAAATGATTGTAAATAAATACGTCTTACTATAATACAGTTCTTGAGTAATTTCTAATTTCTTGAGCTCATTTGGTTTATCTTAACAATTCCAGCACATCACATTTAGTGACGAGGGTATGATGATAGAACTAGCAAGTAAATATGGGCACTCTACTATTGCTACTAGTAAATCCTTCGAGTATGGGCATATTTGATATGTTTTAAAAAATATTTTTTTTAAGATACTTTTAAAAATAAACAACACTGTACAAGGGGTGTACTGGAGTGTATATACTATAATATAATCTAAGCATTACTGGTGTGATTACTCACATGAAACACATTTTAATAAAGGAAATAAATAAGTAACAATATAATAAATTAATTATTATTACGAAATTTTAATGATTTCGGGAATTATAAAATTTTTATAATTCACGGAAGACTTCTACAGTGTCGGCTCTTTTGGGCTTGTAAAACCGAAAGGAAAAATGCGAAATAATTATTATAATAGAATAGGATACTGGAAAGAATTAAAACTCGAATATATTTCCATACATTTACTTAACTACAAATAGATTGTTTTGTCCAATTTAACAAGTCAAAAGACATTAGGAAATTTTGGACCATTTTTATAATTTAGTCAGTCTATAGACACTTTTAAAATTATTAAAGTTGAAGATCACATTTTATTCTGAGATACGAATGTTTAGGTAGCGCAGATCAAATTAGTGGCAGATAACGTACTTACGCTTGTATTAAAATTATAATGTAGTATTTTTTTTACTAATTGTAGCCTATAGGTCTAAATATAAGGTATTGGTAAACTTGGTACACCGGACATGATTGTTTATCGAAATTAATAATTATAGCACACCACACAACAATAGCAACTACACACAAAAATTTTCTCTATACACATCCGCCCGAGTACATTAATTAGATGTGTATCATAGATGAGTAATAAACGTGTATTCCCTTTATGCGCAATGCGTGCGAAGTTATTCATCTACTACGCTGCAGCTTTAAACTAATCCACGAGGTTGCACATTTTATGGTGACCCCTTTTTAATAATATATCTATACCTACCCAGCGTCCGTTCGTGTGTATCAAACAACGGATCTGTTCTTCGAACTAGATTCGATGATCAGCCGTACCAAGTTCAACAAAATTAGAATAATTCACGACAGATATAAACATCGATACTACTAAAATATTGATAGCATACATTTCCGTTCTCTATTTCATAATTATATCGTTTTCTCTAGCGCAAATAGTTGTTTTATAAAATAGCTTTTACAATAATTTCGCTACAAAGTTAAATAGCCTTTTAAAAATAATATAGTAAAGATGTCGCTTCACACATAACACATGAAATGGTTTACAAGTAACAGTGCTCAATAAATGCTAAACATAGCTTATATAGTACGTGAAACGTAAGTTGATCCATACTTATTGCGGCACTTTTGAGAATACATCGATGATATGCGAAGACGCATGTTAATGTGGCGTCTTAAATTAACCTTTGATGCAGATTTTTTTTCTAAAAATTATATATATCGATAAGATATCAATTATTATCAATGTCGTTTATATATTTATTTTAACTGAGTTTATCCGTGCGGGATTGTATGGAATGCGTAAATAAGAAACTATCGCCATCTTGGATCAACTTACGTAGGACGTTCTTTACAATAAAAATCTACATCATCATTACATTATTTATAAGCTACCATATTATTATCATATTTAGAATTATTCTATAACTAACATCACAGGGTAGTCCAAAAAAGAATTGTAATTTAATAATACTGCATGCCCATACTAACATAAATTTAAAGTAGGTGCCCATTTTGATTACAAGCCTCCTAAATTTAGAAATAAAAACTAAATGTTTTGTCTATACTTTAGTTTAAAAATTAGGAAATGTATTTAATGAGATTGACTCTACGTAAAAATCATTAATACCTATTATATCATAATATAAACTTTTCGTCTGTAATTTCAAAACCCTATACGATGCACATATATTATTCTGTAGATAAATCATATTATATAAATTGATATATTTATTACTATGAACTAGATGTTCCGTAAACTTAGAGGTGACAACCGTTACATGTAGAATGTAGAACACAATGCGACAAAATATAATACATAATAGGTACATCCTGAGACTAAAAGGTTAAGAGGGAAATATCCCGAATAACAAAGCAATTGACAATCTGGGATACGTTATATTTTGACTGCACTGCGCTTTTTAGTAAGTGCGGATTTAAATAGACGAGTTGGGTCTTAAGCTCCATACGCTTTATCTTGCTTACTCTTCTAGTCTCAGCAAAAAGCATAAAACTTAGGGCAATTTATAAGTCCATAAGATCTAGTATATAAAAATATATTGATATTTATAATAACATTCACTTTTTTATATGGTTAAAATAGGTTTCTTGATAGTAAGTTGTATAAATTTCTTGTTGAAATTCTAAAAATCATTTTTTTCTATAATTAAAATTTTATGAAAATATACATTCCAGTTACAAAAATAATATAAAAACATAAACAGTCTGTAAAGAAATAAATGTTTAGAATAAACGTCTACGTAGAAAAAATGGTCTTAAAGAAAACAATGAGATCAATAATAAAATTATTTCGACACATGGAACACTTTTTGAATTTTAAATAATTTTGTGAAAAATAATATATTTAAAAATGAAAATAGAAAATATATTTATAAAATATAAAGAATCACTATATTTTTAAATAAAACAATAATAATTGTAATAATTTGGTTTAAAACCATGAAAGATAAGACTACCTTAATATTATTAAGACTTGCATGCATATTAAGTACTGAAACTTAGCATGTACATTAATTTTAGCAATTACTTTTCAATTTAAATGCACGAAACGGAATTAATTATTTTTAAAACACCTAGTTAGGATTTTGTCTAAGTTTTACATAAGAACTAATGACCACTAAATACACTATAAACTAGCAATTTTTACTACAAGCAAATGAAAACTCGTTTTGTATATAGAGATCACACCAAACGTAAAATGTGAGCGAAATTTGCCTTTTTAATGGTTACATTTAAAGCATAATTAGCATTAGTATTATATACTAGATTAAAAAAAAACTATATTAGGTTATAGTATTATATAGCATGAACTCTCTCAACGAATACGATTAGCCTTTCATTCATATTCTAAATAGAGATTCCGCAGTGGAAAAGGAACGATACATTTCCAAAGTATTCACCATATACGGAACTGGTTTATATAAAGATGAATGTGATACAAATGACAACTCGAATAAGTAGTCAATTCTAAATACTAATTTAACTAAGTGTATATCCTTTTAGTTCAGATTACTTGTGTATATGTTTACTTTTATACCTACTGTCCATATGCGAGCGATTTCAGACGGGGTGTTAAGGTAATTTCAATTATGAAGAGAACAGATGTAAACATTGGCTTTTAACTCATTAAACAATTAAAACGACACACTGTAAATGCAATAATCATAAACTTGGACGCGTGTACTATTTGATAACATGTAATGAAACAATACCAAAGCTGTCCAATTTTTACAAAGAAAAAGAACTGACGGTGCATACAGAATTATTTGAAAAATATTAAAACCTCTGGAGATTATAATATAAGTTTTATAAAAAAGCTTTTTCACAAAAAAAGCTTCTTCAGCTTTCAAGATTTTTAGAGAAAGTTTACCAAATAAAGTTTTCATATAAAGCATTTGTCTTAAACATCAAGAAATCCATCCATAAATGAGCTATTTATGCACATCAAGTTGATCCCTTTCCGTCCGCGGTCTCGCTACTAACCTCTATCATTTACACTACTACATAACTAGCTAAAATTCTTCGCGATTTCGTAGACTTATTGTCATTTAAAGTGGTATAATTTTATTCTTACACAAGAATAAAATGTAATGAAATCAATATAGTTTTGACGTTTTTAATATTTTTCAATTAACCTTGTATATTAGAAACAAAATACTTAGTCGTGTCAGTCGGTTAGTAGATAAAACAAAAAAACATATGTAGTTTTTTTCATATTCTTATGATGCTGATGCAATTTGAAGAAAATTAATAATATTTTGCCTTACCTTTATTGAAAAAAGCATGCACAAGTGCTTGATATGAAACTTTCGCTGTATTTAGTATTCATATTATATTTTCACGACTCTGAAGCCAGGGTTGTTAAATTCGTAATAGTAAAGTACTTTCTTTTAAGTAGGTAAAACTATCTCTCCGGATTTTTTCCCGGATTCATTTTGACTTTCGTTTCCCGACTATTCTTTACTGTGATCATAATCGCTGTAAAACATTAGAAAGGTCGGACCCGAAAAATCCAAATAAATCAGAAAAGATAATTTAATTTAAAAAGTACAGATCCGTAAACAGTAACCCGTAAACTGGTGTTTTGTTAGTAATTTTGACTATTCAATAAGCTGTAAGAGCGGTGGATCTATAAGACGAGTACTGTTAGTAGAGGAGCCCAAGAGGGGATTTTGGGATTTTCTCAAGGGCGGCAGGTTAACACAAGGGGGGATACCTTGCACTCTGTTAAGTACCACCACCATATATGGCGTCTAGGGCAGTCGATCGAAATATTTAAAAAATATTTTGATATGATAGAAATACTTAAAACCGTCAAATTAATTCAATAATCTGTCGATTTCCATAAACCGAAGAAACAAAAATCGTATATAAACTTTATGTATAAACATAAAGTTAAGTTTCAAGTAGGAGGTACTAAACAGAGTGCAAGGTCCCCCTTATGTTAATCTGCCGCGCTTGAGTCAGCTCGAGCCTCATCAGCGCTTCCCAGCGTTGTCTGTCGTCAAGCGCATAGCAATAAAAAAAAAGAGTAAATTATCATGAGTTAATCAAAATCACTTCTCGGGTTCCCCTACAGTGCAGAGCGCCGGCGTCGGTGTCTAAGCCCGCACGTAGACGACGAGCTGCTGGTGGCAGTATCAGAAGAGCGTGCGCGGCGGCGGCACGGCCACGACGGCGGCGCCGGCGCGGCCCGTGCTCAGCGGCGCCAGCTTGTGCCAGCCGTCCGCCTCCGCGTCGTACACCTCCACCACGCACAGGTACTGCACGCCGTCGTACCCGCCTGCGGCACACACCCCACACCCCGTGTGTTTTTGTCATTCACACCAAAAATATTTGTTTCCTTAATGCTACCGAGTTACCTTTGCTTCGCTCGAGTGCGTCTTTGGGTGCTTAATGGCCGGTTTAGACTAAGACACTATACGCGGTACACTCAATGTATACACCGAGTATCTCTATGTGAACGCAAGTGTCTTACACTGGGACACTCGGTGTATACGCTGAGTGTACCGTATATAGTGTCTTAGACTAAACCGACCTTAACAGTAGGTAAAGCAATCGAGCAGCAATTTTATTTCGATGTCAATAAGAATTATTGATTGATAATTATACACTTTTTATCGAAATAAAAAATAGGCTATAGCACTCGGCGGTAATGTAGCTTCCTATTAATGAAACAATTTTCAGAATCGAACCAATAGTTACTGAGATTACCCCCTACGTTCAAACCTACAGTTTAATACTTCTTTATAATATTAGTGAAGATAATACTAGTAAAGAGTGTACCAGTGTACTAAACCATACAGTCAGTCGTCTTAAAGGCGTCCAGACGGGGCGGAAAGAGATGCAGATGAGGGGCATCAATCTGTCACACACTTATATTTTTTTATGTTCGGCAGTCGGATTACGGCTTTAAGGTAAACGGGTATTACTGTAACTTTTCACGAGATATAACCATAGCCCTTTTACTTCAAACGGTTTGCCATGAAAATTGAATATTTTTGACAGCCCTTGTTTTTGACAGCATTTGCGTCATTGCACGCCCACCTTCTATATGCATATATTATGTATAATGTATGTACATAATATATGTATATAGAAAACTCCCCCCTCCGTATTGGAGGCCCGTGCCCAGCAGTGGGACGTTAAGAAGGGCTGAATACAATACATACCAACGGCCACAATCCTATCGCCCAGCAGACAAGAGCCGATGGCGTCGCGGCCGTAGGAGAGGCGCGCGAGCATCACCCACGAGTCGGCGGCGGGGTCGTAGCGCTCCACGCACGCCAGGCGCCCGCCCACCGTGTTGGCCGGCGCCTCGTGCCCGCCCAGCGCGTACAGGTACCCGCTCGCTGCGCACACCTGGCGTGTCATGCATAACCCATATACTGGCTGACTTTGTCTTGATAAAGACTCTTTTTAAAGAGCATTAAAACGTAAATATAAAATCGATACTAATATTATAAATGTGAGTGTTTGTTTGTCTTTCTTTCACGTCCAAACGGAGTGACGGATTGGTGTGATTTTTTTTGTGGAAATAGTTGGAGGGCTGGAGAGTGACATCGGCTACTTTTTATCGCGGGAGATCATCTAATTTCCATGGGAAAACACGTTATAATACAATCCAAAAATATTTATGATCACAATTACTTGAAAGTTTGTATTAATGCGTTATGAAAAATTAAATAAATACGTGTTTTAGCATTTTTCGAAATTCATTCTATAAGAGGGTGAAATAGGGGATGAAAGTTTGTATGAAACTACCCTTTTAAAGATTTTTCGTATTTTTAGCTCGAGAGAAGCCGCTGGTTCTGCTAGTGTAAATATAATAATAAGTTAATTATAAGTTAATCTTGGTACACTTTTGGATAATGATAGTTTTCGTATCGCTTTAGGTCTCCGGCTGGGTACACCGCTGCGCACTGAGCACAGATGCCTCTGTGGAAAAGAGGTTGACTGTTATGGACTCCATGGACTCTCTTGCAAAAGAAGTTCAGGCAGACTTTTCCGTCATGGTTCCCTAAACGATACCATCAAAAGGGCTCTTGCCACCATTGACATTCCTGCTCTTATTGAGCCATCTGGAATAAGTCGAGATGATGGTAAGAGACCTGATGGCCTGTCGCTGGTTCCTTGGGAAAGGGAACGGGCCCTATTGTGGGACGCTACATGCGTTGACACATTGGCCCCGTCCCATGTCAGGGAGACCGCGTCTAAATTGGGAGCTGCGGCAGAGAAGGCTGAACTACTTAAGTTGCGTAAATACACCTCCCTTAGTCAAAATTATGTTTTTATTCTATTTGCTGTAGAAACTTTTGGCCCATGGAGTCAAAGTGCTAAGCTCTTCTTAAAAGACATAACACCCCGTCTTATCACCTCTACTGGTGACAGGAGGGCTGGCGCATTTTTCGCCCAAAAAATCGGCATTGCCATTCAACGGGGGAATGCGGCTAGCATTCTTGCCACTATTCCACGCGGACATGAGTTGTACAGTAATAACTAAGTGTACATATGTTTTGTATATATAATTAAGTATATTTGTAATTTTCTTTTTTGTAAATAAAGTTTACATAATATAAAAAAAAGTTAATCTTTAATAAATTGAAGATCGTTTCTTTCGGACCTCTCCCTGCAGCTAAGTGCTAACGTTATAAATGTGTGTGTGTGTGTGTGTAACATATCAATGTGTTTGTGCGCATGTCGCTGTGTATACTAACGCTGACGCCGCCGCGCCGGCGCGTCATGGGCGCGCAGTTGGCCCAGTGGTTGGTGGCGGGGTCGTAGCACTCGACGGAGCGCAGACACGCGCCACCGTCGCGGCCGCCCACGGCGTACAGGCGCCCGCGCAGCGCCGCCACGCCGCACGTGCTGCGCGCGCCCGCCATCGGAGACACCATCGTCCACGTGCGCGAGCACGCGTCCCATCTATACGTCGTACAATTACATACGTAAATGATCATATTAAAATAACCAATAAACCTCAGAATACATACGTACGTAAATGAGCAGAATACCCGAAAATAGTTTGAAATTTATTTGTGTTTCATATAGAATAAAAGAAAGTACTAACGTTATAAAAATAAGTCATTGTAACCAGTTCTCAATTAAACAGTTTTAAATGATTAAATCTAACATAGAAAAAAAAACTTAAAATATCAAATTAATCAGCTGAACTAAAATACCTTATTTGACCCCCTCAATGCAAATACCTGTCAAAACTACCCGCCATCAAAATCGCCTAAAATTACCCGCTTTTCGGGTAATTTACCCGCCAATTGGCAGCGCTGAAAATGTTGTATATTGTGTGTAACAACAAAAGGTTGGAGATCCTAATTAAAATAAAATAAAAAAAATAAAATAACCTACATATTATGTATATGACGTCCTGACCGATTGCACTTAAATATTTGTGATAAAATAATTTTATTAGAAGGAGTTCAAACTATATAAACAGTTTACTCTCATAGTCCAATAGAACGATAATAAAATTAATTTATATTACAACGTTGTATATTCGACAATTTGAATTGCACCTTAGCGACTACAAAAACATTAAAGCACCTACTCACCTTTCAACAGAGTTAAGATATATCCAGCCGTCGTGTCCCCCGACCGCGTATATGGGGGAGTTGGGTCCGTCGCCCAGCACGGCCACGCCCAGTCCGTGCCGGTGCGTGTTCATCGGCGCCAGGGTGCTCCAGCTAAGCGACGTCAGGTCGAAACACTCCACCTGCATATTTATTGAAATAAAATGAAATAATTTTTTTCTGTGACCTGCTTTTGCATATCACTTAAGTAGTTATTTTAATTTTACCACCCTATTCTTTTATAAATTATTAGTTAAGAAATGACCAGTGCGTCTCAAATAGGCTCCAAGTCCTAAGTCATCTTTAAAAATACGCGACATGGTTCTAGGTGCTATCTTCATCTCCCGAGATAAAATCTTTTGCTTTCGGAAATTATTTCTTCGAATTCTTCCCTTTACTGCTTTGATTGATTTTCGTACGAACACTATGTGGGCGGCTAGATCTTTTTCTGTCACAAACAGATAAGGTTCCATTGTACCTATCTATAGCCCGGTACACAAACATTTGACTAATACCTACCAAGCGTATGGAGAGTTTTAAAAATTGTATTTGGCTCCATACCTACTGCTCTTTTAAAAACCGTATATTTGACACAGATTGAGGTGTTTACGCGTCATATTTAGAGAGTCACTCGCTAAACATAAGGGTAGAGAGTTTTGAGTAAATGACAGCCTTGTGCAAACATGGTAATAATTGCCACTTTTGTGAAATCTTTGTCACGTATTTGCAACTTTCTAATTGGGCTGGGCGCTGGTACTTATTTTTTTACATTCATGTAAATATAAATAACAACATTTTAAAGATTTAGATTTGTGGAGGTGTTTTAATTTTTTTTAAACTGGATAAATGTTGCACGTTACTGTCTCCTGTATTTATTTTTTAATTTTCCGCTTTGGCTAGTAGTGACTTAATTTTTTACTTATTTTCAATTACAAATTAAAAACGGTTTAGCTGGATCAGTATGAAGAGCTTAATGATGAATGATGATGATATGAAGAAGAATTGTACTCGAAATGAAAATGTATGTATAAATATATTCAGAGGCAGTGGTAGCCCAGTGGTAACGCGCTCGCTTGGGAAACCGAATGACGCTAATTTATAAAAATAACATTAAAGATTCTTGTTTCTTTGGATCATTCTACGTTATAGGGCATGTTGCAAGGTAAAGTGAATTAATTCTTTTTAGGATTAATATAAATAGAAATGTTTGACATACGGTATTAAGTGTTTTAAGGCCATCTCTTCCTCCAACAACAATCAATTTGTTTTGCATTACGGCCACTCCAAATTGTAGCCGTCTTGCACCCATTCTCATAAATGGCGTCCATGTGTTTGTTCGTGGGTCATACATTTCCATATTGCTAGCACCCTGAAGGATGGTAAAAAAAATTTAATGCCTTTTACAATGATTTAAAAGATTTAGGTTTTAATCAATAAGAAAATATGATCAAATATTCATTATATATACAATTTGATATATAGACTGTCCCTTCACATGAGGTTTCTGCCTTAATGGTATACTGAAAGCAGTGAATCATTAATACAAACACCACGCTTCTCAGAAAAAGAACTTTTATAAAATAATGAAATGTCTTAAGTTATAATAACATTCACACAAGTTATACATTTTTTCTTTACATCAAATAGAAAGTGTGATTTAATCAATGACTAATGGTATTAAATTATTATTAAAGTAAGATAAACCTCTTAGATACTACCTTATAACCATCCATGCCACCAATAGCTAAAAGTCTTCCGATAGTTGAAGTTCGAGGTCTAGTCCTATGCGAGAATAATAGAGAGCGTCTTTCAGGCAACAAGTGCCATTTAACTGCTTCCATTATAAGAGGTTGACATTCAGGTACATCACCACAAGCCTGCTCTACTTTGTCAATTAAATACTGTAATAAAAAATACTCTATAGTCTCTATTATATCTGTATGTTTATTATATACTAGCGATTCACCCTCGCTTTGCTCGGGTTCGTCCTTACTTACGTTTTAACGTTTTGTATATATTTCTAAAAGATGAAATATTTTCCCACAGTAAAAAGTATCCTATATGTTGACTCCGATAACCAGCTATCACCATACCAAATTTCATCAAAATCTGTCCAGTAGTTTCCTCGTGATGCAGTAACAGACAGACAGACAAAAATTCTAAAAACTATAGATTCGGCCTCTGTATCGATAATAATGACTATTATTAAGATTTTTCAAAAAATATTTAATGTACAGATTCGGCTTAGTTAGAATTTTATTATATGTATAGACTTTATCTCCATACTAAATTTCATCTAGATCGGTTCAGAATATTAGGCGTGAAAAGGTAACAGACGGACAGAGTTATTTTTCATTCATAGTATTAGTATAAGTATGGATTAATTTAAAATACAAGGAAATTTTTACAATGTAAAATATTTACATTACAAACCAAATTGAATATGCGGAATGTAGAGCTATAATTGTATGGATGTAAGTATGTGTAATGTATATATTATTGAATGTGCAAATGCAAACAGGTGTAACAAATGATTAAAACATTACATGTGTAATTATAATGTAATAAGGTGCCACATAGACCTTAAGCCATATAAGTTGTGTTGTATGGCATTCAATTTTAAGTCAATAGAAACATGTTACAAGTATTAAGGAAATGATTACCATTACATTTCTAAGAATTATATATTATAGTAATAGTATTGAAGATTTATTTTGAACAAAAGTTCATTTGTTGTATGTCATATTAGATATTAAGTTAAGAATGTTTTTTTTATGGCTATTAAGTAGGATTATAAGAAACAGAAAGAGAGTAGAGTAGTAAGCAACTGTATATAAATCTAAGGTACAAAAAGAAAAATATAAATATTGTTATTTTTTTCGATAAAGGCAATTTACAAACCTCTGATGATAGCAAAGGGAGCTTGATTAGTTTCAGTAAAGGTGGCAAATACTGTTGTCTGTTGGGATTATCATGTTGGACCCAGGCCATAAGACTTTCAAAAACATTTTCTTCAGTAACTACATTAAGATCATCTGATTTCAGTAAACTAGACAGTTGATCAGATTGCAGGGATAAAAATTCTTGATGTTTAACAACCTAAAAATAAGAGATATTTCAATGTTTCAAATGTAATTTAGTTTTTTTGCAATTTAAATTGGGCCACATGATATAAAATATCAAGGATCTATTGATTAATATTAACCTGCATAAAATGTTGATATGTGTATTCCAAAGCACTTTTATGTAACCCCATACAGGACTGTTGTTCAGCAAACAAAGCAAATCCTAAACAGTTGCATGGATCCAGCTGCTTTTCAAGAAAATCACAACAAGCTTTTGTAACCGAATGTAACTGTAGCAAACTAGCTGTTGACAGAAGAATCTCTACTGTTTCTTGACTTAACTCTGCAAATAAAATAAAAAAAAGTGATATTACAGAGTTACAAAGACTTTCAATAAACAAAGAAACTTATTTATATCATGTTAAAATACCTATAATGCCTGTGTAGCAATAATGAACAAGTGATCTAAGTGCTTGTGAGTCAACTCGTTCTAGAGTTATTTCTGATGACTGAGCTTCTCTTAGGGAGCCTGTGAACATGGCTGCAAAGTACTCACTGCAAGATGCCAAAACAACTTTGTGCGCTGGAATCCTGTTATAATACTTGAATTAGTAATTTAAAGCATATTTGGAATAATTGTTATCATGACTTAAAATAAATAATTTAAAATAAATGTAAATATGAAGTGAAAATTACAGACAAATCTACAATTAATAGTAAGAATTAGTGCAAAAGCAATGCAAGATTATGTTAAATTTGTAACTAAAAATATAATCTTATACAGAATTTGTGCATAATAAACAAACGAGAAAATAAACTATTAACGTTATTATATAGTGCGAAATATGTTAAGGTAAAGAACTTGCCTACATCCACCTGCAATCAGTGATACGTCGCATAGTTTTTGTGATTGATAATATCCAAATATATTTTTCATTGTGATTTCAGAATGTCCTTTATTACAATGAAACTCATCTGGATTTGATGCACTAGAAAGGCTCAACTGGCTTAGTTCGCGAGGCAAACCTTCGTCTACGGAATGAGTAGAAACATTGTCCTTAGACGCTTCTGTTTTTTGAGACTCACAAGCCGACATTTTAATGCTTTGTAATATGCTTTTATTTAAAATTCTTTTGTTCACTTTAAAAAAAACTGAACTTCTTCAAATTGTTACTTCAGAATGGAATGAAAACAAAGACATGTCACTTGTCAGTTGCAGCTGTCAAAATCAAGATATTTTTTTCTCTTCACAGAGTATAAATAATAAAGGTATAGACAGACTCGGTTTTCCAATTAGAAGACTAAAGCGCGTTATGCGGCATAATGCTAACTTTGAGTGCTTTTTAACTACAGCAACGCTACGCACAATCGAGTATTTTGAAACATACTGCTTTGACGTGATGCGAGCAAAGATATCAACTCGGCAGCAGAAAATATATGAAGTGTTTTTTCTTCAAGGGGGCATTGATCAAAATTTTATTTACATTATCGTTAGTAATATTTGTTTATATTTTATTTATATTATTAATTATTATATATTTATTTAATAATACTTAATATAATTTATAATACGTATTCTATATATTTATTGGTTATATTTTTTCTTTCAACACTGAACCTAGTGGCCCCTGTTGGTGCACTTGAAAACTAATTCACGTTCCAATTAAGCATTTTAACACATTTCAGCATTGTGCGTCAAAGTGCGGCATTATGCTTTGTAATTGGAAAACATGGATGCAGTAGGTAGTGTTCACTAAAAATTACTTTTAAGCCGTAATATAGATATTTCAATTTTAAAATATGCTATTATATACTTCAGTTGATGTACCAATGGAAAGTGTTTTTAATTTTATGTTATACCGGTAAACTTGTTTTACTGCTCTACTTGTGTCCTTTAAATACATTTTGTTAATCAAATCAATCAAAAACATGATCAGATTAGCCTAAACATGATTAAAATATTATAAAAGAAACCAGAACGTGTAGAACTGAATAGAATGTTGGCAATATCGAATTATTATTGTAAACGTTTATTTCGCACATTACAATGTGTTAAGACATGGAATCGGTCAACGATGAGAGACGTGTGCTAAATGACCTATGCACGTCGGTGTTCATAGAAGGGTTCCTCTATCTTTTTTCTCTCGGTACTAAGCACACTTAATTTATTTTTAGTATTTAGCCCTTTTTAACGTCCCACTGCTGGGCACAGGCCTCCCTTCCATACGAGGGGGATCAGGCCACAGTCCACCACGCTGGTCAAGTGCGGGTTGGCGGACTTCACATGTCTTTCGGAAACTTGCTAATTTCTCTCAGACATACAGGTTTCCTCACGATGTTTTCCTTCACCGTAAGACAAGTGGTAATCATGTTAGAAATGATTCGCGCATGAAAATATCAGAGGAGCCCGCTTCACTCGGTTTCCCAAGCTAGCGCGTTACCACTGTGCTACCACTGCCTGCGTTAATTTATTATTATTTAAGTATTGATTGAATTTGTACAACAATCTAGATTTTTTAAGTTTTTATTTAAATATTGATTAACAATTAAAAAAAAGTATATTCTCTTCTCCTGACATCCTTATTGTTAAAGGTGATTCTGTAGGTGATTATTTCTGTAGGTAATTATAATGTTAAACAATATATTAAAATTGTAATAATAAATTGAATATATTTTTTTTAAATTTTATATTAATACTTTACTTTTCAAGTATGCTTTTTGAAAATAGTATTTCCTACCCGCTTTCTTGACCTACTTACCAATTTTTAAGTCTAATAATAAGCAAATAAAACAAATAGTGATTGGATCTATAAATGTAAATAGATTAAATCTAACATCCGGAGTCATAGTAGGTACTCCCGAATTCCGAAACTAAATAGATTATGTAATATTTTTTTATAAGTTTCATTTAAAAATTATCATTTTATAAGAAAAATAAAAAGCTCGTCTCTTATTCCATGGGACTCTATCTTTTACTGTATGTGTATAATATAATATATATAATAGTTTCCGTAAGTTACTATAAGAGAACTGTAATAAAGTTCGCCATAAGTCCGTAGGAGATCAATGATAATAATTAAGAAACTTTTTTGAAAGTTTTAAAAGAAAATTATCTAGAAAAGTATAAAGAAACTCTCAACTACCTACTCTAGCACCTTATACTCTTCTTCTGGGGTAGTGTAAGTAAAATAAAAAGACGATTCATCTGGCTGAGGCATTTATTAACATTTATTTTTATTTTTCGATTTTTTTATCTTAATACAACATATATAGTAATTAACAATACATAATAAATAGTCCAAAAGTATATTACGCCTACAAAATAGCGTAGTCGTTATAAGATTAACGCCACGTGAGTTGCTTGCACATATTCTGCGAATGTAAAGGCAACTCATCAATGACACAGTTGAAAGTTAGGAATGTTCTCAGTGAGAATAGTTATGGTGTTCACGCTTACGGAATGGTCTTGTTTGAACATAAACGGACAGAGTATTTTTCACGGAGGCTAGGCAACAACAATTTAAGCAAGTAGCCCTAGTGAAAAATATTAGAAAATGGTGGGATAGATATTGTTTCACATTCTCAATTCTTAAATTTTCTCAAAATTTCAGCAAAGTTTTCTTTAATTTGTGCAGTTATAAAGAATACATTTTATTGTTTGTCGTTTGGCAAACATAACAGTATGAGAAAATATATGTAAATCTCTATCTAGTGGTAATCAAACGTATATAATAAGTATCTACAAAAATAGTTGCATTTTTAAATAATATGATTGAAAACAGCTGATGAAATTATACAATCGTTTCTGTTGAAAATAGCATAACAAGTCAGCGTACATATTTCTGAAAATCTTTATTGCGAATTCTGTTTCAAAAATAAAAGGATAACAACTACAAGGGTGTCTAAAAATATCATTCTTCAACAATAAATTCCATTGACGATTTTCAAGGTATTTAAGTTCTCTTAATTATTGAGCGTAGACATTATAGGTCGACAAGAAACCTTTGTAAAGATGTCACGAGAAAAAGATATAAGAATATTTATACATGTAATTCGAGCCGAGACTAATGAGCATATTTTTGATATTTAAAAATTACATGCATTTATATATTTTCATCAGCAAAGCATAAAATACATTATTTATTGGCTGTGCGCTATGCAATGGAATTGTACTTATAGTTTGTGCTTGCATCATAATGCAACAATATGTAGACCAATATAATGTACAGTGATGGTAAGGCGTGGACTTAGCGATGATTAATGCGGTATTAGAGAACAGAACAAGCTAATCATACATAGAGACATTACTCAAACTAAACATAATAATATAAATATAGTATCGATTATAATTATTATTGTTAATATCTAATGCAGATAGAATTGACCAAAATTACTAATCGTTATAAAACCATATTAAGTTACCGAAAGAAAATAGAATACATGTTGACAAAATTAATTTTAATTTATAGAAATTACATGGATAGCTAAGATAGGCGTCCGCAAGACTAAATAGTAAACACGATTAGCCCGTATTTTATACAGACCTGCATCATTGTAACATATTACACGTATATAAATTAATAATCACAATGATAGGATTTAGTCTATTCTCGAGATCATGACTTGCACCTTAACCTATAATATTAAAAATATCACAATAAATTGCTGTGCACATACGAAACAGGCAAATTTTGAGTGCAATTACATTAATATATTTATTTATTAGCGTTACTTTTACTTCTAATAAATCATATATATTTAGGAAACAAGAATCGAATGGTTAGTTCGGTTAGTGTTTGTGGTACCATTACGAACGATAAGTCGCGGAATAATGTTAGACACTTTAATAATAATATAGGTCCTCACTATTCATTTAAGTTAGAAAGGAAAATTTCTGTTTTGATTGGCTAACAAGTAATTCGTGTGAATTGGTATACTTAATTGACATAAGACAAAAGTGAATGCACCTTAGAGAATCCATTGGCGAAGACAATCTTTGAAATGTCCTTTAAAAATATTTATATGATACACTCATATTACTTCCATAAACATATTAATACATTGAATTCATTATATTTACAAATGAAGTACGTGAAATTATTATAATTAGAGAAATTCATTAAAATTTAATCATTATAAAAATAAAACTAGATAAAATAAAATGAACCTAAATTCTATATGATAAATCTTAAGTGATATTTAAACCAAAGCATACGTGGCCCGTTTCTTTGTATAAAAACATTTTTTATTACTATTGCTTTCTAATTCCTTTATGTTTATAAAATTGAATTTGTAAATACCGCAGAGACTGATGGCTCAAGAACAAGATATGTTCTATCAGACTGCAACGGTATTTATTAGATTTAAAATACATCTTACTAATTAATATTTTTTTGATGATTCGGTGTTGTAATTAAAAAAACAAAACTACGATGCTTTGATGTGCCTCCTTTATCACTTACAGATTATCATTATTACATTAACATTCGCATCCTTTATGTTTAAAATATAATAGCGTAATCGAAATATCGTAATCTCTTATCCTATATTTGATTAATTGAATGCTTACAATCTAAATAGAATATATTCTTTTTGAAATAAGACATTATTCTAAACTACTCACTCACAAAAATAGGGTGCTTATACGTTGTACAATCTAAAACGAATTTATTGTGCAATCGATTATATATTATTTTTTTATAATTGAGTGAATTTATGGTGTTAATTTTTCTAATACTACTTATAGTATGTCCAACAATTTCTTATTCATAAATTCATAATATGCATATTTTATATGTTGCCTACTCGCTTACGAATTTAAAACTATCAATATATGTATATAACATTTAATATTTTGACATAAATTGAGTTAATTTTGATTTATCTTAAATAATTTTAAGAGCGGATGCAAACATTAATGCTAGTTAAAATTATTGTTTCTAAAATTCGAACGATATTTAAACTATACGATACAATATTTAAAAAAACAATCAAGAAACATAAGTTTTTAAATAAAGACGAATTTTACCAACTGTTTATTTTCAACTTAAATTTTGTGTAATATCAGATTCGCCATTGAATTCTCATCTATTATGCAAAAGACTAATTTAACATTCGTAAAATGATGTAAATGATAATGGTTAAAAAATAAAAACATGTTACATATAATAAAAAATATGGAATATAACTTTAATATATAAAAAGTTGATCGAAGTAAGAAAAGTAAATTTAGGACTAGGTAGACATCGTATCTCTCAGACTTCTTCGGCAAACTATTATAATAACGAGCACTTTCGGTTAGAGCTATAATATGCTATTTATATGAGAACCTAAGTATTATTCGAAAGTATCCCATAAAATACTTAACAGTACCAAATTATGTCTTGAATTTATAAGTTTATTTTACTATATTAATAGCTGCCTGAGTGAAGACGCTTCGTTTTGAAGTCACATAATATTTTTAGCTGCCTTCGTAGAAATAATACGTTTAAAAATATTTATTATTATGAAAAATTTAGCATAAGTCTTGCTTGCGGCGGCTGTTTTCAAGGTAAGTTTTGGAAACAGACGCCGGTCTCCAAATATAGGCCGAATAATAGAATAAACTCAAATATTCCATTAGAATTATTTATATATACACATATTAAACCGATCTCTTATATACTTTACAACCCTCATAATAGAGAATTCAATAACTTAATATAGAATAAATAGATCAAGTGAATAAATATTTTAACAAATAGATACAATAACATTTATGTTTCGTTAAATGAAGAACTATTTATTCTAGAATATTTATTTATGTATATTATGTACGTTCTACCGACTAACAATGTCGACTACCAGTCTCACATTTTAGTTATAAGTGCTAGAAGGTACGAAATGAGAAATAAATCAGCTGCGGGAGATTATTAGGACGAAACCAGGTCGCATTACTAGTTCGCTCTCAACGACTAGTCTCTCGTACATACTCTGCACGCATGCATTTGACGATACATATCATTTTTAGTCAAAGTTCGCTCGCAAAATTCTTACACTACACTTTAAGTGGCTGTTTTGTCAGATTTCACCACTGCTTGATATGTTTCATTACGTTCATCGCATTACCTAGTGAACATGACTGGTTGCGTCCAAATATTTCTAGAGGGAGTTCGCAGCTATCACTGAACGCGGGTGCACATGCCGATCAATTAAATGTCAGTCTATCCGTGTAGCGCTGTCGGAATGTGGTAAGGTCAGCACTGAGGTGTTAGAGTCCGGGAGGGATGCTTCGCTTAGCGGCCGCGCGCCCACCGCAAGAGCGCATCGGCCAGGACGTCCAAGTGGGCTTTCGTCTGTAACAAATTATACCCATGAAGTCTGCGATTAACCCTAATATTTTAGAAATCCGACTAGAATCAGAAACCAATTGTTTCGTAAAATTTGTGCAGTACAGTACTAAGATGTTTTGGTAAAGGTACAATATTCCTTTTAATTTTAAACCTAGCGACTTACTACTAATTTAAAAACTAGTGCGTTCCTAGGTACAGTAGATATTGACTACATAATATATATGTACATATAAAATAGTAACACAGACAAATCCATACATGAAATATTTAAAAAAAATAACGAATGCTACGTATTCTGTACAGAATATTGACCCCAAAACAATGGCTATTAAATTTTTCCTCTTTTTGTCTGTATGTCTGTTTGTTTGAATATCTCTGTAAGGTTCATTTAAAAAATACTGAATGGATTTTAATTAAATTTCGTGTAGTGATATTATTCGGGTCAACATTTAGGTGACTTTTAGGATTTTACTACAGGAAAATCTCTTTTGCCCACGGAAAATATAATAACTGGTCAGGTCTAGTTGTCCTTCATACAAAAAGTTCAGTGATTTATTATACAAAACTAAATAAGTTAGACACTAGAAAATTGTAGGCTTAAAAATTGAATAGACCGCGATAACAGGATCACAATAAGTACTTTTATCTATTTAAAACGCACTCGAGTGAAGCCAGGGTAAGACGCTAGTTTAGGATGGTTTTTTTTAAATCTTAATACAATAAATATTTAACCAGATTACATTTTAAGTTGTTTTTACAAGTTAATATCTAAGATAAGATGTTATCGATGCTTAAATATACGTGTATGCTGTATCAGCGGATATATTATGTGTATAAATATGAATACCGTTTTATAAAACATGCACGCCTGTCGGTCTTCATCTTCGCCGTTGGGGCAGTCGATGAACCCGTCGCAGAGGACGTGATCGTCAATACAGCGGTAGCGGCCCTGCCGGTCGGGTGTTGGACACGCAAACCGCTCCATGCCGTCAGCAGCGGGCGGACATTCTGAAATTATTATTGAAATTAGCATGTTTTTTATTAACTTATTACTGATTGTAAATCTTTTAAGTACAGTATTCATTTGTATTATATTCAGAGTGTCACTTCTTCTTCTCGTATCATTTATCTCTATTTATTTGTTACTGTTTAATATAGGTGTACATTGTATAGTAATCTATCTATAAACAGTTTCACGTTTTCGCCTGAGGGAACCGATGGGAATATCCGTGACCGAGAATGGACACAAGTATACACTCAAGCCCTTTGCTATCTACGTAGTAGTAGACAATGATGTTATCTACGTAGTAAATACTTAGTCATACCAAAAAACTTAGATTTTTCTGGGACATTAGGGCACATATATAATAACATAATAATAATAACCTAGTGTTATATGAAAAAAAAAATAGTCGAATTTACATTGTCTAACGTGAAAAACAGAATTTTCGCTTGATTATAAATAATGAAACACTGGAAATAACTGATTTAGCAGTATTTTTAGATAGAATACTTGAATCCAAACTCCAATGAAAGCTCCACCTCTTGACACTTTCATGTAAACTCAACTGTTACGTAAGTTAAAAACTTAATGGATATTAACACTGCCCGATTTGTTTATTTTAGTTATTTTTATAATATTTTATCTTACATAAAACTTCTTTGGGGCAATCCCGCGGGAATTAATTCGATATTTATTCTTCAAAAAAGAGCAGGCTATTTATGATCTAAGGGCTCGTGATTCTCTGCGAGATGCTTCCAAAATAATTGGTATTCTTACGGTTGCGTCTCAATTTATACCGTGTCATATATTACTTGTTCGTAAAAAATTAAATAATTATGTAAAAAATAGTGATAGACACGCAATAAACACTAGGAATGGATTATAGAAATAAGTTTGTTACGCCTAGATTTCGACTCTAAAAGGTGAATAAATCCTTCATGGGTCTGAGTATACGCATATATAATAAGATTCCACAAAATGTCCTAGATTTACCTCTTCAAAATTTTTAAGATAAAATTAAAAATATTTTATTGAGCAAAGTGTATTACACTGTTCAAGATATTATTATTATTATCGATATATTATTATATTATTATCGATACAGAGGCCGAACTTATAGTTTTTAGAATTTTTGTCTGTCTGCCTGTTACCGCATCACAGAAAAACTACTATACGGATTTTGATGAAATTTTGTATGGTTATAGCTGGTTAAATATATAGGATACTTTTTACCGCAGAAAAATATATCATTTCTGAGAAAAAATACAAAAACTGGTTAGAATAAAAAACGATGATACTATATAGATTTTAGCAAGTTAACTTACTAAATATGTCAAAAACTATTAAAAATAGCTAATCTTGAAAAAGTATATCAATAGCACTATTAAATTCATTAAAAAATATATTTTAATGAATATTTATTTTTGTATTATTTAGATATTTGTCAATAGATGTCGCTATGTGTCTTTAAAATACGTAGTTTTAATTCCAAAAAATTGAATGTACAAATTCGACCTTTCTATGATTTTATTAGAATTACTACTAAATTACCCACGGCCCCGCCCGTGTTTAAATTATCGAAAAACAATCTTTTTGGCTTTATAAATTAGTTACATCTATAGATACATTTTTTTTTAAAGCGGTATCTGTGCTTTAAATATATTTTTTTTAAATTTTATTGAAATGCACATTATTATCGCTAACAGAGGCCGAACCTATAGTTTTAAGAATTTTTGTCTGTCTGTCTGTCTGTCTGTCACCGCATCACAGAAAAATCACTGGAGGGATTTTGAAGAAATTTAGTATAGTAATAGGTGGTTATCCGGGTCAACTAATATACTAATACGAGTATACTAATAAATAAAACCTAAAAATTTGGTTTTGGTCATATGAACGCGGGCGGAGCCGCGGGCAATGCTAGTAAAAAATAAATACATATTAAATTGCGGGATGATGAAATCGCTTATCAGGAAACTTGAATTATATCGATTAAATATTTCTATCTGTTATATAAGGGAAATATTGCGACCCTTGTAAAAAAATTAATTGAGTTCTTGAACTTTTAACATCAGCTCTATCGAAATCGTCAGGCCTATATATAATATGAAGTCTAATTAAATACAGTGGAGAGGTCACTGAATTTTTATATTAGTTAAACATTTAAATGTATTTTTTTAAGTATAACATTATCTAATACGATAGTCTTTGTTCGTTGGCTGTTATCATGTGCTAAAGTAAAAAACACCAACTACTTTGGTCACTAATCATTCCTAATTTACATCGGTTCCCAAAACAACTATTAGTATTGAATTTTCTTTACACAAGCTAAATATAAATTGTGTCAAAATTCCTGTCGCTAGTAAGAAAACCACATAGAGATAGGTCACTAGAATCCGACGTTAGTCGATAAAATAGAGCTTAAAGGCGCCTCTTTGCATATTTTGTCAGACTGAGCTTTCTTCTGCAACTGTACAAAATATATTAACATCCCACAAAAATCACTTGTAGTTCTGGGATAAAAAGTAAAAAAAAAACAAGCAAATAAACACTCATTTATAATGTTATTATTATAAATTTATAAGCTAGTATAAGTAATATACGTAAACTAAACAAAATTGTTATTACAGTTGTTGAAAGGTTACGAGATAAGCTTAACACTTCACTAGTTGACAGGTGGTAATATGGTTGTGGTTAGACGTAGTAACGCTTCGCTTTGTTGCCCACACGTGTAGATTATAATCACTCGTTAGAAGAGCTTCGTTAGTAGTAGAATATGAGATGGTTATTGTATCACTTATTATAATTGGTTGACTTTGTTGCCTTTTGACATTTTCAATGTATGAAACGAGGGAATGTACAAAATTTGATTTCTTAATCTTAAAAGAAGATTTTTTTACACATTTCAGGGGAAATTGTAGGGCTGTATGGAATATGGATTCTCTGGTAGACGAACATACAAATTAATTCCGTATAGACTTATAAAGAAAATTGAAAGCCGTGAAGCATACGTTTGAGCATTTTTGAACCAAAGGAAGTATTATGTGTGATAAATAGGTTTACAGAGGATAAATCATGGAAAAATAATAGTTAAAACCGATTTAAAGAGATTTTTATTTTACAGTGCTGAATGCTTTTTTTATTACTGCACCACGTAAGTGCAGTGAATGGGCGAAATTCTCAAAAATGCTTACAAGAGGATTTAATGGGGGTGTCCGGGAGGAGGGAGGGCTTTGAATTTCATGTCAGTTATTTGAAGCATTTAATGTTAAAGGATCCAGCAGTAAAAAGTAAAATATTTAAATTGTAACATATAGAATAGAACGTTACTTGTTAATTGAAAGGGACATCAATAGAGTTAATAATTTACACGATATATAATTCCCTAAAGGTTTAATTGATTCGATACATAAAATAGAGGAAAGCTTCCTAAAGTCTACGCAAATTGTACATATTTGTAATCTAATCACGGACCAAGGGTTCAGAGGGCTTGTCTGAATACATTGATTTAGGATTTATCACTCAAAGGTTCTCATTTTTATGAATGTATACTTTTATAAATATACTTTTTTAAAATACTTTTATAAATGATAAGTAAATGTTTCTTTTTGATCCTTTATTATTTCCGATCTAGCTCGTGAGACATTTTATTACAAGACTCTTATTTCATTTTTAAATAATCTTAATATTGTTTAAAAAGAGAGCCCTTTATGTAAAGATTTTTCTATAAATTATAAAAGTACTAGCGGCTCACCCTCGCTTCGCTTGAGTTCGCCTCTAGGAAAACAAAAACAAACCTACCCCACGGGAACCGTACATTTTCCTGAATAAAAAGTAGCCTATGTGTTATTCCAGACTATAATCTATCTCTGTGCCAAATTTTATCCAGATCCGTTAAGCCGTTCTCGTTCTGGCGTGAAAGAGTAACAAACAACCATGCATACTCACACACTTTCACATTTATAATATTAGTATAGATGTACGTGAAATTCAGACTTTACGTTCTAAAATTATAAAAACACTATATGTTTATCTATTTGTCATTCATGACGAGCCCTCTTGTGAAACCATAATACTAAGAAAGCTTTGCGAAAACACTTTGTCTTAATACCTTCACCTGACAAGAGGACTGATTGTTTTTTTGCACAAAATAAAGATATTACGTATGATTTATTCAAGGAGCGCAACTGGTATTTCTTCTATTATTCCATGTAGATTCTTTTTCTTGTTTGATTAAGAGATTAAGATGTTTTTAGCTGATAATTACATAAGTGAAATATAATATTCAGACGAAAAATTAATGATTTATATTTATATAATTGTATAACATTTTAAATAAAACTATATTTTCGTGGTTTTATTTTGATTTTTGGTTCCCAACGTTTCGAACACTTTAAAGTGACCATGATTGCTGTAAGAAAAGATAGTTTTATTTAAAACTACGTACGTTTTAACGGTTAGTATGGAATAGATAGACTTTATCTACATATACTCGTACTAATGTTATAAGGAGAAAATATAATGTTTTTTTGTATGTTTGTATGTTTTTTGTAATAGATAAACTAAAAATCCTGCATGAGTAGTAATAGAAATACACATACAATATTCCAATCAATTAAAGGTAAATTGGGGATCTTTTTTGTTGATTGAGAAGCGAAGATTAAAAAACATAAGAATAACTGAAAACTGTCAAAGTCAAACTAAATATATAAAGAGAACTGAATATATAAAGAGAAAGTGTCAAGTCTACAAATGCATGCAAGTTATGTACATTACTTTTAAGGTTGCGTTCATAATTATAAACTAGTAGCAAGGAAAAAGAAAAATTTAGATTTCTACGTTTTTCCGTCATTTTTTTCAATATTTTTCTTCATAAAAACCTTCTTCAGACTTTAATGAATGTTTAATTTTTTTTTTACCAAATTGGTCCAGCCTCCACGACCGCGGACTCGCCGGCGTGTCAGTTAACAATAGATTTCTTAGAATTTTAATTAATTTCTTAGAAATT